TCAACCCCCCCCCCTCTTCCACTCATGTCGCTCCCCTCTTTCATTCTCCCCTCTCTCCGGGTCCTATTCCCCTCTCCCTAGGGACCCCTCATACTACTCGCCCTCCAAGCTCTCGACTTCACAACTGCCATCATTACTACGTCTAAAAAAGTGTTGCCACGATGTCACACCCGACCAAATAATATATCTATATACATATAAAATACAGTGTGTGTGTGTGTGTGTGTGTGTGTGTGTGTGTGTGTGTGTGTGTGTGTGTGTGTGTGTGTGTGTGTGTTCCAAGAATCAGAAGTGTATATAATCTGTCTACAACAACATCGTACCAATTTTTGATTCCCTTGATATGACCCCTTAATTAACCTGCGTTTATTCCTATACCTTGGTTGTTGGAACGACATCTCTTCAACACCTCGACTCATTCCCTTCACAGTTGGAATATATGCATCTTACCCTCACACGGTGTTTTGTTATGTATACAGCACGGCATTTTCTTCCCTCTTAACTTTTCTCTCTACAGTAAGTATGAGTCAGGTATAAATCTCCTGAATGCTTTATACAGTTACGTTTTTTCTTCTTAATATACAGATTATGGATTTTAATTAGTAAGGTCAGGTATAATGATAGGTTTGGTTAAGGTGTGTTTGAGTGTGTTTATTCTGGGTTCTGTGGCCTGTGTGGGTGCGTGAGTCGCCCGTAGGTGAAGTATTAGTGTTAATGTGTTTAATAAGTCATCGGATACTGGTGATGGTGGGAGGGGGGGTGATGGGGCTTCCATATGGGCGGGGTTAATTAGTGTAAGGTGAGAGGAGGCCCTTGGTAGCGTGTTGGAGGGGGGGATCTCTGCTCTGCTCGCTGCTTCACTTCATGTTCTGTAAGTAACTTTGTCAGCTGTCGGTTATTCATGTCATCTACACACACACACACGGTTGTAATGGTGGTAGTAGTAGTAGCGGTGATGATGGTAGTAGTAGTGGTGGTGGTAGTGGTGGTGGTGAATGCGTCAGGTGGTGTGAGGCTCCAGCTGTCACAACCGGTTCTGCCGCCTCACCACCTGTCTGGTTTGGACTGGACATCCAGGCAGGCTGCTGTGCTGGTCACGCCACCTCCCTCCTTCACTCACTTACTCAGGTCACCAACAAGTCGCTTGATATACTATACTATTGATATTCCTAAAGTATATTGCCTCACCACACACACACACACACACACTTGGAAAATAGTTTTATATACTTATATATTCTATATTATATGCGTAAAAACCTTTTCCTTGTACACATAGAATATGTACAAATATTTTTCCAATTATCTGCTTTTTTTAATCACCGGTCGTTGACTCATTTTCCTTAATGACCAAAATCCATCAGGAAAGAAGAACATTAGTATTATACTCGTTTAATAATACTTGATCGTTTAACATACAAATCAGGAAACAAAATAATGCGACTTGTGTAAGGAGTTTGACGTGGAAATGGAAAGATGAGATTTCCATTGAGTTGTCATAAGAAACCGATAATAAACCCGAATTGACCTCCTTGGACGTGAGAATGACCTTGGGGACAATCAACCGAGGGAGTACTAGAGTTACATAGTTATTAAGGTGAGTTTTGGATTACATGGAGGTGAAAATGGGGAGCCTGCTGGTGGTGGTGTGGTCAGTGCTTGATGGAGTGAGGGCAGCGGGGAATATAATAACTGATATCTGATATTTCCTAGGATTGGATGGCCTTATCTTCTCTTGTTATTAGTTTATTGTGTTTTAAGGCCAACAGGATGCAGTATTGTTTAGTTTATTCTTAGTGTTGGATCAAACCTGCGTGGTGTTTATGTGGTGTTTCCTTTGTTGTTATATGTACAGTACGTGTATTTGATTATATAAGCAAAATAATAATAATAAAACCTTAATTCTTCATGATTTTTGCTGTGTAACCTGACAACTAACCAATCTAACAGCATAACTAACCCAATTTAACCTAACCAAACCTAACCTAACTTGATCCAACTTTACTACACCAATTAAGTGGATAACAAACCAAAATCTTTATGCTAGGTTAAGTTTGTTGGTGTCTTCTGCCGCCGCCTCCCGAACCTTGGGTAGATTCATACAGTAGCTTGTGTGAGTTTTGGCAGCACGTTGGCGCCGGCGGCTATTGAGCGTGGTGGCGTCTTGTTACCGTACTACTAATGTATCGGGATAGTGCCTGTGTGTGTGTGTGTGTGTGTGTGTGTGAACTGGGAAGCATGCAGTTTTTATGTTTTCCAATGTATCCTCTCTCTCTCTCTCTCTCTCTCTCTCTCTCTCTCTCTCTCTCTCTCTCTCCATGCCTCCAAACATTCGACACCCCCTCCCTCCTCCCGCCCCCATAACAACCCACTCGTTGATTCCACTCGTGACTAAGTTCTCCCTCCTCCGCCTCGTGTCCATCAAATATCCTCCATTGGCTCTGCACCACTTGCTGAAAATCTTCCACTTAAAGCCTCGTGTGTCCCATCATATCTTGTTATGTTGGTTCTCTCGCGCCTCTCTCCTGTGCATCATGGCCGGTGACGTATGTGTCGATCATGTTTCCCCCCCCCCTCATGCCTGTTGTTTTATATGTGTGAAATCTATCCCAGTTTTGCTATTTTCTCGTCGTAAGGTAAAGGCTATATATGGGTACTGGATGAACTGTCGTTGTTTTCGGTATCTCCGTTCTATAAGCCCCCAGATTCTCAAAGATTCGTGTGGTATATCCTTCCTCCCAGCAATGGTTATGTGAGAACGTATTGGACTGTTTTACTAGTGCTGTCACCACACAAGACGACCAAACTGGCGTTGAAGTTGCACATAAAACTATCGTAACTAGATACATTCATTCGTCTCCCGCCACAAGAGGGAAATAAATAAAATCCGCGACTTGGCTCTTAAAGATTGCCCAAACTGCATTGATTATACCGAGTAACTAGATACGTTTTCCCCGTTCGTAATTCAAGTAAAAGATAACATTGGAACCTTTGAAAGTCTGAGTCTTGGTGAACTGGTACACTTGTTGCTCAATTCTTTGCTGTTGATGCTTTAGCCTTGGTGTGCGTATTGGTGCCGACATTGTGGTGTAAGTCGAGTCCCTTTGTGGCCGCCAGAGTTGACACAAGATATTGGATGGAGACATGAGAGGCGTATGGATCGTGCAGGTGAAGGTTGATTGGCAGACCAACCTCAGAAAGTTGATCACTCTTAAGAGATGGTCATTTGTGTTCAGCCTTGATGTGAATGAAATAAGATATTAGCCTCTGTTATGTGTGTACTGAATTAAGGATCCTAATAAATTAACACTGATGGTGTATACTGTATTATTTTTTATTATAAAATCTCTGTACAGTCAGGGTCAAAAGTTCGTGTGAAGCAGTATTGACCCCCAAGTGAGACAAAACAACACACCCCCACCAGTCGACTGTCTCTCAGGGTATGTAAGTTCGGGTACTTTGTCGATATTGGCTGGTGGAAAGTGATGATCTGTCCTGCGTATTTGTTCTGGGTCTTGCTGCTACACCCACACCCCGCACTTTGGTCAACGCCTGCAAGTTATCGCATTCAGTGGGACTCGCTTCTACTTTACCTAACTAATACTGTATAACAATCTTGCCTCTAAAAGAATGTTGCTGGAAAATGTCTTAAATGACCGGAAAACTATCCAGTATTAAGAGGAAATTTCTGGTGAAAAGACGATGCAAAAACAACCGGAAAACTCGTAATACACGGAGCAGGGGACTTGGTAATATGAATATAGTCAGGGCTGTGAACACGATAAAGGTATCTAAAGAACTAATTGGGGTAGTTTCTCCTTCTTTGGAAATATTTTATGGACTTACGACAGTTTGTATAAATTATTATTAGGAGTAGTATTTTACTATTGGATGTTTTGAAGAGGTTGGGTCTCCTGCCATTTTCTTTCCCTTGGCTCTTCTACTCCGTCGTCGTGTCTAACCACAACACACTTTTCAGTAACATTTTGTAGTGTTAATTAATTATCATATGTGTCCTTAGATATTGGTCAAATAATATGTCTTGTGAAACGTTGATCACATAAATGGAAACATGATAGTGAGGGACAATATTTACGTAATATTCAGTGAATTAAATATTATACTACCGGTTCTACCATTTTATCTATTAAAAAAGTTGGATGAAGATTTTTTTAAATTGACCTCAGAGATATACATATTCTGCAACGCTAAAATATGATAGATAATTATTTGTCCTTGTCCCATAGAAAACGGAGTGATACTGGTGCCATCAAGAGGTCAAGGTACTGTAGTCCTCGGAACATTGGCCAGTGAGTCGCAGATAATGGGTGCTTATTTTTACCATTTGCCTTGAAAAAAAATCTGATGTTTTCGTATTTCGTATTTAAATTTTGCACACTATCGTCTGTCGTACTTAGAGTAGGGTGACGTGATAATTGGTGGATTATAATTATGGCCACCTGATAAACAACTTGTGGGCGTTCTTGCCATTAAAACTTTATTATCGAATTACACACACACACTTCATCAGATACTGAAGTTTTAATGACACTGCCCCATTAAAACCGTAGATTTTTCATTAATAATAATTTATTTATATATTATATTCTTAAGAAAGATGCGTTCTATAGTCCTACCTCATTCTAATACTTGAATCAGTGAAACTATATACCTGGTGGTGGGATTATTTATTACCTGTATCGTACTCTTAAGTGTGGCTTGAGCTTCATCTATTAAAAATGTTCTTCAGTTTATCTTTCCTATTTTGTTTTATTCTTAGATTACAGTACATAGAAGGTACAAACACTTCCCTTTAGAGAGAGTTCCTCGTTCTTGGACAAATTTTCACGAGAAGTTTTAACTGGTGGAATAACTTCAGTATCACATTTTCCGCCTATTTGTTTTAGCCCATTTTAGTGTGATTTTCGATTTTTTTTTTATTCCGTGTCCGTAAAAAACTTGTACTTTTAAATATACTGTACCTGTGTCTCTTGTTGCAGAAGCGGTGAAATGGTGCTGAGGTAGCAGGATATAAGGGTGGTAACTCTTAGTTGTTATCACCATCACGGCAGTTCCCTCACACCCCACCATAACCACAGCCATGACCTCCATCCAGCGTGGCCCGGGACTCTACGAGTTTCTCACCGAGGCAGAACTACAACACTACTTCAACAATTTTAAGAATACTCTCAAGGTACTGATATTACTAGGGTATAGAGCTGTTAAACTCACTCTCTCTCTCTGTGGGGGAGGGGGTAGGACCTTGTAGTTTCCCACAGTAGACATGACCACTTATTTATCTTATGTATTTACAACCTTTTTCCCTTCTTGCTCCCACTTATGGTACCTTGTACTGTGTGTGATTTAATTATTTCCCGACATTTAATTCCAGGTGCAAAATGTCGGTCAAATAAAGTTTGTAGCAGATGAAGACCTACAAGCCATGGGGATGTCTCGTCCAGAGATTCGCCGGCTTAAGAAGTTCTTTCACAAATATTGTCCACAGACTTACCTCTCAAAGTTCAAAAAGGTTTGTGTTCACTAGATATTCTTTTTAGACTTTAAAAGATATTACCTACTTTAACATGCACAGTATACAGTGTTATCATTGTTGCTGATCCTTTTAAAGACTATGTTATGTTGCCTGGTCACCAAGAGTTGCTCATTGAATATTGAGTTGATATAGTTTTCAAAGTTTGTGGTGGCTCTATGATGTGTCTGTGTATTATATATACTGTACATGAAGTATAGTATATTGGAGTAAATACAATTATTAACTGCTATAGTCTTATTATGTTTTGTAATTAATTATAAATCATATTAATGAGGTCATATAGTGTACTATATAACCGGCCATAATTGTACTGTACACAGATATTATTAGCACGTAAAGATGGCCTAGACTCTCCAGAAGTTGTAGTACCCGACGATGTTGGAGAACGTCCTAGTGTCCGTGTACCCAGTAAACACATCATCCCTGCTGATGCCATTGTCATCAACAAGGAGTTGGGTGTTGGGGAATTTGGTGTGGTCCAGCAGGGAGTTTGGACCAATGAGGAAGGAGAAAGAGTAAGTGCAGTAATCTTGTGAGAATCTTAGATGAAATATGTTTCAAATATTTATAACAAACTGTATTTCTGTATAACTGCACTGTTCTGGTTACTAGCTTAATCTTACATTAGCTACTTTACATGTATCACATAAACCATATCTGCACTACAGGGGTGTACAATACAGTACTCAATTGTAGATCTCAATAATTGTAGATGAACAGCACTTACCAATTCTTTGTATATGTTGTTTCCTTTATCTGAAATCTTTTAAACATTATACTGTTTTCGGGATCTTATGGGTAAGGAACTAGAAAGTACAGAAGATAGTTGGAGGAACTGTTTCAGGGTCCACATTTCTGTACTCAGACTGTACTGTGGGTAATGATATGGTATGTGGTACAGTGTTGATGAATAACCCCTGTCCTGCAGATACAAGTGGCCATCAAGTGTCTCAGTAAAGAGAGGATGCAAACACAGCCTATGGAGTTCTTAAAGGAAGCAGCCATCATGCACACCATAGACTCGGAGCACATTGTCAGACTCTACGGTGTTGTGCTTGATACAAATGCTCTCATGCTGGTGAGAATAATAATATACAAATATATTCAGTATGAGTTAGTTTATAAAGATGTAAAAGAATATTATAGTATTTAATTTCTGTTAATATAGATATACTGTATACAAAGATTACTTTGCTTGAAATACATTAATAAGCATTTCTTCATTTTTATTCAGGCAGTATCTTTTTTTTTTATAGAAAGATTACTTATGATTGATTGTTTCAAATATCTGTACACTAATTTACTTCATTATTCTATAACACTCATTGTTATTAGGTACTGTATACAAATACGCTTTCATTGTGTCATCATTCTCCTACAGTCATCATATAACTTACTCCCCACTACAACATGCATTCACTCATCCAGTTGCCTGATTGTCCAATTTGAGGCACTCTGCATTGCAAGGGGGTGAAGCGCCAAATTTAAAAAGTGAAGAAAAACGTGTTTAAAGTTTTTCAACGCTCAAACAACCATAATTTTGTTGTTCTTTAAGCTAGAGGGTTTAATTTTTAATTTTTATTTTTATCGTGAAGCTCAATCCCTCTCCTAGCGAACAGTGAAAACTAGAAAGTAGTACTGTGAATAGTTATTATTTTATCGCGAGTTGAATGAGAATAACTACCCGTGATGTACAATGTTTGATCTTCAAACCAACAATTATCGCATTTTTCTGCAAAATTTTCTTATTATTGTGGGCTAGTACTTTAAAACAAGTTAATGATCACCAAAAACAACACTCGTCTTACACCACCCCCCCACTCATTTGCCAATCAGTATTTATCTTTCCATCCCTGTTATTAGCCCAAAATTTATAATATTGTTTAGTATAATAGTGTGTAATAATAAGGAAACACCACTACACTCATCCCCCCCACCATTAACCTCCCCCCCCCAACGTAATTAAATTCAATGGCCTTGTCATAATCAATCACTTATTGTTCAAAGTCTTTCTCTGCCCTCTCTAAAAATTGCTCCTCTCACTCTGAACGGGATGTGACCACCTTTACTTAGCACACAGCCAGATACGTAGCACCCGGCCTGAGGCAAAAGGACACCTTATTTTTTAATGACTTTCAACCATATTTCTAGTCTACCTAGGGGGTTACATCCAACGCCAACATGTAGAGGAAGGGGGAAAATAGTGATATCCATAAAAGAACGCATTTTGCCAGGGGTGGCGCTTTACCTCCTTGTAATGTTGAGCGCCTCATTTCTTCTTATATACTGTTCAGTTTACTTTCATTTAATATGTGAAAAATTAGATGAAAGGAAATTATTCTCTATTCTTAAATTTCATATTTTGAAAGCTCAAATCTTTTGTAAAATAGATTACAGTATTTTATAAAGGAGATTTTTGGTTGACAAATACATTACTGTACTGTAGTGGTAAAAGGTGTGAGAGAGTAAGAAAAGATATACTGTATAGCACAAGAGAATGCATATTGCAAAATTAAATTTAAGGTAAATCATTAATCACTTTATTCATTTGTACTAATTCAGGTTACAGAGCTGGCCCCTCTGCGTTCATTGCTGGAGTGCATTAAGGAGCCGTCATTAAGAGTGAGCTTCCCAGTCACCTCCCTCTGCCACTTCTCAATACAGATCTGTGATGGTATGTCCTACCTTGAGGGCAAGAGACTCATCCACAGGTAAGATTAATTGGATATAGTTTTGTTTCAGCATGTAAGTATTAACATTCTTCAAACATAAGGTTTGGGATTAGATTGTATGCACCACCCATAAAAAATCTATTACTGTACTGTACAACTGAGCAAAAAAGTACTTTATGTACAGTATTAAGTGCAGTACCGTACAGTATTATCTTTGAGCAAAGAGTTGGTTATCTTTCTACACATTATAGCCAAGATCAATTATATATTAGCTCAGGTGAGGTTTGTATCCTGAACTGTGTAACCTTATTCCCACACTTGTTTCAAAACTATCAGGTGATATAGAGATGACACAAAACCAGAAGACATAAAAGCATTTGTTAATGCAATACATCAAAATGAATTACATGAAGGTGTCATTAGTCATTACCTAGAAATTTACAGAAGAATAGTGAAGAGGTGGATTGGATTACAAGTTAACAATCAAGCAGTAGCATGAATGACCTGCAACATTAATTAAATTATATCTGATAATTTCGTTTTTCACAAAAATTCCACCACAGACTGATAAAAGTAATTCCAATAATTTTTTGGTTGACTGTATAGAGTATACTGTATTTGGTAAATTTTAAATCACAAAATTTGTATGTACTGTACTAGATTGAAAATTATCTGGAGTAATGGCACATGTGCTTGATTACTGAAGATTTCTCCTGTCCATTGTAATGCACTTACAGTACAGTACTATGAAAATACAGTATGTACTGTACATTATTAGTGAAGTAAGTATAGGTGCAGTTGTTTTGTTTAGGATAATATGATTAATATGAATGGACTTTACAATTTATTTATGGATTCACTGTTAATACTGCATATGTTAGGAAAGAATACAATGAAATGTTTTGCGTGGAGTAATTCTACCTGAAGTTTTCCCCGAATGTCTTCGCAATAATCCATTCCTAAAAAAAAATCCTAAACTACTGTACTGTATTAATTGTATTATTTAATTGTTCTTCCAGAGATTTAGCAGCAAGAAATATCCTGGTTTTCTCCAAAAACAAAATTAAAATCTCAGATTTTGGGCTATCAAGAGCCTTAGGTGTGGGGAAAGATTACTACCAAACAAATTTTAATGTAAATCTGAAACTTCCAATAGCATGGTAAGTTTTAACTTAGCTCTATGTAATAATTGTTTTAAAATACTAATATCGTATTTCAAATACAGTTCAGTATCTATATTTTATATGTAAAAATGTGAGTAGATTTAAGTTATCAGTAATGAGGCATTTGGAAATATTTGTGTGATAACATGTTTTATCATATAATGGCTCATTGTGGCATTTTTGTCTCGAGTAGCTACCACTATACTCTATAAGAATTTACCATTGATTCTTTTATTACAGGTGTGCTCCTGAGTGTATTAATTACCTGAAATTTACTTCAGCTTCTGATGTGTGGGCATTTGGTGTAACACTTTGGGAAATGTTCAGTTATGGTTTTCAACCATGGGCTGCACTTACTGGTCAGCAAATTTTGGAAGCCATCGATGAGCCTAATTTTCAGGTAGATTTTACAAATAATGTATTGTATTCCAGATTTTTCAAACAAGCAAGAGCTGTCATAATTACTCTCCTCCACTCAACAGAAACTTAAATCTTTCATCATTGCTGAGATATTTCCATTTTTATTCAACGATTGCTGCTGGTATTAATTATATTGCCCAAAACATTCCAATTAACTAACTACATTTAATAAAATGTCAGTAAATTAAGAAACTTACATACCCAGTGTGTTTCAAGATTTCAAGCTAGTTTCCTCTTTGCAGCGGTTAGAGCAGCCAGAGGCTTGTCCAAAAGAGTATTACACTATAATGCTCAAATGTTGGCAACATGATCCAGCAAAGAGGCCAAAGTTTGTTGACCTTATGAATATTCTGCCAGATGTGAGTAGTACTGTATTTGTCATAAGATCCTCATATTGAATATTTTTCATAAAATCATTTAGCTTTTTTTTTACTCTCCTCACTGCTTTTCAGTTTAAATGTTACCGTATTGTTTTATTGATAAATGTCTCTATCCACATGATTGTTGTTTGACCAATTTGTTTTAATATATATATACTGTATTTTTGTTTTGAAATATTTTCAAATATCAGCCATAAGTCTGCTTTTGTCAGTAAATACTGTACGTCTTTTTCTGAAACAATTTTGTTTTTCAATTGCCAGTGTAAACCAGAACAAGTTCAAGTAGTACGAGACTGTGAGGACCCGCCTGCCACGCCAGGAGGAAAGAGAGATAAGCTTCAGTATTGTGTAGGAGATGTCATTACAGTCTTAGATAAGAGGTAAGATGCTTCACATTTAAATTTTGGTAGTAGAGTACAGTACAGTACTGCAATAAAAGTGTATCTTCAATAAACTGAGTACAGGTATCCCTTGGTTAACACAATGGATACGTTATTAAAATGTATCATACTAGAGAAAACCTGTAAAGTTAAAAATCCCCAATTCAGAAGTCTATTACAGTACTGTACTAAAAATTCTGCCGTTTCAGATTTAAAGTGCACGTCAGGGCTGAAGCGTAAATTTATGGGTTTATGCAATTTCTACAGAAATATTTACATACATAATTAATTACTCACTGCACCAGTAATATGAAAAAAAATTAATCCTGTTGCAATCATCAAATATATTGATCATAAAGGTTAAATTGTGATAAACCAAAACTGTCATACAGTACGTATGCATATTTGTGACAAACAAGAACTACCATTATATTATTTGTGCCATGCACACCTGCTTTTGAGTCACCAGTAATGAGTTAAATATATCAGAGTCAGAAGTGAGAGCTGCTATTATTTTAGAATTTGTCATGAATTTCAAGTTTTCAGTAAAAAATTAGTTATTATGTTAAAGAAGTGCTGGGAATGCAGTGTGAGGCTTTATTAATTGGAAACGAGCTGTGATGAATGTACAGTCAGGATCAAAAGTTTGCTCCCTCCCAAATTGAAGCTCTTTTGACCCCAAATGAGATTAACAGGACATCAGCACCAGACGACAGTTGGAGTAAGTAAGTTTGGAGAATCATTGAATCAATCCTGTGACTCCTTTCTCCTCAGGGAGTGAACTTTGGCCGTGACTCTACAAGAATCTTGCATTAAGGTTTTTTCCTCCAACAAATCTGTATCAATTTTAAACTTCTAACTATCGAAGGTAAACATCAGGAGTAAGCATAAGATAATTCAATGACTTTAAAGGTATTTTAGAAGTTAAGAGAGTTGATCATTTACAAAAGGGGTGAAAAGTATGTTTGGTGAAAGAGGTCAATGGCAGATTCATGTCCATTGAAGTGGTGTGGTTATGTGGCACTTAAGGTGAATGTCAAGAAAGTGAAAATAAATTATGGAACAGTACTATCATAGCAGGTAGGTTGGGAATAGTAGGTCACTTAACAGATGTCAAGTCAGTAGTTGAATTTTTAAGAGTAGGAATATGTTCATCTAGAATACTCTACAGTACCAGGGAGAGGAGAGAGACTGTGCACTCAAACATGTGAAAACACACACATGTATTGTACAAACGTTTCCTCACTCACTCTTGCATATGGAGTCACTAATGGTTGTTTTTTACTTCAGACCTATGCTGGACAACCCTTCAGTATGGAAAGGAGTCTTAAACACAGGCAAAACTGGACATTTTAGCCCTGCCAATACTGTTACTTATCTGGGCACCAACATTCCGTCCAACAAATCATCTTTCCAAAGAGGAGGTAAAAAATTTTTAAAACCTTTCTCAATATGTTTTATTATTATTTTTACTATACTTTTTAGTATTGTGGGAAAAAACAAAACTGCCCTTTTTACACATGCATTAAACCCTTGTAGGTTGTTTACACTTTGAAATGTAATAATCCTTTTACAATTACTATCTCCAAATTCAGAATTCCTCATAATTTAGAACATTTTGGTGGTTCCAAAATCTGATATCGAGTCGTCGAGTCGAATGGAAAGTGTTAGCGAGTTGCTGCCAATGTTAGTAGAAGTAACATGTAGTTCATGATGATGTTTACATTTCACATGATTTTCAGATTCTCAATTCTCAGGTTGATATGTTAAAAGTTCCCATAACTGGTGACAAGAGAACATGGGTAGTCAAATTAAGTGTCAATTCGGTTTAAAGGCCATTTTAGCCATTAATTGTGTTCATTGTTAAAAAGAATCAGTAAGATGTATTGATATATCCAGTCAGGAGAATAATTAGCTTTACAGATCTTTGTAAAGCATCGCCGAGAACAATAGTCTTTTTAAATAAACATGACTGTAATAACTGATCATTTAATGTAATACTGTACTGTATCTTTCAATCAACAGATGGCAAAAATCCATATTCTTCGCGACGACGATTAAGGCCAGAGATGATTTCAGGACCTCAGGGAGATTTTAAACACACTGGACATGTGGGGCTGGATGGAGCATATTTTGGTGATGTCTCCTTCCTCGGAGATAAGGTCCAGGATGGCAGATTTGTTCAAAAAAAGCTTGATAAGGTCATAGTGTGTTTTGTTTTTAATTAGATTAGTATCCCTACCACAGTGGGATTTGGTGATAGGTATGATATGGGTATTTTTTGTTGGCAATAACACTTAAAGCAAGACAATATGTGTTTATAATAAGACACGTACATTTTATTCTCGATATACTGTAATTAAAGTTCAGTCTATAGTAAGTCTTGAAGAGATTGTTGATGGGGTTTATTTTTAGTAAAACTTTTTATGGGTAGAAAAATATACTGAAAGATTTCCTGAAGGGAATCTTATTTTTGTGATGAATAATAAGAAAAGGTAAAGCAGTTGCCATTAAAAGAAGAGAGTACTGTACATGCTGTCGGAGAAATAAGAAGGGACAGATAATGGAGAAGGTAGAGAGGGGGAGACAAACAAATTTGCAAAATAAAGAAAATAATTGATGTATTTAGTTTGTGAAGTTAGTGAACAAAGTTGTTCACCAACCAGTGTGATAGTCACGAAATAAAAAAAAGAATCAAAGGAAGGAAGGACAGATGACCTGCTTTAGAGTCCTTTGCAACTATTACAATCTGTAGAAGTTGGTTGGTTGATGGTTGCCAAGTTAGCCATGAAGTCACATCAACTAATTCATGGCCATTTTTTATTTTCCTTTTTTTTAAATAAATTAAAATTATTTTCTTCTGGGTATTCAGTTTTCACCTGAAAAAATGAAGAGAACAATTTTTAAGAAAAAAAAATAGATTTAAATTAGGTGATGTGATGTCACAACTCGGTAACCAAGAACCAACCAACCTCTTTTAATTGTAACAGTTGTTAAAGAAACAAGAAGTGGAAAGAGTTCTGTTGGCAGGTTAATGATGCAAACCTCTCAGTCATAGTTTAGTTAATGATCAAAGCTAACTACTCTCAGAATTTGATCTCTGTATTCAGTAGTCAAGTTTATCACTTGCTTCATACAAATTGAGAATCACATGTACGTTTGCATCTATCTACTGTATATTAATCACAGGCATGCAACTACTTTAACAATTGTTGGCTTGAGAACTTATACTAACAAAATGATAGGCATATTTTTATATTATATCTGATAATAGAAGATGGACAACACTGCCACCAGGAAATGTTAATTAAAATACATACCTACTTACCAGCTCCTAATACTGATTATTACTCATCTTGTCAGTGCTGATACTTGATCTGTAATTTTATAAAATATTGAAGCCCATAATTTAAAGTAAGATAAAATAATTATCCAACACCTGCATGTACTCTAGGAATCACTCTTAAAAGGTGAGTGGAATAAGTGAAATGTAATGGTGTATCTCACCTTCACCATATGCCATCCATTGTATCTTGATCCAGAGCTTGAAACATCTAGACTCGACTCTGCCATCCACAGCAGAAGTTAATGGGGGAAGTGGGATGATCAGGTAGAGACAGCTTCTTTTGTCATTTAGATTAAAGAGTTTGTATTATTTTAGCAGAAAGTCACAAATGGTGCTGGTAATTTGAGTGTTCTGTGGTGTCCAATTGTGAGTTTTCAGTCTTATAGGTTGTGACCTTACTCAAAGAATACAGTAGTAACCTTTTTTATACAGTATGTTACTGACTGATATGATGAACAGATGCTAGTGCAAGTTTTATTAATATTAATGATATTTTAAATAGTATGTAAAGAAGATATAATTTCAGGAATGTAGGTCTAAATGAATTCTGAGGATTTATAATTGATATACTTTTGTAAATAAAAGTTGTAAAATATTGGAAATTAATGTAAAAATATATTAATATTATGATATGATGAATGGTTTACATTATCTTATGGTGATAATACTTACATTCACATGTCATGAGATCTAAGATTGATTTTTGGATGAAATATGGATGACAGGGTATTATGGTCCATGGTACAGTATGTAAAAAGCCAAAGGCCGGTCATGTCTTGTATAGATTATGTTGACACTACTTGGCTGAGACAATACATAATTGAACAAACTGTGATACAAACCAACACAGTAATGACTTTAACCCCGTCCATACACAGCTGTTAGCTTTACCAAATTCAGTAGCAAGTTGAAAATGAGTTGAATTTTCAGTTTCGTCTTTTAAATTCATAATAGCTACTAGAGAATATAAATACTGAAACTACTGTATCTTGACCTTATCATACGTTATTTAAGATGAAGAATCTTTGATTGTCTGGAACTGTAATCACATATTTCAAAGCTCATCACTGTGCAGTCCTTGGTGATAGATCACTGATAATAGCATACAGTACTGTACTTGTAATCCATAAAGTAAACAAACTTCAGTTCCTTGTCAGTAATATACCTATCCTTTACCATCCACAGTACCATCAACTTCCCAAGCAAATAGTAACACCATACAAGCCATCAGATGATCATGACCAGTCAACATCATTGACTAGAGCCAGTTCAGATGTGTCAGACCGAGCACCTCTCTTGAAGAAGGTAAAGTAATACAGTACTTTGATAGGTTTTAAAGGTAAAGCTTTGAAGAATATATTTTCTGTTACTGAGGTTCCCATATCCATGTATAGAGTATTCCTACTTTTAGTTTTGGTTTTCAAGTGAACAGTGCGCGTGTGTGTGCGCGTGTGCGTGCGTGCGTGCGTGCTTGCGTGCGTGCGTGCGTGCGTGTGTGTGTGTGTGTTGCTTATAAACATCTCTGTACACTGAAGCTATACATATATACACCTGGGTGTTGTATGTGTAGTATTACTGTGTACGTACAGATAATGAAATGATATACCGTAAAACATCTCTTGTCTGCCAATCGGTAGTTCTGAAAATAAGTTAGTTTTCTTTCATTTCACTTACAATCCAACCTGTTATGTTCCCAGGAAATGCACATACAGTGTAGTTTGCATTTACCAGCTGAGGAAATAAGAAAAATTAAAAGAACTCAAATTATTGGTAAGAATACCTTACCAAGAGACATGGCAAAAGAAAGTGTTCTGTTGACTGAATGAGAACCATTTGGCATCTCAGTGATTATTTTTGTGGTTACAAGTAGCATTGTACTCCATGCAGGCAGTGTTATCATTTATTTATCAGAATTTTTTTTTAGGTAAAGGCTATAACAGTCATAAAAAATGCGCTTGTTTATATGATAGAAAATGGCCTTGTATCATCTGACGGCAATATATAGGTGGTGTTTTAAACCAGCTAATGTCAAGTCATTATGTCAACTGATGGACCAGGGGTCATTCAAAATTTTGAAATGTCATACAAAAAATAAATAATGTTGCATCTTCACAATGAAGATGAACTGATGATGGTAGATTATTTTATAAGTTCAATATTAAAAGATAGAATGTTCGTGATTTCACATGCATGGACTGAGGTTAATTAGGTAACACTGCAGCAAAGCCAGCAAAAATGTGGCCTGGGGGCTTTAGGGGCTCTCTTGGCTAAATAAAACCGTCTGGCGTTAACCAGAATAAAACAGGAAAATGCACCACTGCACTCGAAAGGGTTAAGTGAGATAAGTTCTAAGGGTTTGCAGGGTACAACAGAAAATGCAGAACAATTATAAAATTAATGAGGATGAGGTGCAGCACTGGAGTGACAAAAGTTCAACAGATGTCAAGACTTACTTGACTGATAAAGAAATCTTGATAAAGTCTTTAGGTCATGAAAAAGGGGAAGAGTGTGATGATGTGGTTAACAAAGAAAGGAATGAATTTTTGAGTGATTTTTCAAGCTCTGGGAAAGATTATAAAACATTTGTTGTGTTGACTGAATAAAAAAACTTAATATTATTTCACATTATAAACTGCTCCTTCTATATTATGTGGTTGCCATGATGACAAGAAACTAAATAATAAAAACAAATGAATACCGGTATTATTGTTTTCAAACACAATTTGAATAAGACCGAGTCTGACACACAACATTTAACCCCATGTCGTGTAAGTAATTTTATCATCTTAGTACTACCATCTTTCTTTCAAAAATGTTGGATTTAGGGTAGACAAAGATAGATTACATAAGTCACTAAATGAGTATTATGAAAGAAGTGAAACCCCTGCTTTAAGTGGTATTGTTTGGTTGGAGTGGCTATCTCTCTTTTTTCTCATGTTACTTCCTAAATGTGCAGAAAAATGCAATCTAATGCAATCCTTATTCCCCTCCCTTCACTTGCCTCTGTTTCTGGCATGAGGACTGATCTAACACTCGGGGGTATTAATCAGTTCTTCAGCTAGGGTTTACCATATATGTATACCTGCCCTCACCAGCTCCTTCAATGGAGAGTATAAATTATGCTGTTTTATACATTTATTTCCACTTCTAACCTTGTATTTAGTACGTTGAATATGGGATCTTAGGGTCAGTGGTACAGTCGGGGACAAAAGTTTGCTCCCCATGGTGAAACTTTTGACCCCGACTGTACCTTTAATGTGCTGTTTATAATTATTTTTGGTTATGGTCTTTGGGCTTAAGCATTATTATTGTATATACCTGAAATTTTAGAATCATTAGTTTACAAAATTCACTTGTTTGCCAAACTGTCAGTTGTAGAGGCATGTGAACTAGAGAGGGTCTACTGTGATTAAGACAAGGAGTTGATTTTTTATGAAGTTTTATAGTGCTGGAGTGACATAGTGGTTAGTACTGAATTGATTATGTGTATGTGATTGATAATTTAAATAATGTACTGTATATGTAAGGACTGAAAAAGAGAGTGATGTGTTGGAATATAAAAAGTATAGTATACTGTAGTTGTTTCATCCATATTGGTTATACGTGTATTTGCTGTCTTTTAGGTTGGTGATAAGGGCAAGTCTGGACCAGCAGCAGAACACAACTGGTCAGACACCGCGAGTGAAGATCAACCGGATAGTCCAACACGTTCCCGCCAAGCTGATCATGAGTATCATGAAATTTCAGATGAAGAGGAGCCTTTACCAAAGGTGGGAATGTGAACTTATACCAGGCATTTTTTCACATGTTAATATTACATGAGTATACTATAGAAGGTTGCATTTATGGGTCGGGAATTTTAGTCTTACACTGACTTTATTAAATTTGTCAAAATTAAAGTGATTTGGTTTAAGAGCATTATATTTAAGAACAGAACAAAACTTTTGTTGGTACACAGGTACAGTTATCAAGATGAACTTTTCTTGAAATGGATTTAGAAGTTAGAAATGTTTAGGTACTATTTTAAAAATTCAGATAAGAGAATATGATGATGTGGTATGGTCTTGTAGGAAGACTAACTGTCAAAGAATTTTCTGGGTGTATTAAATGAGCCCACGATGGAGGTGATGCAATGTTGTAAATGTAGAAGGTTTTTGAGGGGACCACAAGGAAATAGATGTACTGTACTGTACTCTTTTGTACCAATATCACCAAGTTTGAAAAAACTTTGTGTTATGATATGCAAGCTGGGAATCTTTGAAATCTTTAATAAAAGAAAGACACTGTACTGCTGTTTATATTAATTACAAACTGATGGCTTTAAGGGCAGCTTATATCTTTCAGGAGTTTCATAAAATGCATTACAAAGTGACGAGGAATATCATACATCAGGCATCATATTGACAGTAATAAATGGTAATTCCTTTTTTACCCCATACAGCCATTCCGAAGCAGTTCTTTTGATCTCGGTCCAAGTCTGATGGATGAGGTATTCAAGGCGTTAGGTGGCTCAGCCTCATCTGGCCCATCTTCACTGGAGCCTCCAGGTTCATTACCTCCTCTCACCCCTACCCATCAGTCACAGGCACTACTTGAAGACAATGAGAACCATAATGTCAAAAATGAAATAAAAGAAATGGCATCAAAGTTCAGTAACAAGGATGGTTCAAAAAAGAGGCAGGCTATGGTTAGTGGTACTTTATTGTGGTATAACTATCCAGTTTAACAGATAGGTACCTCTTTACAGTAGTATGGGTTACACTCAGTTCCTTCACATTTCTTTTTCTTTTTCTTGTGCAATTGTTGGTTTCATTTACTTTATCACATATTATTTACCATTTTTATCATAATATGTATTAGCATGGTTCTCCCTTTCCTTTTTAATTTTTTTTTATAAATATGTGTTATATGGTGACAAATGCATCTAGTTAGGTAATGGATAAAAAGGATCTACACTAGAAATAATAAAAATTAAATTACCCCTAAGGAGAAAACCTTTCCTACCTGTTAAGTCTCCATCCTTGTTCATTAATATCATGCCATATTCCTTGTTGACCCTCCCTTCTCACCCATTCTTGGTTTTCTTTTGGCTCTTTACCTCTTTCCTAGATGAAACCCATATAATTTCCACCTTCATATATGTTTCTTTAGATTTACATGCACTTAAATCATTCAGGCCTATTGTGCTCAACACTCCCTTGTTAATTTCAGGATTTTTATATAATGACTTATCTCATCCCCAGTCTCATAAACAAATATCTTGTAAGTTGCACAGTAGCTTTAGTGGTTTATATTTTCCGGTTTTTGTTATGTACAGTCGCTCAAAAAACGGTGATACTGTAGCGTGCGGTCTACAAGATATTTAGGTTAGTTAGCTTAAGTGAGCACCAGGTAGAGAACTCCTGCCCTAATGAATGGCCACAACTGAATCTCCAGGATGCCTTCATTATTCCTTATCTCCTCTCCCATATTCTCGCCTCTATGCATTGTTTCATGGTGTTTCTGTCTACCCAGCACGGTTCTACATTGCCTGTGTACCATCATTTCCTGTAACTATCTTATCCTTGTGCATCTCATTTAACATGCCAATACCATCTCAAAGAATTTAACTCATTTCACTGCTCACCACATTACACCTTTGCCTTGTCAACCATTCCAAGTACCCCATACACTTCACTACTATACTAACCCTCGGTGCAGCCCTTTGGTAACCCAGAATTTTACAGCATACAGTACAGTAGGAAGATTTGTATAGTTGTGAAAATAAGTTCCTACACCCCCTGTGGTAACCTGTGTCTCCACATGGCAACTTTGCAGTAGTAGTATCACTGTTTATGAATGAATGGGTATTGGTCATGTAACGACGGACTTGATTGGCTGTTTGGAAACACGGTTACCATGGGGGATAGGAACACATTTCCGCAACTGTACCATCCTCCATATATCCTTTGACTCAAATGGGTAGTAAATTTATAAGAGTTTTATATATCACTCATCACAGATCAGATTGTCAAAATTTGGGCTTTACTGTATTTTTTGTTTTTGTTTTTAAGTACAATACTAAAATTACTATATTATTCCTGTACCTAAACAAAATTTTCTATTGATGTAGGTGAAGCCCATCTCGGCAGCTGATCAGCGCACATTGGACTCAGCGATAGCAATGGCCAATGAACTTGCATCTAAAAGTATGCTAGAGCTGGACTGCAACCATGAGAGCTCAGCAGACTCTGAGGGTGCACCAGACTCTCCCATCACCCCATCTTCCCCGACTAAACATGGTGGATCACGATTCTCTTTCAAGTAAGTAATTTATCTAAGATATTTGGCATATTCAAGGTAATATTATATAGTCTCGCATTATTCTGCTGTTATTTTTCTTGTTGACTACTTCTCAGCATATGAGTACCCTGTAGTTATTTTAAGTTTTCTAAAAAATATGAACCTGTAGTATTTTGCTGGAGACTCAGCACTAGTGTGTTAGTTCATACTTGCTTAGATCATGAATTTGATTTTTCACAATATTTCTGTTGAGATTATGGATCTATATTACTTGAAGGTGGATGTTTTACAAACTGTCTGTCAATCATTCCTCCCCTTTAATCTTGGGAGAATATTTTGTTACCAGCTCTTTCCTGCTATATTGTTATGTGGTCAGAGCTAAGATCAAACACAGACCCTCTTTTCATTTGTTGTTATTGTTTTAAATATTGCTGTGGGTATCATAATTTTTCATTTGCTAATAATTATAATCAGGGTATTCTTTGTGAATATCAAATAGAGGTGTTAAAATATCATTTGTTGATAGGTGGGGCTGCAAATAGTGAGGTATTCCAGTATTGGATTGATGCACACTTAGAGCACAGAATCCCCAGTTTTTCCGACTTCCCTCATGAGTTTTCCCAGCGAGTTGAACATCGCAAAACAAAATTTTGACCAATCGTTAAACAAGAAAGGTTGTTAAAAATTTTTTATCTCTAAGTGAGTGAACGTTAAATGAAGGATACCTGTATTATTATTGTTGTTATATATATTGTTTTTGTTAAAAAAAAATTTCATGTCTTTTATCAACAAATGCATGATTTTGATTTTAAGACAATAACTTGTATAATTACTTGCCCTGTTGGTACAGATTCTCATCCAAAGGTAGCCCAAAACCTGAGAGAAGACACTTCAGTGCAGAAGCAGCTTCAATACCAGATATACAAGTAAGTTTGCATGCTTATCTCATGGTCTGTTATAAGGCTAATCCAACCAAGAGAATTTCTATTGTATTTAATATACTGTACTAACAAATTTGAGTTATTGATGTTTATCACGAGATATTTTTTTAAGTACAGTACACTCCAGGTATCCTTGGTAAGAGAAGTATAATTGATGTATGATTAAGAGATGTGTGATGAGTAATATAAAAGATGAATGTACATTACTACAAACTTGTACATACCATCAACAAATAGGAGATCAGGTGGGACATCTCATTGCAAACTGGTGCTTCTTTTATATTTCTTAAATGGTTACACATTATTTAAGAATTTGTTGCACAAAAACAATATTAATAGATTAGTAAAAATTTATTGGGTATAGCTGAGTGAGATTCCCATAGCCAAATATATATAATATACGGTACTCTTAATATATGACACTGTATTTGAAGAGTATCTCTGAGTTAAACAATAATTGCAGCTTGTTCCATCCCCATCCATAATGTACACAAAGAGGGGTGTATGGCTTCCAGCAGTCCAAGTTCTGTTGACTGGGCATGATTAGCACCTCTTGGGATGTTCTTTCCTGCTTCTGGACTTATACTCTGCATTATGTACTGTCACACTCAAGTTGACTATATATAATTTTCTGGGGGGAGGGGGGGTGTTAGCTAATTTTATGATACAAATTAATTTCTTTGGACTGTACTTGATTGGGAATTGAAGTTGGGAGAATATGCCTGCAAGGTGTTCAATACATCTCAGGGTAAATATCTTAGTCACAAATTTTTAATTTTCTTCACCTATGAGTTGCATAAATTACAGTTATAGTTAATAGAAAAAAGTCCTATGATTATATACAGGTATATTAAATATAAATCATATTTCTATTTAAAGTTGTAATTTTTATCTGGCATCGGTGTGCTCTTTTTTGTTGGTAACTTTGGCGGGTCAATCTCCTTCAAACTCCTGACTTTGGAGATGCTCCTAATTTGTTTAGATCATAGATTAGTTTGTTCCAAGTTGTTACCCTAGCATTACTCTCTGTTACTGTACTTATTTTTCTGCCCAATTTCACATTGAAATTATACTCCGTAATCTGCTAGACTTCCAGAAATACATCATGGTCTTGCAGCCACTGACCTATATATTTCATTGTCTTAGTCATCCTCACTTTGCTTAATAACTACTTATTCCTTGCCCCTTGAGAGCCTCTCCATAGTTCTCATATTTTAATGGTTCACTTTTTACAACATCTTCATGTAGCATTAGCTAAAACACCATAAACAATCCTTAGTGTATCTCAAGTATTTGCATCATTACTGTATGAGCAGAAAATAGCACACTAAGGATAAAAATTAAGAAAGCAATATTTTACACTTCTCTTTTATTCACAAACTTTCTGTTAATTAGATAATATCATATTTGTTTTTATTCATTATCAATTTTGTTCAGAGAAAATTATACTTTGTATACTGTATTTGATTTTATATCAATTGTATTTACTAATTGTTTATTGATTTTTTTACTATTGTCAATAAATGGATAAACAATAGGATATTAGAAATGCAGTACTGTACCCTGTAATATCACTAACACAACTAACACCTGACCCACATTTTATCATGGTTTTCCCTTTTTCTTTTCTTTGCAGTTGATCGATGAAGACATAGAAAATGTTTGATATGTTGGTGGATTGTCCTATTTTCTTAACTCAGAATTAACATTATGCTTGTAATTTTCTTGGGTTTAGATATTTTATTGCATGACATAGCATTAATCTTTCTGTATTTGTAGCAGTTGCTTGAAAATTACTTATATTTGTAATCTTGTATCGCATGATAACTTGCATTGTAGTGTTGTACAGTATCATGCTGGAACATAGTCTTTAATAAGAATCAGTTGACATCTTTAGAAAGGAAAGATATCCCAGTATTTTCCTCATATTTCTTGAGATAATATGTATATACTGTACTAAGCTGTATGAATAAGCCATATAAGTTAATGCATACACCTCAGTCCACATAAACACTCACATACAAAGGTATATTGTTTGCTGTATGAAAAGTACGTGGTGTTTAGTGCTCACTGAAAGCTGAAACAAGATATAAGGATGGATTCCATGAAAATAAGCAAAACACCCAAAATGGTTGAACTAGAGTTGACATTGTAAAATAGTGCATTGGTCCAATTTATACAAGGGGGTCCCCATTTATAGTAACCCTGTTTTGTGTTGTTTTATTTTTGAGCCAATAATGAATTTGGGAAGGTGTCTGTTTATTGCCACTATGTTTTGTTTAGAGTATCCTTCGCTATCACCTGATACAGTTAACTACTTTGTGTTGCATAGGACTGTATAAAGGACCCAGGGAAGTTTTCCACCTCAGTGTGGCTGCAGCATTGTGTACATTTTTGTGCATTGCAGAAATATGCATGATTCTACAGGATGTTATACTTTTGAGCTAATCTAGCCTATCATCATGCCCCAAAAATGCTCAGCAAGTTACAGTGCAGTGACTATCACAATGAAAACCAGGAAAACAGTTTCCTTGGGTAAAAATTGAAGGTTTTAAAGTCAGTTTGATGATTGTGAGTGAGCTATTCACATTGGTGTCATTCTAGGCTTGCCTTCCACTGTTATAAGATCCACAGTTTTTGAGGTAATGCAGAGAAGATTAGGGCCAGTGATCAATGTGTTTGACGAGGCTGAGCAGATTATGTGCAATATCCACTTGTCTTGGACAAGTGACTATTGATATTTACTTGCCCTTATATTTTTATTACTTATTGTGTGTGTAAACTCACACATCACTTGTGTCCCTCTAAATACCTTTACCCTTCTCCATCCAGTGACGTTTGAAGAACCCAGTCAAGTTTCCTTGCTTCTTATTCATGTTGATGTTGTCACTTCAATTTGTAGCATAACTCTGCTTACACAGAATCAGTGGGAGCTTTTATACAGATTTTCAGGTTAGATCATTGTGAGAACAGACCAATAGAAATAGGGGGATCAGCTGTGACATCAGTGAGGCTGTAACATGCACCTGGGCTTTTTTAGCAGGTCAGGTCATTGTGGGAATAGAAAGGTCAAGCGCGTGCACACACACACACACACTCACACTCTCTCCCCCATCACCTCACTGGTTAAACATGTGGGGGGCAGGGGTCATGCAGCACCTAACAAAATTGCTCTCTGAGTATTTTCCTCTTAAAATATTATCTTGCTGAAAAATTATATGTTCAATTCCTAATTTGGGCTTCTGGGCACTGCTAATATGCACAGCCTGTGTTACACCCCTTAGTGCCACAAATATTAGTAGGTCTAAAGTTTATTACTGGAGAATATGGGGAATGCTCTCTCAGTTTGGATGAAAGATTGACTGATTGTACCAGAACCAGCATAGTGTACGCTAATTTAAATATTTTATCTCTTGAAAATATTATAAACTGTTTTTTCTCTTTTTTTCTTCTTTTTTTACCAATCATGTTAGACAAAAAAAAAACTAAATGAGGACAATGGCAACACCTCATCTCATACCAAGTCCTGTTGAGTTCTCTTTTATTCACAAACCACTATGTCATTGCATAAACTTCCTTATATTGTACAGTAAGTATTTGCAAAGGAATTGTGATACTACCCTGCAAAATAGTAAAAATAGAGAGGGTGAGAGATGGAACAGGAGAGAGAGAAACAAGAGAATGAAGGAGGGAGGGGAGGGGGCAGGTGACCAGGTAATGAGTACCTGTGTAGTGAACCCTAATTGGTAGAATGGCACAGGTTGTACCAGAGTGAGTGCTGTAGTCCACAGTAGCTTGGGCACTGGTTTTGAAATTTAAGACAAAAAATTTGAATCAATGAAAATGCGTAATGTACTGTAAAGTGTTCAATCATTTATGAATTTCATATACTGTAGTATATGAACATTGTGTAGCAGGAGTGTGTAATGAGAATTACCTCTATTAGAATGTTTGTTTGACCTTGATTAGTTTTTGGCCTTTGTCCCCAGAGTACATAGATAAGTGGGGACCTCCTGTATCTTTAAGACTGGTGTGCTATTCGCCTGTAAATATTTGTATTTGTTGCTTGATATTAATTCATCAGTATACAGTATATGTAACATCTATTATGTCAGTGATTGAATCTATTTGGCTAGTTTGATTTTGGATACGTAGTGTTACTGTAAACTTGAAGGATGTGACTAACGGGAAATGAAGCCATGGATTTATTTTTTTTAACGTATCTCTACCACTGCTTTAGTAGTTCTAGCCTGCTAGTACCACCCTCACTTGATCTAGGAAATGTGTTATAACATGTGAAAAAATTTAGAATCTTTAATTTCGTGCAGTTATATCAAATATAAGAGTAAGACTAAATTTTGCACTAGTCATCAAACTGATTAAATCACAAGCAAGAGTTATGAAAAGTATATAATAATCAATGCGTATATCAAACTATCAAGAATTAATGTGACCCTTGTGCCAGTTACCGAAAGCTTTTACAATTTGGGTAAATTTTCCATGAAATTCATAATTTTATATACAGCTACTCCTCGACTGACGACATACTCGACCTCCGACCACCCGGACATACGACTGCCTCAGTCGTACCAAAATTTTGTCAAATTACATATTTTCGAGTCCCAACGTTAGTGATTGCGCTGTGTACTGACAAAATTTTCGTTTGTAATTCACTTTAAAATGGCTGGCGAGCTTAAAAGTGAGAGTTTTGTGGTGCTGAGAAGAAAAAGAGACACCCATTTTAGATTTTCTATGTATTATTTAAGCATTTTCGACTTAGACCAATACGACTTACGACCTGAATTTGGTTCCCTAACCCCCTCGAAAGTTGAGGAGCAGTTGTGTGTGTGTGTGTGTGTGTGTGTGTGTGTGTGTGTGTGTGTGTGTATATATATATATATATATATATATATATATATATATATATATATATATATATATATATATATATATATATATATATATATATATATATATATATATATATATATATATATATATATATATATATATATATATATATATATATGTATGTATGTATGTATGTATGTGTATATATATATATATATATATATATATATATATATATATATATATATATATATATATATATATATATATATATATATATATATATATATATATATATATATAAAGTGAATTGTAGCGTTTGTACTTTAGCTTGAAGGATATTTGTATAAGAGAGTAATCAGGATAAGAAAAAATGCCTCTAGGATATCAGTACAGTACTGTATATGTATATCTTGACTGTATATTGATGCTGAAGTGAATCTTTCTAACTTGTGAATTTCCTTTATTAATTCATAAGCAATGAATATGTATGTGTGTCAGTTTTAGTATTGTTGAAATTAACCATATATTGAGAAAGATGCACATTTATGGATTTCATGAGCTCTCATAAGATAAAGGGATGTGAAGCGGAGTTTTCCGAGTACAGTAAACTGTTGCTCTGGTGTGGTTTTCTATAGACTGGAAATTTTCAGGATGCATATCAACTTTTGCATGTCATATATGTCTGCAGTAGAGTAAGTTTGCCTTTTTTTAACTTTGTAGAATAGTAGACATAAATTTTGCTTTTTATTTACTTCAACCTTTTAACATTATTACTGTTTATACAGTGCTCTGAAGTTATTTTTCTTTGTTTTTTTTATGTTAGCCTATTTGTTTTTTGTTTGCCCCAACACAGTCAAGCATATCAGAGGAGGCCAAAGAAGTGTACAACTCATTGGTGGAACGGCCAGGACTGGATTATGAGCCTCTGCCTTACCGCAGTGAACCTGAGCCACCTGTAAGTGAGCCAGAACCTGCAGAACACAACCCACTGCGAATGTTGCGTGCTGGTGTCACTGTTAGACCCAAGATAAGGGGAAATAAACACAACGTTAGCTCAGGCTTCAGCACAATTGAAAGAAGTCATGGTATGAGAGCTGGGGTTAGGGAGGGACTGACCACAACACTCAACAATAACACTGTAGACCTGACAACCCATCAGACATTACCCAAGGGTTTCAAACATAGTAAGGTTCCACCACCAGTGAAACCCAAACCTTCACCATTAGTTATACCTAACTCTGCATATAGAGCTACTAACGAATCTGCTGGGGAATCCAACACTACGCCAGATCCTATTAGCCCTGATGGAAGTAATCAAGATGCTATAAATTTACTTCCGCTACCTCCTCGAGACCGCACAAGAGCAGTTGCTTCTCTCACTAAAACCAGACATCAGCGCAAGCACCCACTAATCATCCCGGGGGGAGTAACTAACTCCTTGTTACGTGGTGGAGGTCATGTCCCAGCCCTAGCAAGTGTGTCCGACAAGTCAGAGCACACCAGCGGCCGTCTCGTCATTCAACACACGCATAATCCTCAACTTGAGTCTCATAGTACAACAGCAGCTACCACAGCATCTGGGTCACCTGCTGTTGATGGATTTACTAGTGATGATGGCACAATCTCTCCTGGACCAAGACTACCACCAGCTAAGCCTCCCAGATTATTCACGTGAGTACAGTATGTTCAACAACCATAAAATCCTAACGGACTACATAGTGCTGAACAGTACAGTACTCAGACTTAAATGAAACTGTTAAATATAGGTTCAACATACAAAAACTTGTTTCCTATTATGACATTTGTTTTTAGATTCTCCTTATCTTTGCTATTACATTCTTTAAATTTTCATGTTCGGGTCTTATGATAATGGAAATCTAAGCTTATTAATTAGAGAGGAAAAACATGTAATTTATTCAAACTGTTATTCCAAGAAAAATTATTACTGAATGTCTTTATAGAATATTATATCATTTATAGTGTCACATTCTAGGTATTTTTAAGAAGTTGAATAAATCATGACATCATTAGACGGTGCTTCATATGTATTCTTTTTCATAGACAAGTGATTGTCTTTATGATATGTACTGTACCGGATAATGAAAATTTTTGAAATTACCTAAATTATTGTTGTTTAGAAACAAGGTACTGTACTTGTATCAGTGTACAGGTATGTAAAAAAATATAACAGTATGAATCTTTGGTATGCCACATGTTTGTTTTAAGTACAGTATTACATTATGTTAGTTTATTTGTTTTTTAACATGCTCAAAGTAACTGCAGTACCAATGTGTTGTGGATTGACAAGCACATTTGTAACTTGTTAATGTTGAAAAACTTGTTTCATCTTGTAATCTAATGTACAGTACCAGAACCCCCACTTCAGTTTCATCATGTAATTTCTTGTAACAGAAGCCCAAGTGCCCTGGATGACAGCTTTGAGAGTCAAGTGGCCAGTGAGATGGATGCTTTGGATGACATACAGGAAGAAGATCAGTGTGTTTCACCTGTAGGACCTTTACCCCCGCCCTTTCCTAACCCGGAGTCATTCACTAACTCTTCTGACCATCACATAACTACTAATGGCTTTGGGGAGGGGCCAGGAGGGGGAAGTGGATCATTATATCAATCTGGAGATCATGTGTCATGTGAGGACCTCCTGGACTTTGCCATGGACCGCCCTAACTCCAGACGAACTCAGGGACCAGCACGGGGCACCCAATCTGATGAGGTCCACATCATGCAAAAAGTTCTGAAAAATGAGGTTTGTGTAAAATCTTGTTAAAATTTAATATTCATATTGAAGCAGTTTATACTTTAGCCTGAGTCATTGATTCATAAGAATGAATAAAATAATATCAATTATTTAATTTGTCAAATACAATCAATGATTTTAGATTTTGTCCTTAAATACAGTTTAAAAATGAGGTTTATGTATTATCAGTTTTGATTACATTTTTCCTCCTCCTCATCCACTCCCCTCCTCCTCTTCCATATTTTTGTTCTTGATCTTGTTCCTCTTGTGGCTTCCTTTATCTCTGTTGTGATTACAGTTTGTGTGTATATTCTCAGTGCTGTAACACAGAATACTCTTTGATATTTAAAGTTAACAAATTAGATGTAATCGTTTTTGTATGCTTTTATCATCCCCATTATATGTGATTCACTAGTTCTCAAACAATCTTCTTAAATTATACAGTACTTTCATTGCTTTATTTCTCAGTTCAAGCAGAAGGCAGCTGCAACATTTATGTATTGCCAGATTTCTATGCAAAATTCATCTAAAAATATTTTGTATTAGGTACTGTATATGAAGCTAAAATTGCTTGGTGATATGAATGTTTGAAAAATTCTTGCTTTAAATGTGGGAAGGCTGACTGTTGGCACAATTTATTTGCGGGTGTATGAGAGAGAAAACTGGTGAGATGGCTTTCATGAAAGTCGCCTGGAGGAAACAATATGAAGTTACAACTTATTAGTATGTGTTCAAGTGAAACCTATCCAAAATACAAATTCACATATTTACAACAAAAAATAATGCCGTACAGTACATCTGTCTTTCTATTAACCATCTTCCTTTTCCTGCGTAATGAGATAGAACTGGTGCACTGAGCCTCTGAAGGTGAATGGTCAGTATATTGTAGAAGAAAAATATAGAAAAAAGATCTTTGATTGTAACAATGAATCAAGCAAGACTTGGGCATTACTTAAACACTGTGCGTTTATTTACTTGCTTATGAAGTTGATTTGTTGCTTGAATTATCATTTTCATCTACTTTTCCTTTCTGTTATACAGCTATTCATCATTGTGTGCTGTCTTGTAATTTCCCCAGCATCCTCCATTGACACGTTCCTAGATCCTTACACTTCCTTACTGACTCGATCCTCCTCTTATGTGGTCTGTTTATCCCCTGGCTGTCTTCCAGCGTATTATTGAAATCTTCATTGATTTCTCTTTTCATATATTATTCCTAATATTCTTATTATCATATTTGTTATGATAATATGGAAATAATTTCTGGAACTTCCAAGAAAATTTTTCCGTGACCCCGAAAATTCTGGAAAATTCCGGGGATGAGGGATTTTTTCCGGATTTGAGAGAGTCGTCTCGTCACCCGGAAATCTCTCATTCCCAGAAGTGCTTTGCACCAATTGTTCCGGCTATATAAATATATATACACCTGTGATCAACTACCCTAATGCTAATATAACCTAACTCCTCCAGGTATGTTTAGGGTGTCTAATCTTCAGGTGATACTAAAATTGCATAATAAAATTTGACAGGAACTGATAGTGTTCTGCAGACATTGAAAAATAAGTTTGATTTTAAATATGCAGGAAGCATTCATGGTATATTTGTATTTTGTTTGTATAGATATTAAACACAAATTTGTCAAAGTTAGTTATAGATAAAAATAAAGATCTGTGCAATTGAACATTGAAATATTACAGCTATAAAAAATATGGTAGAATGTATGAACAACTTTTCTAGAAATTTAGGCTATGAGTTCATTTTGTATACAGCATGAGCCAGTTACATTATGAGCAAATCTGTGTAGGTATGTAACTCATTGTCTTACCGCTTTCCTTTCATTTTATGTACATTTTTCTTCAAAGTGAAGTTCTGTACTGTACATTGTTAATAATTTGGAAATCAGTTGACTTTATTACATTCAACACATTTTCTGATTATTAGCCCATTGAACTGGTAATATATCATAGTACATCCCTGGTCTTGAGGGTTCAAACCATGTTCTACCTAATACTAAGTTTTAATTATGGCTTTTGTGGATGCCTGTTGCTTCTTATCTACAATATATTGACACAGAAAAAAAACCCTGTCCTTTACCCAAGCCTCAGTGGATATTAACATGTCAAGGGTTTGCCACCCTCTCTTATCACCTGAAAGTTCCCATATAAAATTAAGTTAAGGTGCCTCTGTTAGAAAATATCTATAAATTTTGGTTTTGGGAGGTTTAACAGGTGAGCTTGAATGTTAGGTGTGGCTGTCTTGCATATGAAGTAGTAGACCTCTCTCTTCAGTTTTTGAAATTTACAGACAAAATCTGTGCTTGAACCTTTAAAAAAGGTATCCTTTGATAACATCATCTGGTCGTTTGCGTTCACTTACCAAGCATATTTTGCTTCGTTTTGCGACCTTGTCCATAAATGTACAGCAGATGATTTTTTTTTTCATTCTGACTTGATTCCATCGACATTTTATGTATTTATAGAATCCAGACTTGCCACGTAAAGATGATTACCTATTTAGTATTTAATCTATGACCTTACTGTTATGGGGTATTATATCATTACTTCTTCACAACTTTTTCACCCAATTTCTTCTAATATCACTTTTATGAGCTGTTTATGAGCAGAAAGTGGTGTTTTCTTTTCCACTCAGTTACTTTCTTCACTGTAAAAATGTCAGTTTAGTACTTCATATTTACACCACTAGAGGAATACAATGTAAACAGTAATACATTTTCTTTAAATTCTTTCTTAGCATGTGTCCCCCGAAGAATGTGTTGTGGCACTGAATGAATGTGAGTGGGATGTACACCGTGCCCTTAAGTTAATACGTCTTCAGCTGTTGCTTCCAGCTCACCGTGTACCAATAGAAGCAGCTCGGAACACTTTAGCCTCTTTCTCTTGGGATGTTAGCAAGGCAGCGTCCTACCTTATGGCTACTCGTGGGATTAATGAAGACACTGCACAAGTTTGACGTGTGAAGCTGGATTCTTACAAAAGTAATTATGACTAAAATAATCATCAGGTAATTATACCATACATATTGTAGCATAGCAGTCGCTTTAGTATATTTTTTACAACAGTGGAAGAACTTCTTGTTTCTGGATTTGAGATGAAGTACCATAAAATTTTGATTTGTACAGTACGTATATCTATCTGCGGCATGTTTTACAAACGGTATTAATCACTGTTTTAGGACATGTTAAGGAGTAAATTTTTACATAATTTACCTTCAATAGATTTTTTGTTCTCTAATCATACAGAAGGGATGGTAAAGTTGTGGAAGTGTGTTCCTACACCCCTTGTAGTAACCCATGTCTCGAAACGGCCAACCTCTATGACCTATAGCAAACCTATCTACCAATCACATTCATCCTTACATGACCACTACCCATTAAATCATAAATAGTGATACAGTACTACTATTGCAGTGTTGCCATTTGGAGACACGGGTTACCACAGGGGGTGTAGGAACACATTTCCGCATCTAAACAACAAAAGTTGTTTTACTGTCTTGGTAAACAGCTTCTATTACTAGAGAGAAGATTACAGAAACTTTAAAATTAATTACTTTTTTTTATTATTGAATCAGATACAGTATTTGTCCATAGGGTTTGTTAATGTAAAAGAAATACACCATTTCTTAAATTAAAGTACAGGAATATCCCGGTTATCACAAGGGGTGCATTCCTAAAAGTCATTGCAAATATCGGGGCAATTTTCCCCATAAGAATTAATATAAATAGAGGGGATGCATTCCCAGCTGGCAACTTTCACTACATATTTTTCAATATACTGTACTGTACACCCCTCATTATCCAAGGCTATTAGAGACCAGAGTCGTGTGGATACTGTAAAATCAGTCACTGTGAGGAGTAAATAAAAATTATACTGTACTAATAAATAAAAGAGAAAGAATACCGCATTGACATTTGGCAATAGTTTCACTACATGCAGGAGACTGGAGGGCTGGAGCCCTCTGTCTGTGGGCTAACTACCGCATGTTTAAGAAATGTTTAATCCCTTTGTTTTTGACCTTATGATTATCATTTCTTTTATTTATTTAATTTTTTTGCACATTCTGTAAGAACAATTGTGTATGCATGTAACAGTAGAAAATTACGTGCCTCCCCAAAATTACAATAATGCGGCTCACAGCTTTGCTCAGTAGAGTAAGGATGAAATCACTGACATCACACCCCCACCACCTGCTCCCGTCTGCCTTTTCCACAATCTACATATTCTCTTTGTTTTTGACCATATGGTAATAATTTTGTTCTTTTTTGCATGTTCTGTATGAATAATTGTGTGAGTATTTATACAGAATAAAAAAAATATATGAATATTTACTCAAAATTACGATTTGAAAAGTACTGGTAACAATAGCACAGCTAGGGGGATGTAGCTCCAGCAACATTCTAAGTTGGCAACCTGCCAAGTCCACAAACACGTTCATTTCACACACACCTATGCAACACATTTTTCAATATTACTGTACTGTATTGCATTGTACTGTACCCTACTGTACTGTAAAGGTACACTCCATATAATTCAGTAAAATAACTACAATAACATAAAAACAATACAAAAGAACACTGTGCGATTGTGTGTGCATGTGTATACCATTTGTAAATAAGTGTAAACATTTAAACTAGCATTTACCATTGCCATATGAAGAATTCTAGAATGCTCGGTGTATTTTTTCACACTGGTTTGGAAGTTTAGGTAAAGGCTTGGGGTGAGCAGCTCCATATGTGCGGAAAAAAAAACACCTTTTGTGAAGCAGGACTTGCATTGGAATGTGAGAGCTGCAGCTTGCCCACCCAGTTTGAAATATTACTGTAGAATACCGTAATTTTTAATTTGCGAATAAGTGGGGTATGCTTTGTGGATAGGTGGGGTTGCAAATAGCGAGGTATTCCTGTAATTTAAACACCCCAGAATCTATTTTGTTTATTAACACACTTTAAGAATGTGCCTCTAGAATGTTCATATTTTGGGGGGAAATTGCTCAATTTAGCCACCTTCAGAATATTCTATTATTCAGTTATTTCCTCTGGTAGTCCCATATTTTGAGTAATATAGCTACAGTACATATACATGTAGTTGTGATACAAAATATAAGTACAGTCTTAATGAATGCCTCTTATGGTACCATATAGATTTCCTATTAGATAAAGTAATGATGAAAATGTGCACAGCGTATTTGATACAAGTTATTTTTATGTAAATTTTTTTCATATGTATCTTGTTTAAACTACTTTCAATATATTCTGTAGATATGTGTTTATAAATTATTAGCTAATATAACCTGAATATTTTGTTTAGTTTTGTGTTCATAAAGTTATAGGTATGTTTAATAAAAGTATTTATCAAATGGTTAGTTGACTCATATTTCTAGCTTAAGGCTACACTTGACAGCTTTGCTTGTTACACAGACTTCATTAGTAGTCTTAAAAAACTGCTGATTATTATCAACTAACTATCTGAAGAAAACACATCTTGTATTTATTTGATAGTCTTCCATTTATTGTATTTTAGATGTGAATGAGAATTGCTGAGAGATTATTATTGAGCTTTAAACTTTTTTTGCCCTCATTCATATATATACTTCCATTGTGCAACTTAACCATCACATTTTATCATTGCATAATAACATTACACATTAATATAGTTTGTAGCATTTTGTCCTTTAAAGATAATAGATATTCAAAATCATCATTGCATATTTTCATACTTTTGTATTTTTATATAATGAATATCTGTCTGTTAGAAACTGTCCATTTAGATAGTTCAAAATTGTATCAAGACTCCTTCAGTAAATTTAGAGATTGAGCAACCTTGTCAAGTATTGTAAGCCAGTGAAGAAACTGTTATATATGTTTAGCTCACTGCACAGATTTCATTGTATTTCTGAGTATTTCCTCTAATTTAATGTATTCTCATATCATATTGCAGTGACTGAGGTATGGAGTTATGTAATTAGAAAGTGCAATGTTTGTATGCCTGTAGTTGAATATATAAGTAACCATAAATCATAGTTTTACCAGTAGCAGTGTCACCTACTCCAGTAAAAGAGTATGTATGTATTACAACTTTATTCCAAATGTAGTGCCACCTTTAGTGCAGAAAAGTAATACAAGTATAATTAAAGTTATGAAGTTACACCAAAACATATCTAATTGCTGGTAAAATGGCACAAGTGTCTGATTCTAACCAATAGTGTTTTAGCTCTATATATTATATCACTAAATTAATTACTGTACTTTTCTGATTCAGTTGCAATTGTTTAAAAATTTTACATCTGTAATAAATGGGAAAAAAAGATTAAAGCATTTCTTAAAGGAAAATACAGTACAGGACAATTTTACTCTGAACTGAAGGCAGAATAAATGTTTATAAATAAGTTTAATTAAAGTATACTATGGGTGTTAAGAATAACATAATGCTAGATGTATTGTAACATATTTTTTGTATCTTCATTCTATGAAGGTATAATATCAAATTAACTTAACTTTGCTCATAAAAAATATTAAAGAATGCTATAGCTGTAGTAGGTTAACAGCCTTATGAAGTGTAACCTTACCAGGATTACCATACCAACATTTGGTTCTTACCATGATCTGGGATAACGGCCATATATATCTAATACTGTACAATGCTGTCTTAGGTGCTAATAGATCCTTGTTATGGATCTGACTTTGAACAAAATCATTAAATTGCTCTAAGTCATGATTACCTCTACCAGTATTTCATCAAATAGTAATTTCACAGATACTGTACAGTATTAACAGTTAATAAGATTTTCATATATACTACATTATCATTACAATGCAAGTTAATACAACTTACACATGCTGTCCCTTCACACAAAAAAATTACTACTTTTTTGTTTTCCAAAAAATCAATTCCCTACAGCCTATAATATTCCTTAATTATATACATAAACATTATAACTAAAGAAAAACTTGTAGCTGCATACAATACTGCAAAAGTAGTTTGAGAGGAGGCATAAAAGATGAAAGCTCTGAGAAACTTCCTTTCGCTATTGTCTCGGCATGAATGCTCAGTGCACCACGGTAATCACCAGTCTGTACTGCACTGACAATTCGATGAACTCCAGATATTGTAACTGGACCAAGCTGAAAAAATAAATAAATAAACAAAATCTATGAAGGCATTTTATAAAACATTCCAATATCAAATTGGATTAACAATTTAACTTGTACATTTGCAAATGCTATTGTCAGAATTCTGTCAGTAGTCACCAACACCACCAATGCTCCTCTCCTATGAAATGTTTTTTTTGTGAAGCAGTTTATTAAGGTTCATGTGTGATACAACAAATGACACAATAAATGGGAAGGAGATTGGGGTATGTCTGAATGAATGTTTAGAGGGATTGCATCACAGGACACTGACTTGGTCATCTCACTATCCAATTTTAACTGATGTAATGACTGACATACACTCATCTGACTGACTTACTGAATGAATGACTCATAGTACAAGGGTGGGGGGGCCAAGTTCAAGGATTTTTACTTTGTGGTTCTCGGCTATTTGCGGATGACACCTGGATGTACCCAAGAATGTCTATGGGTAATTTTAAAGTTGCCGGCATTTTTGCGGCTGGGACAGGGAGCCATTCGTTCTAGAGAGTAATTTCCTTTACCTGTATTGTAAATATGTGTGTGTGTGTGTAGACACACAAACACATACAAATAAATAATACCGGTAATTGGAAAATCCTCTCACAAACTATCCGAAACAATTTTATTAAAAATGTGAGTCTACCCTCAAATCCTTTCTCTATTACAGTACTTTATTAATAGAGCACAAATGGAGGGTTGACTCACATTTTTAATAAATTTGTTTCTGATTATTTGTGAGAGGATTTTCTAATTATTATTTATTTTTGTGTGTTTTGTATGTGTGTCTAGAGTCTAGACACACATACAATACTACAGGTAAAAGAAATAGTTGTCCTAAGGACAAACACAAACGAATATACATTTCTTTGTCCACAAGTAAAAATGTACCCCCCACCTCCCCCCACTTTGTGGTGCACAAATGTTATTTCTCGGATTTGTCAATTCGTGGCCATTTTGAGAACCTAGACCTCACGAAGTTGGGGGAGCCCCCTGTACTTGATAAACCAAATGGCTAATTAACATAATTACAGAACTCATCAATCATTCCATTTGCAGACACATATACTGTACTCAAAACCATGCTCTCCAATCATTCAAGTATACATACTGCTGTTTCCTCTTGTTTTATGTCAGTTCTGCCTGCATTTACTTTCAAATAGTTAACTAATAACATTGTATGCTATATGTCCCATTAGTTTATTAAATCTCTCCACTTAAAGCCCACATTCCACAGCCTTACAAGCATGTTACACAGGGCTTAGAGCTTGTCCCATTAGTGTCAATGCTCCAAACTAACCAACAGTATCCCAAAGTCATTACACTGTTGTGTGGGATATAAATCTATGTACTTTTATTATGTTTGTGAAACAATAATTTTCTTACCTGTCCAGCCCGCAGTTTGTCATACAAAGTCTCCATTTTAGTACCAATATCCTCAAGACGTTGTTTTACTTGCTGTAGAGAGATTAAATTTTTTAAATAATCAATGAATCAACAATTACATGTTCACTACTGAGGTCTGAAAATTTGCCATAATACCACCTCTGTATGCTGATGGTGTATGAGAAAAAGTGTGTGTGTGTGTGTGTGTTTGAAATCTAAATTGTAAACCTGAATCCTTTTAGTCTACAATGACTGACTGAAGTCACACCTAAAGTTCAATAACAAACAAGAAAACCTTTACAGTACTATCTTTTAATAAATTCCAACACTGTTGGAAAAAAAAATTTAAGCCCCAAATAAGAAAAAGATTAGGCTTAGGTATGTAAAATCTCATTCTCATATGCTTTATGTATATAAATAGTTTTAAATGCTCTAAAAGGTAATTGTCAAGGAAGATTACCCATTCTTTTCCAAAAAAATAGAAGCAGCTATAGAATCAGACCCAAACTGTACAACATTACCACTCACTTCATACTTCCTACACTGCTCAAAAGTTAAAGGAGTTCAGTTTGCAACAACCATGACTAGATTATCATCATTGGTTATCTACAGTAATCATCTTGAATGAAGGGAAAAGTCACAACACTGAAATGACCCCAACGAAAGTTATATGAAATACGACTGCATTTAAAACCTGACTAAACTGGAATAACTCCTACAATGAGAGCATTATCTATTAACAGGAAATATGTCCCTACAACCCCTCTGCTCTGGGGTGTGACTGGGTAAATAGTCTGGAGCTATGGAGCTAGCCCAAGGGAAGGAGATGGGTAGCTGAAAATGAGCAAAAAATAGGTTGACACAACCTAAGGGCCTCCACTGAACAACCCAGTTTGTAGTTACCTAGTTATCAGATCCCTTGAAAGATTTCAGTATGTCCTAAATTCAAGAACAGGAGCATACAATAATCATTTAAGAGATTATTAAGTATTCTGTACAGTATATCCAATTAATTCTAAGGCATGTTAATCAATGTAAGCCTGAAAAGCCTTTGTATTCTTCTTGTGTGATTACCTATAAAGAAATAAAATAAACCTTTGATAAACTAACCTGGTTTTGAACGACAAGCAAACAACGATTCCGGACATCGTTAATTACATCTTGAATAACTTGATGCTCAGATGGGAGTGGCCCTTTGTTAGCAGGCTCGGGGGTTGAGGCAGCAGCCACAGGTGCAGCAGTCGCAGCACCATGTGCTTCAGCTCCATACTGTGGCTGTTGGAATCCCTGGAATGTACAAAATAATTTTTTTTATTCATTCTTCATACAGTGATCTCTCCATTACTGCAGCAATTGGGGCACAGTTCTTCCGAGGATGAGAAATTTCCAGGGAAAGAGACGACTCTGAAACCCAGAAAAATCCAATATCCTCAAATTTTTCCGGGTACAGTACAGGGTACTGGGAAAAGTTTCTGAGAGCTCTAAAAGAGTCTAAACTACGCATCTTATTTTGACTCTAAACTTTGCATCTCCTCTCAGAAAGACAAACGCTTTCCTATTACATTTAGACTGCAGGCATGAGCAAAAATATTTACGGCACACAAAAAAGTGTAGAAACTATTATTCACAACATCTGTTCTAATAGTGTTAGATAGATGAATTTAGTACCATAATGATCCTGAATAAATTATTTACAAGACAGTTCCAATATAAGATCCTTTTAACAAAATATTTCAGCATGATATAATGATGAAGACTCAATTCTTTTATGAAAAATGTAAGAAATGTTGATACTGGAGACTATAAAATCAGTTTATATATATATATACAGTGGGGTATGCTATAACGAATGGTTTCTACTACGAATATTCCTATAACGAACGGTTTTACCTATAAAATTGAGAATGCTATAACGAACGAAACTCCTACGATTTTTTTTTTTTACACATTTATTGTTTTTTTTTATTACAAGTATTAATGATATTCTTTATTTCAGGGGTTTAGCTGCATATTTATGCACTTTTTTACAATTTTATATTATATGTTTCAGTGTTAAGTGGTTGTATTTGGGGGCCCGGAACGGATTAATCCTATAACGAACGAGTGCTATAACGAACAAGGTTCTAGAACCAATTAGATTCGTTATAGCATACCCCACTGTGTGTGTGTGTGTGTGTGTATATATATATATATATATATATATATATATATATATATATATATATATATATATATATATATATATATATATATATATATATATATATATATATATATATATATACATATATATGTATATATATATATATATATATATAGATATATATATATATATATATATATATATATATATATATATATATATATATATATATATATATATATATATAATTACTAAGTAAAGTGTCTTACCATAAACTGCTGTGGTGGTTCAGGTGCAATACTTCCTGGTACAGGACACATGATTGGCTCGGGTACTTTGGGAGCCTCATTCAGCTGTTGTTGCTGTTGCTGTTTAGCCTGCAAAAAAAAAGAAAAACAAATATTAATCATTTTAAACATACAGTACATAAGTATTTAAAGAAACACACTCACTCAAACTTAGTTGCACTCACACATGAAAATATCAACTTCAGTACCAGTAGATAAAATCATGGATACAAGGGGTAAAGAAAACAATGTACATTCACCTATAAATAATACTTCATAACTTTCCAAATTAATAAATATAGTGTGTACCTGCATGTTATAATAGTAAAAAAGGGAGTATGACATTTCTTCAGTGACAGTCAGTAACAACATACAGTACACAAAAAAGCTAAATCCTAAAATATTCTGCTTTGTAACTATACTGTATACAAAAATTTTAAAAGTTTTTGTCATCTTGAACACAATTCTCAAGAGTATTTCTATCAATAACCTGTGATATGTTAAATAATGGTCAATGATGAAAAAAAAATGCTCAACTTGCATGTAATAAGAGTTTAATGTAAATACCCAAATATTCATCTGCTTTGTTATACTGTACAATATTTTCTTATAAAAGATTACTCATCTCAGTACAGTATTGTATTTTACATAAATACTCATACGGTGATCCCTCGGTTAACGAAATTTTGGTTAACGAATTACCTTCCATAAGATTCTTCGCTTCGGTTAACGAGCAAACCCTCGGTTAACGAATTCCTTACGAATTTTTCCCAACATGTTTTCGCCTGCATTTGGCTGCCCACCAGCTGTAGTATTAGTCCGCCAATACAGTAATCGGTTTTAGGGCTTAAATTCCTTACCATTTTAGTACATATCAAGAAGGTTGTACTATTCAGTAATTTTAAAAGTTTTTTATTACATTTTTTAGTCATTTTAACAATTATTGAACATAATTGAAGTACAGGAAATTAGTTTTTGCACGCCAAACAACCACTCAACACACCAAGCTTGGCGTCAGTTTGTTTACCAGTTCAGAGGAAGGAACATCTTGTTTGAGACTCGTCAACATAAACGCTTTTTTTCTGTTTCCAGTCAAATTATTGGTCATTTTGAAATATATTTTACATATTGATAATATATAGTGCAGTGTTGATTTAAAGAAAATAATCTTGAATTACACCAAGTGAACTAAAATTTTATGGGTGAAATGGCGGCATGGGGTGACTTCCCTTCCACCCCAATGCCTTCTCTCCTCCCTTCTCCTTCACCCCCATTCTAATTCCCATCATCATCAACCAGGAGCCTTCTACATGCACACCTCAAAGTAAGTGTACTTTACTGCATTTATTTTTAGTTTGAAATGAAGTTTCGGTTAACGAATTTTTTGGTTAACGAGCAACCTTCTGGAACGAACTGTGCTCGTTAACCGAGGGACCACTGTACAGGGCTTTGATCTGGAATTCGACAAGTTTGGGACCAAACGTGAGCTAGATTTTGGGTTTATCGGAATTTTGGACACTATATGCTAAAGTTTGGGTGAATGCAGTTCCCACTAGGCCTAATACTGAAACCCAAAAGAATGCTTGCCCTCTATGACCTCAGAATGAAATACAGGTGTTGACCGTTATACGATGGGGTGAGGGATTTTGAAAAGCCATCATAATGTGATTGATCGTCTATCAATAATAATAATTTATGGGGGAAAATAGGTTTCATTCCTGAGACCCTGAAGAGCAAAAGTTAGCACTCAGAATGGTTATTTTTCAATTCGTAATTTTGGGTAGACATGTCATTTTCATAATTTTTTTTTTAATTCTTACATGCACACACAATTTATCATACAAATGTGCAAAAAAATTAAATAAATACATAAATAAATAAATAAATATCATAAGGTCAAAAACATAAAGGACTGTCTATGTGCGAGCTGTGACTTGAGTTACTGAATTGTTATTTATCAACTTGAATTTTGGGTAGATATACCGTACACTTTTTTTTTTTACTGTTACATGCACACACAATCTTTCATACAGAATGTGCCAAAAGAAAAGAAATAATAGTTATAAGATCAAAAATATAAAAGGAACAAACATTTCTTACATGCACCAGACTTATTACGGTGCGGGGAGACAAACTGCACAGTACGTAACTTTCCTCCATTTGTTTTTAACTGTTACACTCACACACATTCTTTCCTACAGAATGTGCCAGAAAAAAATTATCAGGCCAAAAACACAAATAAATAACAATTTCTTCATGTGAGCTGTGACCTACAGTTATGTTGTGGTTATTTTTTAACTAAATTTTGGGGAGATATATATGTAATTTCTTCATTTCTTACCTTCGCACAAAATAGTTCATACAGAATGAGAAAATAAAATCATAAGGTCAAAAACACGGGAATAAACATTTATGTGTGCAGGAGTAAACAATTATAGCAGGGATGAGGGAGCGGCATGGGGTATCTCGGTTCGCTGTCTCGTGTCCCATGCAAACTGACAAGATTGCCATGCAGTATTTATTATTTATTTATTTATTTATTTATTTATTATTTTAATTTATTCCTCACACTTACTGGTACAGTATTTATTATTTTATGTAAAAATAAATATTTCCAAAAGCAAACCATCCTCTGGGTGACGTGACACAGTTCAACTGCTCGCTAAGCCTGGCAGTCACTGGGGTTGGGCAGAGCCTCCCGTGCATCCCACGTGGGTCGCACGTGTTACACCATTCTGAGATTGTGTCATCATATCTCGAAATATTGCAAGTTACTGCACATCACTCTTTCAGAGCAATGACAATGCAGGAAAAGCATTCAAGAGAGCTCAGGCTCTCAACTGGCTCAACCATGTTAATATTAATATTAATATTATTATTATTCGGGAAGCGATCATTGTAAAATTGATCTTAGCCATTGCATAGCGGTAAATGGTGTTAACTGTTTTACATTGTAAAACTGATCAATTGTATATAGATGCATTGTACAATATAACAGTCAACACCTGTACAATATACACAAATTACTGTTTTGAAAACAGGACAATCTATCATTAATTAAATAAAAAAAATAGCTAGGTAAAGTCGTAGACAGTACGTAAGCTGTAATTATAGAACTACAGCACCAGTAATAACCTGTGCTAAGGTTCAATCTAAGACTAGGCTAATTCAGTATTTTTTATCATACATTTTCCTATTATTCTCACAGCCATGCTCCCCCCACCCCGACCAAAAAAAAAAAATGTACAGAAACACTTAAAAATTTACAAAAACAATATGAAATACTGTACATACAAATACATACTATGAAATATGATAGAAAATACAACTGAAAAGCATGTGAGTGTAATCTTTTATCTCACTGATCACCCACCACAATGATTAACCTACATACCGCCTATATCTACACCCAATATTATCACTAATAACATTAAAATAATGAACATGTAATAAATCTAATACAGTAATGCCAAATGAATGGTAAATGAATGATTTATTGAAAAGCACGAGTCTCCATTCTCCCTTTCACAGCTGATCGTCAACTGTTGTTCCTTCACCGCACTCATGTCATTTAATAACATCTAAATTTAACTCTAAAATGGCAATATTTTGCGGGTTCTTGATACAATGTGTGCTTTGTGAAGAATTGGCAGATCTTTTTGTATTCACCATGCATGATTTGGAGAGATTTATAAAGATATAATTACCTGTACATACATATGTAATCAACTGTCACTACATGTATTTCTATGTACAGGGAGTTCTTGTTGTTCATCGCCCCTTTGTTATCATTTCGTTGTTTGAAATACAGATGATTAAATTAACAATTAAAAAATAATAATAAAATTATGTGTGCAGTTTGTCCAACTATACGATAACTGTGATATTTCTGTCTAGCTTACACAACTTGGATGAATCGGACATTTTCTTGTTTACAAATTAAAACACAGTGGAGCCATGCTTTTCCCTGCTCAGTTTGTGTCATGTTGGTACTAATTGTTTTATTTGTGTTCAAGTGCCCCCATATCTTTATTGTGGCCTCTAAATGTCCTGCAAGTGATAGTTCTACACTACCAAGCAAAGTAGCAAAGAAGCACAACATGGCACTGCAACATAAGATGAAAATTATAGCAGTTTGAGGCTGGTGAATGTGCTATGGATATTGGATGTCATTTCTCTATCCCATCCACCTCAGTAAGATCGGTAGTAAAAATGGCAGAAATGTACAAAAGTGCCGTAAAATATGTTACTTCCATGGGTGCAACTAAACTTATAAGAACAAGGAAATTTATGATGGATTAACCTGATCCTTCCTCTCCCCAGTAACCCCCCTCACCCACCACCGCTGATACCTCAGAGCAATTACATGGTGGCAATAACAACACATAAGCATCAGCTCCAAGACTAACATGCATTTTTATTAATTTTTTTATTAGCAAAAGTTAAGTGTACACAGTGCGTAACAGTCTTAGGGACCCTCGCCTTAGCAACCAGCCACCTGGGATGCTCCCTCACCGCCATCACGAGCAACAGTGCTAAACACCATGGAACCCCTGACCTCCACACACACTTGCTAAGCCACACAGCTTCACGGTGGAAACCTGTAGATACTTTATACTTTATGATAATTATTATATTATCATTTTTATTTTTGCACATTCTGTGTGTAGGATTGTGTGCATATAAATGAGTTAAAAAAAATAAGAAAATTACATATACTGTATATGCCTGAAATTATGAGCTGAAAATACCATAACATATAATTCCCAGGTGAGGAATGGTGTCAGTTATACCGAGGGTTTACTGTACAGTAAAATCTGTACTGTACATATGTTAAGATATTATTATAAAAATAATAAGTAATTTTGTGGACATAACATATCTTCCATTTATAACATGAACACAATTTTAGAAAGTTTACAGTTTCAGTGTGCAAGAAGTGATATTTTATATGATGTTAGGATAAGGCCAGATTGTAGATATCATTTTACAGAATTTTAAATGGAATATTCTAAAAAAAAATGTCTGAATTTCGGACAACTCTGAAATTCAGACAGGCAAATTATGGACCATAAATCTGTACAGTATTATCCCTTGACAAGTTTATATGGCTTTCCAGGACATTATAGTAACAATTTAAATTTGGTCAAGTAATAGCCAGAGAATTTGTAGTACAGTACTTACTGATATGATAAGTACTGTACTGTAACATATTCTAAATTCAAAAGAACTTTTTTGAAAGGGAAGAGGAAGTGTGTGTGGATTTTATCAAATTCTGAACAGATACAAGAGTAATACAGTACAGTATACTGTTCACAATTTTTTAAATTTAGTTCAAAACTTCATTAACGTTTTTCTATTTTTCCTTAATTTGATTTTAGACATTCTGTTACATAACAAATCAAGTACGTGGTCACTGGATGAGGTAGCCTCACTAGCAGTAGCTCACAGTCTCGGTGAGCTACAGGCATATTATTTTTACAGCAATCTTTTTTTACATCATCCAACTTGTATTTCATGCTTTCTGCTCCTTTAAGGTTAATGTAAAATGCATATAATTCACCACACTTTCCTATTATAAATATGCATGGCTCTTTTATATTCAAGATCTACTGTGTGTGTCCTTCCAAGCATATTGCTAAGTCTATCAAACTTTCTTCAAACAGGCAGGTTGTTGCACAACCTCCCATGTGATGCATAAGAAATTTTTAAAAACCTTGTAAAACTCTTCCAACTAAAAACAATTAGTAGCATACAATTATATACTGTTGAGTTCCCATCTCATAAATTAAACTGCTTCCTTGTAACTGCTACCCATTTATCATTCCACCATCTCTGAAAATTAATCGTGACACAGCAAATACTCACCAGATTATTTCTCATTCATAATCTCCCATATGTTTTACACTCATGGCCTTTATTATCAATCACCATTACATTAACTTTATTATAGCTCCCTGGAATTTGTTTTGTTAAAGCCTAATTATGAATACAACAAGACTAGTACTGTATAAATATCCATACAGCAGTAATTGTGCAAACTAATGTTCTTTAATAAAACAACCTGGATGAGCATTGTGATAGCCCAATACAAGTTATCATTATGGTTAAACATGTTGGAGCATATCTACACTACACTATATACCAATAACCCAAAGGAGGGGAAAACATAATACTAAATGCTAAATCACGCCAACAATACATACCAGTACAGTATTGACAATTTAAATAAACAATACAACTGCAAATTCACATTAACATGTCATACTGCAACAGCTTGATACTGTAAACTGAGGCAGTGTGTTACAGCATACACTCAATAGCAACACACAAACACTCCAAATACACATACAGATGCTCACACACACTGTGTGTGTCACACTTAATTGGTATACTGTAATAATCTTATTAAGCCTCAAAATGACAATGACTCTTCTTTGTCTAAGAATGATAACATTGTTTCTATTGTTATAACTCAATGGAAATTAGTTCACATATGGTAAAATATGCTGTTCAATTTTAGACTTTGTATACTTTCATAGCTACAGTGCACTACCTAAATTAGGTCAGGTAAAATTAGATTAGGTTGAACTTAGGTTAGTTGTAATGCTATTCATTACTTTGTATTACAGTACATTATCTATATGACTGTCCCAAAATATAAAGGTCTTAAGTGAAACAGAGTAAATATTATCAAATATTGTACAGTATGAATTAATTTCCATTATGCTAAAAACAAAATGTTAAACCTACGGGTATTTGTAGATTCCCGGTTATCCGGCACCTATGGGGATTGAGAGGTGCCGGATAAAGATATTTTCCGGTTAGTTGAACCTCACTCTTAGGATCCTCCAATATATACTACAATGCACAGTGCTACAGACTGACCTCATAAATTTGTGTCTCAAGAAAAACAGACTTCTTTAACACTTATTCCACTTTATATAAATGATGTGGCTTAAAAATAAAGAAAATATAATATAAAACTATCAAATAAGAAAAATGAAGAGCATGGGTGTGTATGTGTGTTGTAGCCGTGGGTTACTGGGCTGTAACTGCATGGCCTCGCTCTCTCCCATGTGATGTCACAGCATACACACAACCAGCGCAGCAGCCACACGTCTGTGAGTAAGTTGGGTGACTGCCTAAACTGTGTCATGTTTTTCAAAGGATGGTTTTAGTGTGTAAGGAGCTATTTTTGTACACTCTCACCAAAATCTTCTTGAATGCTACAAGCACTATGCAATCTGAAAAATGAACAAAGAATCTGAAACCATTCCGAGATGACAAGCCCCATTCTGCTCATTCTCTCATCCATCATGCCCAGGTGTTCAAGAAGTTTTTGTAGAGTGTACACAAAATGTGCCATTGTATTTTGATAAAGTATGGTGTGCATCAATTTTATTGTTTATCATGGCACTAAATATGGCAGCTCATTCCCATTGTGCACGGTATTCAAACTTACAATTCTAGCTGAATTTAGATTTTTTTTTTACTTATATTATTTCAATGTACATGTAGTGCCGGTTAGCTGAATCTGCCGCTTGCATGGATTCCGGATAACCAGGATTCTACAGTGCATTTGTACTGGGCTATATTTTGAAAAAAATCTTGCCCTTTTAACAAAAAGCTTAGGTTTGCAAGCCTTTTGCTTCATGCAATATTCTCAAAGTTTCATTACATTAACAGCATAAAATTAATAGGATGCTGCTACTATTTGACATTCAACATCAGATTGCAAAACAAAAATACAAAATCTTTATTTCTGCAGGTCATTTAGTTAGAACTAAAATGTCAATACAATAAAGTTGTATACAATGACCAAAGTACACTTTTAGCCCTTGAACATGGTTAGTGGGTTCTTGTGTGGGGAAATAGTGAGTGAGCAAAAAATCTATTCAATTTTATGGACTTTGTTGGTCAAACCTGAAAGTGTAGAATTTTGCTAATTCAGTAATGTATTGAGTAACAAATATTCAAATGCAAAGCAAAAAAGCTAATGTAGAAGTTTGTTAACCAAAATATGCATATCTGAAATAAGATAAGGATCATTACCATACAAATACTGTACAGTATTTCATGGACTATAACAGTCTTGGGAGCATTTTTTGGTGGTAGTTAGCTTGACTAGAAGCTTATCATGCTTCATGCCAACCTTTCTCCACAAACCTGCTTCAGCATCAGTAACTTCTTGTCTCCGGAGTGGCCTCCATGGTACTTAGGCTCTCCACCAAACTGCTGCCACTCCTCAAAATTTTATGGTACAGTAATTAATGAATGAAGTAAAATGTGATCCATGAATATCTTAAGAGGTAAAAGGAATAGATATGAGAAACATACTGTACTACTGTATGAAGCTTATTTATGAACTATATAAGATGGACTAATTTTATATTAACAGATTACTTTTGTAATATCGGAAGCCTTTTTTTTTGTATACCAAATACAGTACATATCTTAAGGAAAGCAAATTGTTAAATAGCCACACTATAGCTTGCAATGATTTTTTGGGCCAGAGAGCCACTACTTTATCCCATTGCATCAGTACCTAACACTGGTTCACTGTTTTATTATATATATATATATGCAAGTAAATCACTGTAGGTGCGCGTGATCTAGGTATATGCTGATAACCACAAGGAAAGAAGAAAACACGAAGTTCCCAAGCGCTTTCGTGTAATTCACATTTTTTTTTTTTTTTTAATATCTACTGTATTTGTAATAACCCAAATTATGCAAATCACAATCAATATTTTTATAACACTTAACCATAACTGCAGATACCAACTTTGATCCAACCTATCAAAGCAATTTCAACTTCTATGCAGACTCACCATCAGGCAACATGTTTGTCTAACATTGCACATAATACAGTAGGTAATATAAACAACTAGAGATATAGCTAACCGATGAATGTCCTGCCATACTGTAGTCTAGGAATACCCCGGTTATCGCAAGGGATGAGTTCCTAAATGTCATTGTGAATAATGAAATCGCCAATATCGGGGCAATTAGAGAGGGATGCGTTCCCAGCTGGCAACTTTCACCACATACTTTTCGATATATATACTCCTCATTATCCGAGGCTATTATGGACTAGGGTCATGTGTATACTGTAGTGCAGTACCAGCAAATGTGAGGAATAAATAAAAATTATGCTCATAAATAAAAGAAAAGAAAAAATACTATATTGCCAGTTGGCAATAGTTTCACAACAAGTAGAGACTGGAGTGGATGAGATCTCCAATACTCCTTCCTTTTTATTATCTTTGTTTTTGACCTTAAGGTAATTTTTTTGTTTTTTTACACTGTATGAACAATTGTGTGTGTATGTAACATAGTAAAAGAAAATGAATAAAAATATACAAATCTACTCTTAATTATGAGTTGAAAAATAACAATAATACAGCTCACACCACCACACTCCTGTCACCACCAACACTCACCACTACCAACACTCGCCATCACTCAATACCACCAACACTCATCAACACTGCTAACTCACCAAGAACACTCATCACCACCATTAATTCATCATCACCACTAACTCACCACCACTCACCATCACTAGCAACACTCCCCTCCTGCTCCACCCCTTCCCTTTCACGATCGGACACTAACTACCGCGGATGTAAGAAATGTTTAATGTCTTATGATAATCATATCTTTTAATATTTATTTTTTGCACATTCTGTACGAACTGTGTGTGTATTTAACAAAGTAAAAGAAAACGAGTAAAAATTTGTATATCTACTCAAATTACAAGTTGCAAAACAACAATAACATAGCCTTGCCTGGCCACCTGCCTACCTCAACCCAGCATTTTTGTAATTATATCAAAACTAATTCTCAGCAGTTCAAGAACTACAATGCCCACACACACACACAAACACATAAGGCAATACGAAGTGCAGAATATTGATCCACTACATCGATCATCGATCCACTACAGTCACTGTTTGGAGTCACTAAAGGTCCAAGTACAGGATGGGCATGTGAAAGAGAATGTCTCCATGGGTACAAGAACCTCTAACAAAAATACAAAGGTGAATTAACCTCACCTTACGTGAAGATGACAGAGGAGGAGGATCATTCCAACCACGTGGCACACTAGAATCAAAGGCTGCTGGTGTTTTCAGTGCTGGCTGTGGAGGTGCGGGTTGTTGTTGTTCTCCATATATTGGGTTTACTCCCGGGGTTGCTGCTGGACTGAAGAACTGAGGTGCTGTTTGTGTTGGCACAGCTGGTTGGGATGGATTAAGAGGCACTGGATTTATTCCAGCAGTTGGAGGTAAGAAAGGAGAAGGTTGAGGAGGCAGGGCTGGGTTAAGCATATTAGCAGGCGGTGGAGCATGTGCACTCTCTTGAACATATCGGCTAGAACCTCCACGTCGGAAACCTATAAAGAAAATAGGCATGCAATAGTATTTATGCCTTGTCTTGTTGGGCATAAAGAAGCTAGAGAATCTGTAGGGTATACATACTTCTGCTGGTCAGGTTACTGATCTTTTCATTTCAGTGATGCTTAAATAAGCCAAGGCTAAAGATATTATACACCAAGTTATCAGTTTTCTAATAAAAGACTTCATAAAATATTTAAATACTATATCCTTCACTTCCAACTAGCTATTTGTCTGCTGAAGAACCCGCAGTGTTTTCATTGCATTCATATTTCTTCACAAGCAAAGCAAAGCAGCTATTTCTCAAGTTTGAAAGAGAACTGTAGCATGTTTTTGTAAATTAATACAAGCACTATTGTTATGGATTCAATGTGGCAAGCTCTCCTAATGATCTCTTTAGGTGCCTCTACAAAACTTCAATTAATTCTGAAAAGTTATACATACAGCTCCTCCCCGACTTACGACGGGGTTAGGGACCCAAATCCAGGTCGCAAGTCGAAATGGTCGTAAGTCGAAAATGGTTAAATAATACATAGAAAATCTAAAATTGGTGTCTCTTTTTCTTCTCAGCACCACGAAACTCTCACTTTTAAGCTTCCCAGCCATTTTAAAGTGAATTATAAACGAAAATTTTGTCTGTGTACTGAAGTTGGGACGCGAAAATAAGTAAATTTGAAAATATTTTGGTACGACTGAGGCAGGTCGTAAGTGCAGGTGGTCGTAAGTCAAGTAGATCGTAAGTTGGGGAGGAGCTGTATATTCAATATCTTTTTTATACTGTACAACGTATATTAAAAGCACTAAGACAATGTTTTATTCCTTGACCTTACAATTTTTATCCTCATCTTACGAATATATTTATTATCTGCCATTCTGAACATAAAGTAACAAAAGCCTACATAAAACTATTATATAACCTGTCTAAAAAAGTATAACCCTTTTAATCAGCAAGATGCCTGTTAGATTTCTTCCTTATAATAGATAATGGAAAAAAAGAACAGGAATAAATGCTTCTTCCCTATACATTCTATTCTTTACAATTTAAGTTTTCACAAAGAAACCAGATCACTCTTTGGTAGACACATGATATATCAGACCTTTAAGTGGATTAGGAGAATACCTGATTGACATTAGTTAGATAGAGTAAGTATTTTTAAAGAGGGTGAGGAACTGGCAACATTTCACTTTAGTACAGTGCTAGAAAAAATGGAGGGAATGAAAATCCACCGGATTTATACAACAAAGACCAGTTCACCAAATACAAGAATGCTTTCTATTGATAAAATAGATTGCAGCCAATAAAATATATTGGTAAATACAAACTAAAACTCAAAGTAACTTGTCTCCATGAGTATCAGTAATAGAGTGCACGTATGTGGAGCCGAGCTGGTCTAGTGCTTCAGTTGCCACCTTTCATTTTCCAATTTTTTCATACAGTACTGTACATAAAAAAATGAACAGGGAAAAATTTTAACACTCAAGTAGAATCACCTGGTACAGTGGCTGGTGGATTTTGTGAAAATTGGCAGCGGTGTGTTTTGTTGACATTGTACTATATTGACGTGAATGGGCAGAAGCAACCTCTTTATAGTTGTCAGATTATGGTGTTAAGAATGTCAATACTTCATGTACTGTACAGCTACAAATTACATTCTAATAACCAAATATAATGACAATGCCTACTATCTTATAAAAGATGGCTGGCAGTGGTGTGAGGTAAGGAAAGAGGGAGGGGGAAGGGAAACTAGAAGGGAGGGTCCATATGCTGGGGAGGAGGAAAGTTGCACCAATCCGGGGTTCAGACAACACCTATCTTTACCCATGATTGGCTATCTCCCAAACTTTATTTTACCTGTGATTGGTTGCAGTAATGTTGACACCACAAACTGTCGGACAGCCATTAGCATTGTCCCACTAATGCTTGCCATTTCCATAATTTTGTCGATTTTGATAACTGACACCTTATATTATGATTAAAAATGCCATTAGTAGAGAAATGTTCTCTGCTAAAATATGACTGACAGAGACTCCTCCATATTGTGCGATAAAATTGAATAATGGCAATGGTCGCAAGTAGTGTCAACTAGAGAGACGGGAATTTGCAGTATCGGACGCAAATGCTTGCGACAGGGATAATGTAAAAGGAATGTCCACTGGCTTGTGAAGGTTGGTGCCTTCAATTACTTTTATGTTTCAATGTGATGTAGAGGTAGGTATCCACATATCCCATTGGGATTTGGGGGTTTTACCACAACTAAATAAAATTGTTTTGTGTTAGCTAGAACAAAATCAGCAAAGTTGTTTTTGGTCTCAATGGGTTCTTTTTTCTTTTATAATTTTTGTCACTATCAGTTTACTAGCCGTCTGGGTGCTCTATCCAGTGTTAGGGACCGTGAAACCTGCGATGTTTGTTAAGGTCACACAGGACAAACCCTTCTCACGAGTGTTACCGTTGACATTCTTATATGGTAGTACCATAAGCATTATGGATATGTTAATTTTCAAGGGAAATTTTGTAGTTGTGCACTAGTTAGCACATCACAGCATACATACTATACTCTCTATTTTGCTTAACACTATCAAATATTATACCAACCTGATTGTAAGATAGGACTTTGAATTACCTTATAAGGAACGGTTATGTAAGGAGATTTATTATGGCCTTTTTTTTATTAATCTATAAGATATATATTCAACGAGAGTATACAGAGAAAAGCCAATACAGTAATTAAAACACAAGCATTGTGATATCATATTTGCAGTAATATTCTACAAATTGTTGCTAAGAATCAGTTCCACATACCTTGTTTATAATAATGAGCTCATATTAGGTAGATAAATGTGAAATGTTGGTTCTACTATTATCATGAAAATATACAAAATGTTTCATAATGCAATTACAGTATACTGTATAATGTCTTCGCCTAGTTCCCCAAATATGTAAATATATTTGACAAGATGATTCCTAATGATGACCACTGATCATAACTGCATTCCTGTCCCAGTTAACTGGCTAGCCTTAACCGAGCCCCACCTACCCAGCATTCCAACACCACCTGTCTCTGTAAAATATAACCTTTGTGCCCAGCAGATTGCATTGTCTCTTATGAGTATACTATTATTTATACATTTAATATGCCATATGTTGTGCTGGCATACAAGTACATATGCATATACTGTACTAGTCTCCCTGCATAAAATAACTCCAGCCATGTAAGAATATATTAAATGCATACACAGCAGATAAGACATAATAACATAGTATTTGTTGCTCAGTAAGTTAACTGAAATAAAAAAGGAAATATTAACATTCATAGGTTGAGGAGGATTGTCTGTACGTACAACACGATTTTACCACTTGGGCAGGGACACCACCTTGCCACCCCCACCATCCTGCAGATTGTGGGCATTGGCATTACATTTGGCAAGATGAATGCAAACTACAGTATAACCAAACAGGAACTAGCAGTATTCATAGATAAGATGAGGATTAAATATTAAACCCTAAGTCTATCCGATATTAAGAGGTTGTTTCATGCCATTCAGTATTCAAACAAAGTTGCAACATCTCAGAAAAAGTATCCTCCACTGTACCAAGTGCAGGCAACTGTACCTACTGTATGTAGATGATGGAAACACCTACAGTATCAAGATAGAACCAGCTGGGATGACTAAAACCCATGGAAAAATAAATAAATACAGTAAAGAGCATTTATTCACTAGAGTGGGTCTGCAAAAGTTTATAATATGAGAAGTTATGAAAGAAACATTAATAGGTAACATGAACTGGATTAATGAATTCCACTGAGCAAATTCTTAAGATTTTGATTTCGAAGAAGTGATGTACAGTACACAAAACACACAGCTACACATATACTGTACTGCATTACCACCATTTAACTTTCAGTACAAGGTGGTATGTTACCATAAACCGGGATGACTTCGGAAAGCTTTGAAGGATTTTTGTCGACTCCAATAACAACAAAACCAGAGATATTCTTTTATGATCAATGGATAAAGTACTGTATCCCCATTACATGCTAAAGAAATACAAAAAATTTAGCGCATAGATTTTCCCAGAATATTTCAAGATTTATTTTTATTTTTTCACCAAAAACTGAGTTTAAATCCTACTGTGTCCAAAGTCACCCTGAAAAAAAAATAAAATTAAAGATACATTACCTTGACACTTTGTAGTCACTAATTTTGTGCAACAAATTTAATAGTATTTGGTGATCCCCAGCCATTTTCCCTACTCTACAACCTCCCGCAATTAGCTTTTTCATGGTACCCACAGATTTTCTGACCAGAAGAAGGTTTTGAGGTACCTTCAAAAAAATTTTTTTTCCATATAATTTTATTTTTTACTTTGCCAATAAAAATCGCACTTAATCAGCAGTTACATCATATATTACCCATTACAGTATTCATCTTTTATATTGGTAATTTTGTTTTTTAATATCTGATACAGTATTTACGTTAAACAAACTTGTTTAATTATACCGGAACATTGTCCATAAATGCCCCGTGTCTGTAGACACCCCAGTTTATGGTACTCAAGTTGTCCAAGATGGAAACTCAGCTTTATCACAAACAGGATGTATGGACACATGACCAATTACTGTACATGCAACTGATTATATATGTATAATACATACCTAACTATTTTTCTTGTACTGTAACTACTATGGCATATCAAAAGTTACGTGTCTTAAAATTTGTTAAGTCTTGATTAAGTGGTCTATGAAACTAGCAAAGGCTGATTTCCTATTTACTAAATAATAATCTAAAATACATGGGCTAAAAAGAACTTTCATGGTGTCAAATATTCCTAACTTACCCTCATTTTCTCGCTCATAAGTGACATCTAGATGTAAAGTAAAAAATAGAAACAATAGCATGGTTATTAAAAGTAAAAAAAGAGATCCAGTATACACAAGTTGTGTAAAGCATTGCAATGCAATACAACACTTACCTGCTGCTAAATGTTCATTGCAAAAATAGCAGCATGGATTTCATTTGTGATATGAATTGAGTAAGATGCAGGCCTCAACACATTCAGGTTTCACTAAAATGGGTTACCCGGTAATTATTACCCAATTAAATCTTTAGAGGTTTCAGTTTTTATTTTATTCAATTTTGACCCACAAGATGGCCAGTAGTTATGCATACAAAATTATAATAAAGTTAGTAACAAATTTAACATTAAGCCCATATAATACCTCATACAGTCCTTATACAAAATATGTCAACATATGAAGGTTGAGGACATCAATGTAGAAATATAACCAAGAAAAAAATGGTAATTTGTGAGGAGTCAAAATGCCACTTATGATATCATTCAAATTAATACAGTACAATATAAGGAAAATAATTAACTCATTACAAGTCTTACCATAAACTGAAAATAGAAAACCTACCTAAAAAATACTTATCACTGCTAAATGTTATTAAAGTGTCTGTTTAAATGATCTTAAAAATAGAAAAAATTATGGGCAAACCTAAATGAATCAGGAGTACTGTACAGTAAAAACCCCATAATTTGAAATAATAGGGGCTCTAGCCCTTACAAATTATGAGATTTTATGAAATATAAGGGACACCCCCAGAGAGAGAGAGAGAGAGAAAAAAAAAAAAAAACCAAGGTACTTTTACGTCTTTTGCCCAATCAAAATTTAAACATTTCTAAGTACAGTACTGTACCAAAATTAGGTACACTACTTGGTTCAGGGCTATCAGACATAATGGCTCAAACACTCGGTAATGATGGAAAAAGCTTGCATGGTAGACCATCGATGTACACTCCATGACTAACCAACATAAACTAACTGACTGTGACTGACATATATAGCACTTGTTTACACTGAGGCAGTTGTTGCAGCCCATGGTGACATGTGCGTCATTTACAGGTACAGTACAGTATACCTACTTGAAAATTTCTCTCGTAATCGAAAATTTTACCCAATATTAAAAAATTTGTAATATATACTTTATAACAGTAAAAAATTACGAATAATTAGTGATTTTGAATCGGGGGGTCGTCAAATTATGGGGGTTATACTGTACAGTACTGTTTCAAAATATGGTGTACACATACACTACCAAGGCAGTGAGGAGATTTTACTGTGCAAAAGGGGCAAAGAAATGACTTCTTATGGGTAAAAAACACCTTAAAACTATGGGTAAGAAGAAATTAATTGTCGTACTTACCTCCAGATGATACAGGTCCAGTAGGTGGAGGACCCGCTGGTGGTGCAGAAGCCATTGGCTGCATTGCTCCCATGGGTGGTACCCCATACTGTGGCATCATCATGACAGGTGCCTGGAAAGTTAATATAAACAAAGTGCTATGATATATGAAAATTAATCCTAATCTCAAAATGTTCTGGGAAAATCTATGCGGGTTGGTCAATCATTCTGTGAAATTTCAATGTCATAAGACAATTTCTAGCCTCAAAATTAAATAACTCCATACACAGCTGTGCTCCTAGACCTACTGTGCACATCACACACCATACACAATGAAATACACACAGACGAATTCACACACAAGACTTTCATATGTAACAAATATAGATTAATTCTTTACAGTACGGAATATGAAATGTAATGTACACACATGCATCTTTTATACAAAACTCAAGATTTAAACATAAAAAATGTGGGAAGGCATTAGGCCGTTAAAAATTATGGCAGGAAAGGACGGCGTGCATATACGTTGGCTGCAATACCCTACAGCTGCATGTTAGGGGTAAATGGTGCCAGGCAATAACAAAACAGCTGGTTGAGTTGTAGCCATGAACCACTTTGTACACTTACCTTGCAATACCCTTATTTCCCACCTTTCTTTGAGGTTTCTGTACACATTAATCTACCCATTAAAGTGTGAAAGGGATATAAAGATAATGTACAGACTAGATACCTGAGGAGCTAATGGTGCTGGAGTCCCTGGGTTGTAGAAAGCAGGTGATGGTGGTATGGCAGCAGGCTGGGAAGAGATTTGATCCCCATAAATTGATCGCTGTTGATCTTGCACTGAAGGTGTGAATTGACATGGCTGTATAAAAATAAGATTTTCATTTAATTATAAACCTTCAATACTGTACCTGTACATACATAAGAATAATTACATGATACTATTAGTCTAGAACCCATAATCATTGAGTTCAGTACCAAATTACTGCAATTTAGTTTGTTCAGCCACTCTCAAACTCAAAGGTTGGATTCATATCCACTGTTAGAAGGTTGATTTTGATGTTAAGAAACACTTCAAAGTTGGACATGAACCCAACTAATATGGACAGTAAGGTGTCACTGGCCAAATACTGTACAGGTACAGTAACCTCCATTTATCACATGATTCTGTACCTAAAAACCCTTACTGCAACTTAAGGATATATGAATGATACAAGTCAAACTGTCACTTTTTGTTCTCAGGCCATTGACTTAGTAGTGTTTAGAGCACTAGTGAATTCTTTAGAACTGGCATATTCAAGAAACTAATCACCAGCTATTATTATTATGAGGGATTCATTCCCAGCCAAGTATTTTTGGGATAGATGCTGATTTTTTTTTTTACAGAAACAATTATAAATTGATGATAAACATAAAATATGTACAAAGACAGCAAATTACTTCATACAATATAAAATACAATTGAGAGGCATATGAATGCTCTCCCCCTCACAGCCCTTTGTCAAGATCACGTCATTTACAAATGTCTAATTCACCTCTAAAATGATACTCTTTTACAGTTTCTTGATACAAGTTGTACTTCTTGAAGTACAAACTACCATCATATCCCAAGCAGTGTAGTACATTTTCTTTTGACAGAACTCTGATAAAACTGAACAATGCGATAACCAAATATTTAGGTTATAAAAATTAAATCACTATAAATTGAAACTGTTATTTGTAAAGCTGTGATAAACGAGGATTACGTGTAGATTTTGTACATGTGTTCAGACGTCTATATTTGTAGGTGCTGACAGATATGTAAGGACAAATTGTGCCCTAGGCTCTACTTCAATATATATATATATATATATATATATATTACAACAAAAGGATCTCTTCACATTATTACCAATACTGTACAGTACAGTACAGTATAGAGAAGTCTTAAATTTCAATTGTATTGCATTAAAAATTCCATAATTAAAATTATTATTCTAAATTAATTGATTACACGAAGTCTATTATTAAAAATTCTCAAATCAGAAGTAGTTTTAAAGAGATGTGACAATGGTATTCCTAACATAAGGTGACTATATTATAAACTAAGAAAGAATTACCGGGTACATAAAACAAATATTACAATGAAAATATCCATTACAATGTTTGTGGTGGTTGTCTACATCATATACAATACAGTGCAGGTATAAATACCCTGTATGTGTCTAATACAGATACTCTACAGGTAATACAGTACACTAATTATATGGCAAGTTTTGGACCGGAAAGTTTCCCAATTTTGGAAATGATAAGTTTAGAATATACAAAAAATATTAAAGAAATCACTGTATGGGAAAATATGCTGATGTTTAGAGGATGTATTCCCCAGACAACCACAGAATTAAATTTATAAATTTTTTGTTACTAAAGCAATGATTATACAGTAAGTCATTAATTAACCCGTAACTGCAGCTAACGTCTATTAATGTGTGCTGCAGGCGACTGTGGCCAACATCAACAGACACAGTCATTTCCTACTAACTCATATACATGTGAATAATGCTGCTGCACTTTGTTTAAGGCAAGCCACCCCTAGTAGATACCCATTTCCCTCTAAAAGACTTTGTAGTTGTTTTTAAGTACAGTATTACTGTATGTAAGTTAGGAAAGAACGATGAAATCATTACAAGTACGATAAAGTAAAGGTATAAGAAGTAAAAGTGAGTAATCAGTAAACAAAAGCCACTGACTACCTCATGGTACCGTAGCATTGCCACTTGCCAACGCCCAAATATCAAATACTGTACTGTACTGCTAACTACCAACACCCAAATATAATTTGGCAACAGCAGGGTCACTGGCCATTATTACGTATTATATTAGAATTGTGCATGGAGAAAAATATCCACCTCATGAATTGTAATATAAGTAATTAATTTTCCCCCATATTCTGTTATTCTGCATGCATGCTTCTCCACAATTTTTTAAGAAAATTTACCATTTTCGTAAAACTTGGAAAAACTCCAGTCTGATTGCGCATACAAAGAGTAGCCAATTATTCCAGTGCCATAGTACAGTACAGGTATAAGGATTAAAAAAAAAAGAGTAAAATACAAGTAATTGTACATACAAAAGCTGTACAGCATTCATAAAATGCTATTGATTAAAATGTCTAGATATCTACCGGTAGATTTAAAAAAAAAAGGCAAAAACACATTCTTCAAAATGTCAATCACTACTATGTGAATCACCAGTGTGGGTCATGTGGGTCTGGCTTGGTAGAGTTCACGTAGGTTTGGTTTAGAGGTACATCATGCAATTGTGCAACAATGCATAGTTGTGAAAATGTACTATATCAACACAACCGCATTAAACATGTTGAACCTGTACTCAGGTTAAAACGGCTGGAGTATGAAGATTTCCAAAATTCAGACACACACACACACATATAATCAGTACACTACCTGTATCACAAATTAGCATTTAAATTTTTTTTTTTACAGAATTACTATTATTACATAATATATTTCAACGTTAATAACTTTGTTTAATACTTATAACTAAACTACATCTAATACTGTACTACTTGTACTGTACATTTAATGCATAATAGTTACTAATATCTAAAATACTTCAATAATACAGTACAGTATATATTTTCCAAAGTAATTCTATCTCCTTTTGTTAATATTACGTACTAGGCTTGACATTTTATATTTTTCTTCCCTTCAGTTTTAAATTTTCAATAATGTCCAACCTCTTTTAGTCTTCATTGTAACCCCTACACCAAAATCAAAATTTTTTTACATAAATCACAGTGTAATTAAGACCACAGGGCAGCAACTAAATAGCGGAGGCAGAGTTGTAGCATCAGCCATGCTAATGTATTGCAGATGAAGAAACATTATGAAAAGAAAACACAACTTCATTTCCACGAGATGGGTTTTCCAATGCAAACTATTTGCCACGCCTTAAAAAATTTGATGCAGATCAAGTACAGTACAGTAAGGTCCCACTTAAGGAGCGAGGTGTGTTTCTGAAAAATGTTTGTTAGGTGAATTCTCATTCAACCCGATACCATTTTTTCATGCTAAAAGCACACACAATCATGTAAACTTAAATACTGTATGCTACAGCCAAAAAGAATTTTTACCGTGATTGGTCGTTGGTGTGGTAAACACACATGATTGCCATTAAAAATGGTAATATATATTATCTGTGGTGCTGGAGTATCTTTAAGGAGCAGCTGCAATGAAAACAACCTAAAGAACCTTTCACAAACCATATAGTGTACAGTACAGGTAATGACTAAAAAAAAAAAAAAAAATTTGTTGATCAGTGCATTCCTTCCAAAGTCCATAATATTTATTGGTAAGGAAGCAGTGTGTGTGAGCCACTTCATCTTACAGGCAGCACACATCATTAAAATCCACAATGCTTTCTGAGTGGAAAAAAAAAAAAAAAAGCTGTGGACAGCACAAGAGCACAGGAGATACTGTGCTGCACCCAGAAAACAAATGCCCCCCTGTTGTCTAAGCTCAATGGCTAACCAGGCTGGGTTAGCCTGCCACTGACATCACCTTACGGTATAGAAAATGAGTCAACAAATGCACTTGCCTGGCTTGCTACTTAGCATATGATAAAGCATGACTAGCCTAACTCCACATACAATAATGTGAGCTGGTTCACGCAGAATATTCCTTGTTAAATCGAATGCAGTACAAATTTCTCCATTGAATTTTCATACCTTAAAGCACTACAGTATCATCAATGAACCAAATTCTTGCTCATAGAGAAATCCTTCAGCAGGACCTTACTGTATTTTAGACATGATTTATGTGGGATGGATAGCCAATTTTTTATGTTTTTAAGACACTGTCCTGAATTCCTAATACAATATTCAGAGGGTTAATTTGAGGATGAGTCATATGTTAGGAATGTAAAAGTCTTAGCAAAACATCAGTAGTAGGGACTCCTGGAGGAAGTCTGGGAATGTTGACATGAAAAAAAAATTAAGCAAAAAAGCCATACTGGAAATTAATGAAGTGCAGAATGCAAGAGGTGTAAAGTAGTTCAAGAACAATACTAAAGGTAATGTCAAAAGAGAATTAAAGGCTACATGGGTGAAAGGAATACTATATTAATGGAAACTAATGGAACATTAACATCATGGTACAGTAACATTTGAAGAAGCCATTTTTCTGTAAAGAATGTTAAAATGAAAAGCCATGACTGACACTTTTAAGGGCTATATTTCATAGGTTACAGATATAACCATATTGCTAATGATAAAAACTTACAGTAGGTACAGTAATATGCTCATTTATATAAAACACCCCAACTCTACCTACCTAAGTCTAATCTCAGAAGGAGTTAATTTATAAACAGCAATGTTCAGTTAGTAATGCTATAGGATAGCATGTATCAACTAACTACAGTACTTGTTTCAACTCATTACTCTCCTAAATGCAGTATTTACATACATAAAATTGCAATAAAATATCACCCCAAGGCAAAACTGAATATAACAGTAATAAATATACTGCTTCAATGGTCACACAATGTGCTAAAAAATGCACACAAAAACTTCAGTGCAATAGACATGTACAGTATGTCACTCTCAACCTCACACAGGATGTCTCATAAAGCATGCACCATAGGAAAATCAATGTTTTTGTTTTTCAGGAAAAGAAATCATAGCAAATTAACGAAGATAGGTGACGAGGAGCAATAGAATGGCCACCAAGTTCTCTATTCCTCATACCTCTGGGTCACCTAAATGTTTCTTGGGTGATCTTGGTAGACAACAGATTTTTGATGACCCCAGAGGAAGAAACTGAGAGGTGCGAGGCCTAGAGACCTCAGTGGCCATTCAAATGGTCCTCATCACCCAAGTTTAGTTGATATGATTTCCTCGCCATAATAAAATAAAGAACATTAAATTTCTTATGGTGTGCACCTTATGAGACATCCTGTACATACAAATATGCCTACATGCACACGTGTGAATATATAAATACCTAGGCAAAAAAACCATGCACAACATCCATAAATATTCTCTCTCATTCTCACAAACATGCAGGCAGATACCCATGAACACAGGGAAATAAACAAATATAGGTACATAAAAAATTCTCTCTCTCCCTGTGCAGGTGCACATAATCAAATACTGTAGTGATATAAGTCAGTTAGTCAGTCTCTCTCTTTTTTTTCTTTGTGTGTGTGTGTGTGTGTGTGTGTGTGTGTGCACATACTCAAATACATTGATATAAGAAATGCACATAAGCAGTAATATTTGCAGCTGTTCAAATTTTTTACATCCAAGTGCCATATTTGAGAATGATAAAATGATTATGTGTCAAATCAAGCACATCACACACTTTACCGTTAATATTATCTGAAGTAGGATATTCAAGTTTATGTCTTCTCACACAAGAACAGTAAAACCTTGTTAAACAATAGATACTGTATCTATGATAAAGGTGCTCCTGAAGTTTTAATAAATATTCTCCAGTCAAGATGTATGAATACAATACAATAATAATGAAAGTAATATCAATAAGGGAAGATGTCAGTTATTTTTTAAAGGGACAAAAAACAACAACATTGCACTGAACAACAAGAGCATCTTGAAAAGAATATATAGTACAGTAATTAAAAAATGTCAATTAATCATAAACTGGAGAAAAGATAGTTTCAGAATTATGTACTGTATATTAAGGTCACTATATGAATTCCATTTGTCAAGGTTTTACTGGATGGAAATGTGCTACTCTGAGACAAAAGTATAATGTATTCTCACAATTAATGTGTTTCATAAAATAATGGTACAGTATTCTTGATATCACTCACCAACAAATTCAACTCAGCAGAAGACTGCTGGATCTTAACTGACTGCCACAAAAAATAAAGAAAGTGATCAGAATTCATATTTTGTTAAATATTTTAGTCATTGGTTCATAATTCATATAAATTATTGCTTTACAATATACAGTACAGGGGGCCCCTCAAGTTCGCGGATTTATATTTCGCCATCCTTTATTATTTGCAGATGACACCTGGACGTGACCAAGAATGTCTGTGGGCAGTTTTAAAGTTGCTGGCATTTTTGCGGCTCGGACAAGGAGCCAATCGTTTCAGAGACAGTAATTTCCTTTACCTGTATTGTATATACTGTATGTGTGTCTGTAGACACACAGACACACACACACACACACACACACACACATATAGAATACAGGTAAAAGAAATAATTGTCCTAAGGGAATATACATTTCTTTGTATACAAGTATAAATGCCCCCCACCGTCAGCAAATGATATTCGCGGATTTGGTGATTCACAACCATTTTGAGAACCTAACCCCCGCGAATTTGGGGGGGGGCCCCCTGTACTCCTGTTTTACTGTGAAACACATAACATCTTAAATGGTATGGCTTGTACAAAATTATCTACGGTGTGTACAGTACAGTATCAATGGCTTATTAGGTGCACATTTCACAAACATTAAACAGAAACTAATCCCATTCAACATTAAATCTACATCTATCTTTCTACATTCAACAGCCTTCTTTGTAGTTTGCTCTTAGTATCTTTTTTCTAGCTTAATACTTTACCAGTATAAAGAAATAAAACCACTGATGTTTTGTGTGGAGTAGTTTGGTGTAGCATGACATGAAACTTTCATTTTAACCATTAATGTATAACTCAAATCATAATACAGTAAACCACTGATAACACGGACTTTGATAACTTGTAATTCGATATAACTCGGAATGGCGGTAAAATATCCAAATGTAAATTATTTTGAATTAGTTTTTACATAAAAAATACTTTTTTCGTAACTCACAACATTCCGAGATATAATGACACAATCTCGGAATGGCATAACACGTTATCTTGCAATTGGGGTCTCACTCTAGCATGAGCCAACCCACCCAGCATCTCTTTCTAGCTCACCATGTTCATCACTTGTCTGTGCTTGTTTGAGAAAAAATAAATAATAAAATCTTTACAATACCCATACTCAAATGTAAAGAAAATAACATCAAACTATAAAATAAGAAAAATGAAGATCATTGGTGTGTGCGAGAATTGAACATTTGTGTGTGGAGGCAGTGAGCTGTAACTGCGTCGCTCCCTCCCTCCCTTCCCTGATATAAGTCAGCTGGGTGGCTTAACTGTGTCACATCACCCAGAAGAGCTATTCTTTGTACATAAAATAATATAAGGGTCATTCAATAAGCAGTGAGACACAAATATAACTACAGAAGTAATGATTTATTATTAATGATCACATACCTATTTTTCCACATAATCTCCCTCTGCAGCTATGCACTTGGCCCATTTTTCTACGAGTTTTCTTATTACTGTGGAAAAAAATTCTTTCAGCCGACTCTGTAACCAATCAATTTCAAATTTCTTTCTTTACCTCTTCAATATTCGAAAAACTATTTCCACGTTAGGCTGTTTTGAGTGGACGAAACGTGTGGTAGTTTGCTTGGTTTTATCACTTCCAAATCTAAAAAATTAATAACATCGTTGTTCTTCCAAATCACAAAATTCAAGTGCACGGTTAATGCACCACTTAAACAAGACTAATCTAATGAAATGATTAAACAAACAGATGCAATGTCGTAACATGATTGATGAGCCTGCCCCTTCCCTTTGCCGTCTACATCAAAAAGTCTCATTATTTATTGAATGACCCTCATATACTGTACCAGTAAATGTGTGCAATAAATATAAATAATATTAATAAATAAAATAAAAGAAAAAATATTGCATTACCATTCGGCAAGTTTCACTGCGTATATAATAGTAAAAAATAAATAAAATTACGTTCAGTATGTCTACCCGAAATTATGAGTTGAAAAATATCCGCTGGGTGTGCTAAGTCAAGCATCCTTCTCTCTCTCACACTGGTTCAGTGAACATCTCCCAGGCATTCTCTAGTAAAGTTAATGCTGTAAGTGCTTTGACACCTACCGCATGGCACCACAAGCTTGAATTATCCTCATCCTTCACCTGTTGTGTTGGTAAGTGTTAATTTTTGTGCAAGTTTTCTGATTATGGTAGGTTATTTTGGCCAAAAAGTTGGGTATAGGGGTGGGATGAAAGACCAGCAAGAAACTGCCTTGACAACTTGGAATGGTTCGAGCCTCATATATTCCGAATTATCAAGGGTTTTCTGTAACTTAAAAAAAGTGCCTTTTCTTAGCAATTCTTCAGTTCTTGTAAGTTTTTCTGTAGTGTAACCATGTCAGATATACTGTACAGTACTATATTATTCAATATCTACAACCCAGCACCAAAACAAATTGTATAATTGAACTACAAACAAAATTTACTTTACAGCAAATCTACTTAATGTGAGGTGTACCTGCATAACCAGTGGGCAGAATGATTCACGACGGACCAAAGGGAGCGGACCAGCAGAGATTGAACTGTTGCTTACCCATACCCTACCCTTCAACAGATATTAAAAATAAGAAGGGAGAAATATGTTTATTTATATACCAGTAGGCTGATACTCCATTTCCTGAGGACAATGTATGCAATTAATAATTAAAAAAATTATAAAACCAGATCCTTATGATTATGAGACAAATACATCCAGCCACTTCCTTTAGTCTAGGTCAGGGCTGATAAAATAGATCTGTTTTAAATATCATGTCTCAAAGAATCGCTATGGCACATCAAACATGCACACCTCATTGACACCACTTGTTAGATAGAGCCTTGGGAAGGAGGATACCAAAGTTGCTCAGTCCAAAATTGGTCATAAAAAGGGATTTCAGGATCAGCTCACCATTTATGACTTGCATCCAACCCAAGCAACTCAAGTACTGTATGTGCAACCAGCTAGATAAATAAAGGGGCAGCAACATAAGCTCCAGGTGTCCACATCACATGTAATCGGCAAAGGGAGATAAACATATAGAAACAGTACTGTACTGTATAAAACCCACTGCACAGTTCCCAATGCAGTACACTCCTACAAGGCATTATTTAGTTAGTCTTAGCAGCTAATTTATCACCTCTCAGTAAAAAGGACTGTAATTGTTAAAAAATGTCATCAGTGTTGCAATGCCTCAGAGTTTTATAAACATGGCTGTGAAGGTCAGTTGTGACCAATTAGTAGTTTGACAACCAATTTTTTGATGCCAAAGATCCTTCACACTGATTATATATAAAAATCTTAAGCACATTAATTTTGTTAAAATTAAGAAATAAATAATTTACCAAAAGAGAAATATGAGAACACTTCAAAGAAGAATAAATTGGTGCGAATGCATATTCTCGGAGAAAACATGAGAAGCCTTGCCATAGTTAATATTACCCTTTAAAAAATATATTGAAGTATGTAGATGTTATAATCAAACCTTTGTACTCCCTACAGGGTTAAAGGACATTGGAGTTTACCCTCACACTGTGTTGACTTAATTAAAATACTAAGTTTGTTGAATAACTCGGTCATAGGGTAAAAATAAGCTTCCTTGGAGCTAGAAGACAAGAGTTAAATTTAATTAGTTCTCCCTAAGAAGACACTGTAGGCAGGACCACATCTACACTGAAGCAGAAATTAGCTAGAACTGAGGTATGATCACAAAATCACAGCCTAAGGTTGAAGACAGGTGGCACGTGAGGAGTTTGCAGCTCATGTGACCATTCCCTTAAGGGTTGATGTGATAAATTATAGGATATCTAAATCCACCTGCATGGCATCAGTTTTTGTGAGAAGTCTAATTAATGAATTAGTCCTTGACGGCATTGCTTAAAGGCACAAAAATGAATCAATGTTACAAACATTACCTGTGGCTGAGCATAGCTATGGGGAGTAGAAGTCCGTCTCATGTTAGGTGTCTGAGGTGTTGCACAGCTCTGAATCTGTGCACTCTTTTGAATGCTGCTCCCAGTAGCATAACCCAGTGCCCGGTACAATCTATCTCGCAGTTCAACCATTTCGCCCTGAGAAGGTAGACAGTGATGTTCATTTAAAGTTAAAACTTGATCACTGAAATTCAAATACAGTACAGTAAACCAAAACAAACATTTTCCTTAAATAAATCAACAGTAACAGACCAACCTTAGAAGCCGAATTCAAATATGAGACTGCAGTATGAAGTGCACCCTGGGCAGCTAATAGAGAAGCATACTGACAGAGGAGGGAGCTCACAGTATTTCCCTCACTAAGGTTAGTGGGGCGGCCAGCAGCTGCCAGTGATCGCTGCAACCCCATGATAACCTCCACTAGGTCCTACAGGTTGAGAAAATAATTTTTAAATAGTATTATTCTAGAGGAATGTTTACCAAAGCTTAGTTACAATCCTCAAATGCAGAGCAACACTTAAAATAAACCAATTTACACAGATAACTTCAAGACAACAAGCTACATTTCCATCAAGATTCATATATTTTCACATCTTCAGATTTCTGTCTTTTCTTAAGCCATAGAACAATGAAACACTCATTGTATTTTTTAATATATTACATAAAAGAAGAATACTGTACAGTAAATATAATTTCTCTAATTTATTACTATATTAATATAAATCAAACGAGTCAATAACAATGAGCGTAAAGTGTACTCTTTGATAGTGACTAAAAATAATGACTGACATTTACAATTTTTATTATTTATCACACAATTTCCCAAGTGCTTATAAATAGTATTCCATGATTTTGGTTACTTCTTTTCCAAAAATCTGTAAAACACACCTGTAAATCAGATGGTTTATTTGTCTCAGGTCGAGTCTTGACCCAGCATGAAACAAATTTCTCCAGACTTCCAGCACAGACATAACAGATCATGGCAGAAAGCAAAGTTTCTGGGTCTCCCTTAGCTTCAAGGCGTTCTCCCAGACTCTCTACAATATAAAAATAATTGACATTGTTTTAACAAATACATCATTCAAGTTTACATGCAGAAAATACAAACAATACCAAGAAGTGCAAAATGTACATCAAACATTTGAAACACTGGGAAGAGTTCATATATTTTTTTATAATTATACAATAATGCAATTAAGGAAAGAAAATGTTCATCCAAATAAAAACTCACCAACAAGAGCTGGGAACTGCTCATCGTTGGAATACGTCAAAGCTGCAACTAATGCTTCTTTCCATCTACTAAGGTTACAGGTAGTAGTGATGGATGTTAGATCTCCACGTACAATTGCACCCACCAAAGATGCTAAACTTCCATCCACCTGGGCCAGTACAGTATTGCGAGTCTGTCCAACAGGGATTTACAGAAAAAAATCATATAAATAAAGATGATTACACAACTGTACAGTTAACCCCTACTCAATCTGGTCTCATGCACCAATCTTTGAAGGTTAACGCGTTGTTTAAGAATATGCGCAATAATTGGTCCAGTTATAAATATATCAATGGAAAAAATGGTTCACAAGATATTCTCACAAACATTTACTGGCATAAATAATATGATCTGCCGGCAAGCATTTTCTGGCAACCTATTTCATACCCTGTCTATAATCGTAATTCAATATCATTAAAGGCTGTCTGTATTCTGTAATGGGAGTCACATATATATAAACTATGCTGTACACATCATTACTAAAGAGGTCAAATGGAGTATTCTAAACTGACCTAGAATGTGACCAAAGTTGGTGTCTTAATAATGGCTACAAAATAGTATTAAATAATACAAAAATTAAATGAAACCGAGAGGGAATTTAACAATGGTACACTGGTATAAAGTTTTTTTTTTTGTAATACAGCAGAATGAGTACAGCACTATATTCAAAACTGTGAATATAGACGGGAAACAAATTCAGTGAGAGCGAAAGAGAAGTTTTACTCTCTAAAAAAGATTCTCTTCAAACAAAACCTGCAACTATTCCAAGCACTTCAGATGCAGTATCTTAAGTTATTTTCATATAAGACAAAAGTGGAATGTATAACCAGAAAATTCACTTGCTACCATTCTTACATTTGCAGCAAAGTCACAATTAGTGCTAACTACATTTGCATGACAGTTTTCATCACTTAAGTAACACAATCGTGGTCAGAAAATAAAAAATAATTGGTACCGTAGGGTCGGGATATATAGCGATTTTTTATAAAGTTTTTTTTTATATCGCAACTACCAAAATTATCAACATTTTCCAATAAATAGTGATAAATGTTTTTATTTCACGGGGGAAATCAGGCAGGGAATATTTCAAATTTACTGCCATGGCAAACAAATGCGTTATTTGCTCACCAGAGGCACCACCGTGGCTACTCATGCATTCACGCTCACCCACACAGTCTTTCTGAGAGAGTGACGAGTCAGCAGCCGACTCTGCTGCAGATTCCGACTTCGAAGGTGAGTTTAAATGGAATGCTAGTGACGTGAAAAGTGAAGTGAAGAGAATGGAAAGCTTAATAGAAAAGATTTAATACCGTAACCAATATTTTGGGTTTGTTAACTTATGTAGGTGTGGGATTGTCAAGTGAAGGTGGCAGTGTGGCGTCTGCTGCCGAGTCTGGTGCTCCTTGATATTGATACTGAAACAGTCTGGTGTTCCCGAGTCTAATGTTCATTGGTGCTTTAGTTAGTAAGAAAATAAACTCGTTAAGTTAAGTTTAGACACTTTTATTGGCCTCCAAAACCTAACCCAATTTCCCCCGATTGTTTACATGTAGTACAGCAATTATATATCGCGATTTAGTATATGGCAAACTTCCTTGGACCCTATCTCCGATATATTCTGACCCTACTGCACTTCAGAAATGGTGTGATAAGCAGAGGTGGGGGAAACACAAATGACATATGATAAATGTTCATATAAAATTCTTCAATACGTATAAACAAATTCAAGTCTTTCATCTAATGCTAAAATAGAAGACTTAATTCTAATAATACCTTAGCAAACATTTCTGGTCCAGCATGAGCTGCTAGAGTCAGTGCATGTGGATATATTTTGTCTTTGATGCATAATTCAACAGCAGACTCCAGATCCCCCACTAAGAGGGCTTGAGTTATCAGGCCATGGTTATTTTCCTCGGTCTTCTGAACCTCAAGATGTACCACCCGTAAATTTGTTTCTGCCTCTGGTTCGGCCACCTAGAACATAAGCGTATTGATAAAAATTTTGATTACATTCACTAAAACTGCTCTATAGGATCCATAGACAACTTCTACTCATAAAGTACAAACTTTACAACAATAATACTGATGTACATTTTCAGAGACCATGAAGAGGCCAAAGACCATCATCATTAGTTATTTAGACAGACATAGACAACTTCTACTCATAAAGTACAAACTTTACAACAATAATACTGATGTACATTTTCAGAGACCATGAAGAGGCCAAAGACCATCATCATTAGTTATTTAGACAGACAAAATGAAGTACCCAAAGTGCAATTACAAACACACAATTACCAAGGATTACTGCCTCTCCCTAAGCTGAGTCCAGATGATGAACTCCTAAGCCTAAAACAATAAGAAAAATAATATATACTGTACATGGGACGTTCCCTTTGTCCCTCATCTTCCTCATGGAAAATATTCATAAAAACAAAGAGGTGACATTTACCTCAGTTTCTGGAGTTTTATCAAATGAATGTCCAGAAGCAATCATCTCAAACTGCTCACTAGGGTCAAGGGAACTGGAACTGCCCTCCTGCAAAGATAACATTATTTATGACAATTATTAATGTACTTCAGTATACTATAGTGTCACAACTTCCTTAAACTGTTCATTATTTTCAAATCCAAAGTACAGTAGTAAAGCACTTTTAACTTGTAATTACCGGCAAACTTATTCTTACACTACTGGCACAAACAAAAAACACTTCTACACACTATAAATACAAGCAAAACTACTCACACACCACAGCAAATACATTCACACACACACATGGCTCTAAGTCACAAAAAAGCAACAACACAAACATAAGAATCATATGCAGTAGCAAATTGCATCATGGAGTCATGCCAATGAAGTACTACTGAATAATTAAACTGTACCAGTATAAAGATGTGACTAATTTACAATCCTCATTCTTTATTTATATCCATACTTCAAGTCTTAATGCCTCTCACTAATTTGCTGACAGAACAACAAATGTCATCGTTTTGATCTTTCTACAATGGTTCCATATCCACTGTTACACCGGCGTCAGCACTTTTTTCACATGCAAATGTTTCACAATCTGGGTGAAAAACTGATACAGTATAGCTACATGGTCTTTATTAAAATCCTTTATCTTCACCCCTCCTTTCACAATTTGTAATCTTGTTTCATTATACTGTACAGTACAACCATACAACCCGACCTCTTACCCAATACACTGGGTAATATAATACCTAGTATTCTCAAGGTTTCTTTTAAACACTGGATTTCCTCAACTGTTTAGTTGTTCACAAGTTATGACACCTTTACCCTTACATAAAGATAAAAATCACTGCATCCAAATTTTCTCCTCGTAAGATATAATATACAGCTCCTCCCAGACTTACGACCTACTCGACTTACGACCACCCGCACTTACGACCTGTCATAGTCATACCAAAATTTGGTCAAATTACATATTTTCGAGTCCCAAAGTCAGTACACATACAAAATTTTCATTTGTAGTTTAATTCAAAATGGCTGGCAAGCTTAAAAGTGAGTGTTCGTGGTGCTGAGAAGAAAAAGAGACACCCATTTTAGATTTTCTATGTATTATTTAAGCATTTCCGACTTACGACCATTTCGACTTACAACCTGGATGTCGGTCCCTAACCCCGTCGTAAGTCGGGGAGGAGCTGTAAATGACAATGTGCATGTCCATCATGTCCACTGACTTCACATAAATACATTAATATACCATAAATGCTTCCATTAAATCAATATTCAATGACAAACATCCAACTTTAAATGAACAGAAATCCCAAATTACTTTGTTATTGCTAATAGTATTTAGTACATCACAATTCTAATAGTGTAACAACCTGATACTGTCAGTGACAAACAATGATGCACAATATAAGCAAAACAGCACCCCAAAACAACTTTCTTAGCAAGACAAATATCCAAGAAAATGATTACCATTTTTCCTGTTTTTCCCTTTTCTGGTTCTACTGGAACAAGAGAAAGTTCCTCTTCTGAATTTCCTAAGAGAGAATCTGGCAGCTGTTCTATGGGAGAATCTGGCAGCTGTTCTATGGGAGAATCTGACAGCTGTTCTATGGGAGAATCTGGCAGCTGTTCTATGGGAGAATCTGGCAGCTGTTCTATGGGAGAATCTGGCAGCTGTTCTATGGGAGAATCTGGCAGCTGTTCTATAGGACAATCTGGCAGCTGTTCTATAGGAAGGTCTTGCAGCAGTTCTACAGAGGAGTTTGGCAGCTGTTCTATATAAAGATCTGACAGCAATTCTATAAGAGGATCTGACAGCTGTTCATGAACACCAGCATCAGGTTTTTCTTCTGCTGCTATCTCATCACATTTTGTTTGTCTTCCTTCACTAGTTAGGCATCCAACCTTCCCCAGCTGTTCTTCCTCCTAGACGACATTGTGTTAAAAGTGTACATATTCACATTACAAACTGTGTTATAAGTCCTTCATGAGGGCTTTGGCCAAGAAACAAATATGCTGATTGGTACAATATTATTTTACAAATATTTCTGGTGACTCCTCTCTAAAACACATCTCCATTTTGTTACATTCAAAACACAATCTCACTTGCATGTTCTTGCCCTGACATTTCAGCTATCCGACACTTCAACACAAAGTCATAATGACCTATGGCAATCCTCAAAATGTCTACTGTACACTCGTAACAGTTTGTTGATTTTCCTATCAAATTAAAGTAATACAACTGCCAATAATCCAACATAAGCACAAATTAACATATACGTAATCTGCATGGTACACAACTGCAACCTTCTGTAATTCTGCACTCCATTCAAAAAACCAAAGAGCACACCACTATTAGAAAAATGAATGAGTTACCAGACCAAATACAGTTGTGGAAAAAAATCTATAAAGTGATTTACTGAGAAAGGAGTACTACAGGAAAGGGTAAGAGAATGATTTCATAATGTACTCACTGGTACCAACAACCATCCATTATTGAATGACTGAGGTCTCCTCTGGAGGCAAGCATGTATTACAATAATTTTTTTTTATAAAAGTTACATGATATATTATTTGCTTACCTATTGGCTACAACACACAATATGGATAAATTTTGTGTAATACTGTACAGTGAAATAAAATTCGGGAAGAGATCCTTCAAAGAGGAAAAGACCATATAAGCATGGAAAACTTCAGGATGAACAAACAGTTTTGATGCACACACACTGAACATCACTGTAGCCATCTATATGGCAAGAGTTAAGAAAAGAACTAGAACAATATACAGTACTTGTCATTTTGAGACAAATAATTATCATCACTGTTTTGCAGTAATTTTCCATGCTTCTGTGGGATACCCATGATTACCTGATGGCAGCCATTTGAAGCAAGTTTTATGACTAGATACCCTTCATATCACCAACCCACTTTTACTTAAAGGGAATTGGGCATTATATGTAGTTCCAAGTGCCCTCATAGCTGACAAAGCGAGGTAACTACTCCCTGAGTTTATAAAAGATTACAGGTGTCCCTCGTTTAACAATTGCTCATTAGCAATTTTTCGGTTTAGCAATTTAAAAATTTTAACACGCTTTCTCATTTAACAATCGTCATTTTTCAGTTTAGCCATCTACTCACTGTGAAAAATTCAAGAGGGCAGTCGGAAAACCTGGGGATTCTGTGCTCCAAGTGAGCATTATTACAAAACTGTAATGAGGCTTTGAAATAAAGAAAATTCTATACCAGTAAATGTGAGGTATAAATAACAATAATAATAAATAAAATAAAAGAAAATTACTGTATTGCCATTTGTCAATCATTTCACAGGACACAAGACAGAGAACAGCTGAAAGATCCCTCATGCTGCTCACCCCTCGCCTTTCCCCTGCTCTGTGGGCTAACAACTGAGAACTAAGAAATGTTTATTACCTTCATATTTTTAACCTTATGATACTTTTATTTCGTACTGTACATTCTGTATGCATGATTGAGTGTGCACATAACAAAGTAAAAGAAAATGAAGAAAATTACATACATCTACCCAAAATTACAAGCTGAGCAATAACATAGCTGACAGCTCAGCCTCACCCTGCCCTGAGTGCTGGTAGGTGGCGAGTCAGCGACTGGGCTATGCAATTACATGCCATCTCCACTGACATTGTGCTTTGTTGTCCATGTTTAGGATATTATTTCTCATTATCCTTCGTTTAGCGATCCTTTTACTTAATCGCTTTTTCAGGAACGCATTCCAAACATTAAATGAGGGATACCTGTATCTGACTACCTGTGAGGCAAAAGTGCAAAATATCAATGTAATTTGTACACTGCAAGTGACAAATACATTTCTGTGGAACAAAATGTCGGGAAATCTAAGCTAAAATTTAAGAATAAATGAGTTTGTGATGTATGATTTACCAAAAACCTATTGCAAGTGGACAAGATAACCATTCAATACATAATAACAGAAAGCACTGTTTGTATCCTGACCGTAGATGCACAGTCATTGCAAAATGTTTTTCCAGTAAGAATACTGTACTGTACCTTTAATTTTCTTCTTTCAGGATACAAGTTATAAATATTGTAATGATAAAATGACAGCTTGGCTACAAACAACATATTAATTCTGGCAGTACTACCCATTTACGAAAGCCTTCCATTAATTTGGAGATGGGTATTCCTGTGCATTCAGAATGACTTCTTTTATACTTTTGGCACAATTAGTTAACTAATATTATGAGGGAAATATCTCATGATCTAGATTGACAATAATTGCAATATACAGTACTGTACTGTAATGTACAATTCATCAATATGATGCAACCACAATACTGTATATACAGTAATTACAGTTGGTTGCTTCAGGGCACAGAGTACAATAGTACACGTATTTCTTGGTTCATATGACAGATACATTCCAAAAAAATATCGTGCAAAGCAAAAACATGAAATGTGAAAATAATACAAAGCTTGATTCAAAAGGTCAGGATGCTCAAAAGTCTGTACAATTAAAGATTTAAAGTACTGTATGCACCAAGACTCAAGTGTGAGTTTGTCACAGTGTGGTGGCACTTTTTATCATTTATAAGCACAGTATTTAATTTACGCATTCTCAAAATTTGTTTTGCTACCTACCGAAGGTAGTGACTGTGTGTGGTTGCTGTATCAATGTGAAGTGTGGCTTAGTGCACAGTGTGTTGGCAAGTCAAAATCACCAATGAAAGATGCATAATGGTGACATAACACGGCACATACCCAATACAGAACAGGTATCCTTCACTATACAAATGGGTTAGGAGTTGGCAATGCAGGAGGGATGATGTCGAAGCAAACAAGCTCCTCGGCATTCACCCTTCTTTGGGTGCCTGAGGAGGAGGAGGGGAGGAGGAGGGGAGGATGGAGGAGGAGGAAGGGGAGGGAAGGATGGAGGAGGAGGAAGGGGAGGGAAGGATGGAGGAGGAGGGAAGAACAGCAAACTCTTCCATAGGGTCGTTAGGTTCATCAACACTCCTCCACAATAATGCGCAATCACAAGTAGTGCCCAAGTTTGACCATGCGTAACACTACATAGAAAATTTACGTGTCTCGGATATCTATCAATTTTAATGGGACTTGCATATAAAGTCAAATTTACATAAGTCAAGTACATATTACATACCCAAAGAGTGCCTGTATACTTAAGTATTTTTAAAGAAAGCACTTTTACAAGTTGCCTTATCAAAAGAATTCTAAAAATTTAGCAAATACTTGCGAGTTGAAAGACAAGTAGTATTTCACAGTAAATGTCTGTCACTTTTTCATCTACAGATTTGATACAATATTGGTGAGACATTAAAATTCTAATTTTAAAACTGTGAACTTGTCCTACAATAGGCCTGGATACTAACATTTCAACTCGGTGAAATACTGTATCTTACAATCAGTATAGTTCCCCATTCAATAGTTAATATTTCTAGTCAGAAGAATGAATAATCAGCAATTAATTATCAATGAAAGTTACCAACACAAGGCCAAGAATGGATATACAGTATGCATTACATTGAATTTCTATTTATACACTTTTATTTTAAGGAGGGGGGTATAAATATATGTACAGTACAGTAAAAAAAAATTCTGCACACTGAACAACACTCATGAGTTATGTATTCCTGTTAATTTCTTTGTATTAAGTATGCATGAGATACATAATATATTGTACTGGTTACAAAATGATTCACTCAGAAGAAACAACCTTACCAGAAGAACATGGCATCAGTCAGTGATCGTTGCAAAGAATGTCAGACCCAGGGATGCAGGATTTTTTTTTGTGGATTGTAAATATAACATCGAAGGTAAAAGAATATCAGTGAAACTTACATTTGTAGCTAAGTTTGACATCTTGTCAGCCAAAACTTCAGCACTAACTCCTTCAGTTCCAGGTGACAAAGCACTAACGCCTTCAGTTTCAGGAACCAAAGGATGAAGCTTGCTTGATACTTGAGTGCTGGCGTAGCCCAAAAGCTCCATATACTTAGCACGTGGATAGGATTCAAAGTTGGCACCAATATACTGCCACAGTATCTGAGAAGAGAAACAGTACTTGCTGTCCTGGTTACTTTTGTTTACAGATTTACCACCAAAGGAGGAAAAGAGTTATTGACATATATTTTCCTCTTTTATCCTTTACTGTACAGTAATTTTAAAATTTTCTTTCCCTCACACCTACACATTATAATGTGTTCACAAATCCTTCCTTTAGCACCTGACTCTCCTTACATCTTGGTTTAACCTCAGTTGCAACAGAGGTAAGGAAATAATATTTAGGTGCCAAATCAAATTGCTACTGTGACAGCTGTGTGCTGGTGTGATGTAATTCATAATGTTAGGTGAAATGTCTCATTTCAAATATGTAAAATAAACTTGATCAAAATATAAAAATATAAAGAAACAAAACTGAACATACTCATAAGTGAGGAACTAGTACAAAATTTATAAAACACTACCAATGTAACTCACCTGGTCACTGGGTTTAGTAGCTGCTTCTGCTTTGGTTTGACAAAATGGACCAAACTGAGGCTGGGAGAGTGCAGCTTCCAGCTGACTGCTGCGTTGAACTAGTGCTTCTTCAGTGACAACTTGTGCAATTTCCAGGCTCCTATTCTGATTGTTCCATGTCACTAGGCGCCCTCCAAACTTACAGAGAAGAAAAATATTTGTATTATATATATATAACTAAACATGGGATGTCACTGTTCTTGATTTACTTCTTTCTATGCATGTTTTCTTCCCAGTACAGTATAAGCATATTTAATCACAACAATAACTTCTTTTCAGTCCCTAAGGATGAGCCCAAATTAACCGTCACTGACCGCTCATCCGGTCTAGATCTCACCCACAGACGTGACCCTGATCTCTAATAGCCTTGGATAATGAGGAGTGTACATACAGTATATCGAAAAATATGTGGTGAAAGTTGCCAGCTGGGAATGCATCCCCTCTATTTATATTAAATACAGTATTATGAGGAAAATTGACCCGATATTCGCAATGACTTTTAGGAACACATCCTTTGCACTAATCATGGTAGTACTGTATTCTTGTACAGTAGCTTAAACAACTATCTGTGCAGGTGGGGGTCAATATGCTCCGAAATTTTACGTGTGATTAGTGACAGTCCTCATATACCAAAATTTATCCTCCATGGTCTCATATTGTTTCCCACAAAGTATACACAGATAATTGTTTTAGCTACTGTACATAGCAGTGCGATATATGCATACAGGGGGGGGTATTATTCTAAAATATAAAAATTGCAAAAGAAGAAAAGAGAAGTGATGTGATGAAGGTTATATGACATAAGAAAACCTTCTGAGGTAGAGTTCATCCATTCAACTTACTTGGCACTTTTATCACTAACTATAGAAAAAATTTTACTTACTGCAAAGCTAGCTCCAGCTGTCCGAGCAAACCATTTTGGAGGATTTTTCAGCCTAATGGGTTGAGGTGTGGCTCCCTGAGGAACAACTGCAGGTATATCCATGCCTGGGAAGGAGTCTGCTATCTGTGAAAACTGTTAAGAAACATACAATACAAGCGTCATAATTTGTAATTTATTCCGCTATTTTCAGAAAATCCTAACCTAAAAATTGGTATGAGCAGAAATCACATAAAATGAGCAACTACAGTAGAATCCCAGTTATTTGGCACCTATGGGGATTGAGAGGTGCCAGATAGACATTATCCAGTTACCAGGTAGTTAAACCCAATAAGTCCTACAGTGCACAGTGCTACAGGCTGACCTCACAAATTTGTGTTTCAGAGGTCCATTTTTCCACAAATTCGTGCATTTTCATGAGTGTTCCCCAATTATACTGTAATTTACGCTTGTCCAAGTTTTTTGAAAAAAAAATTGCTTTGAAATTTAAACACCCATGAAACTTCACGGATTTGCAGAAAAACAAACTTCTTTAACACTTATTTTGCTATACGTAAATGGTATGGCTTAGAAATAAAGAAAATATAATATAAAACTACTACCGTAAATAAGAAAAGCGAAGAACACAGGTGTGTGTGTGTGTGTGTGTGTGTGTGTGTGTGTGGGAACTGAACCTTTGTAGAGGTGGTGGGTTATAACCGTGTTGTCGACTCGCCAACCCAACCACCTCGCATATTGTCACATGTAATGAAACTATAAAAGTTGTGGAAAATCATTATAATACTCTAATGTGGCCTAGAAATAAAGAAAATATAATATAAAATTATAAAATGAGGAAAATGATGAGCATGGGTGTGCAACTGTGCATAAGTGGAAAGTGAACATGTGTGGTGGCAGTGGGCTATAACTACATGGCTGCATTCCCTCCTGATGGCATGTCATGACACACACACACACACACACAGCACAGCACCCACATGTCTGTGAGTCAGCTGGTTGACTGCCTGGCTGAAGTTGGTTGCGTCACCCAGATGATGGTTTAAGTTCACAAGGAGTAATTTTTTTTTACATAAAATGTGCTATTGTATTTTATGGTACGCTTTGCTTTAATTTTATTGTTTAAAATAGAAATAAATATGGCAGTTCATCCCCATTCATGCAATATTCAAACTTATGAATCTAGCTGATTTTAGATGATTTTTTATTGTTATTTAATTTTGGTGCTAGTTGCCCGGACTCCGGATAACTGGGATTCTACTTTATTTAAACGTAAAAACTTGTACTGTACTGCCCTGGCCCACTTCTTGGTTGAAAAATGCTTATCAAACTCCAAGGAACTAGTTTTGCAATTTTGATCAAAGGTGAAAATGATTAACATAAGAAAATATCAGCTCACTTTATCTGCTTGAGCAGGAGGCAGACCACCACCTAACAAGGAGTATACGCTAACACAGCCATCCACTGATGACATGGCAACCAAAGAGGGATCTCGTTGACCCCAGTCCATGTCAAAGCTCCACTGATTATAAGAGGGAAACTCTCCAACAATTTCAGTACCCCGCTCAGCTGCATTTGGGTTCCACACATAAATTCTGAAAATAAAGAAAGGATTAAATATATCAGCACTTTACATAATGAATAGGGTCTATTAAAATGTTGCAAAGAAAAAGAAAATCAGCTAAAAAAGTATTCTCAATCTGACACAAAATCATTTGTAGTCTGCATATTCTTCCTAAATTATTACAGTACGTACTGTATATGAAAATATTAATGAACAACCAGATATGGGATGGAAGCCCCACTTTCTTGTACTCAGCTGCCCAAAAGAAGAGCAAACAAAATTTGGGTGTTTGAATGAGAATGGATGTCATCAGAGATGTAAAGGGCAGAGCAACTGAAATGATAATGAATGAAAGGAATCTGGATGATCTGGCTTTGTAAAAAAAAAAAACAGAAGGGTGAAGGAGAGGGAAGGACTGGTGACAAGTGAGGGAGGAGGAATCAACAGTGCTTTAAAGCAGTGGACTGAAATATAGGATGGTGACTGTGATGGAATATGGAGAAGGTTGATAAAATAAGGGTGTGTGTCCCAGAATATTACTGATAAGATTAAAAAATATGGAAAGCAAGATGGTTTATGGTCAGAAAATACACATTAAAGAATGAAGAGAGGGAAGAAGAAACAATGGGGTTCAGCTAAGACCTGAGTAACTGCATGTAATGCTTCTGGGGAGAGAGTGGAAAAGGGAGTTGGAGGATACTGTGAGAAAATACTAAATGCCAGGAAGAAGATGAGAGAATAAGACCATGTTGGTCGACAGAAGAATGAATATAAGGAGAATGGTATGTATATATACTGAAAACAGTAGTGTGCAACAACTCTATCCATTATTTGGTAGACAACACAAATAATGAAAGAAAGTTTCATTGGTGAAAGAAATTCAAAGAAAAAATGGTCATAAAACTTGAGTGCAATAAGAGATTGTAGCTGAGACCTTTATATAAGGACTGAAACAAACTAAGCACATGCAAATTTAGGTGGAGAGGAAAAGGTTAAATACTAATGGGAGTAATGTACTGAGCAATCTAAAAACATAGCAGAAATGCATTGGTGAAATTGAAAAGTGATAAAAGAAAAGCTGAAAAGAAAGAGTCAAACTAAGAAATATTTTAAGAAATAATTAGCGACTCACTTGTTATCCTTTGCTGTAGTAATTAATAAATTTCCATCGTGGGAACACCAAGCAGTTTTCAGAATGCCACGCTGGTGTCCCTCTAAGGTCTTGAGGGGAGAAGTAGCATATCGTAGGTCCCAAACCTGAGCCCATGGAGTGAGGTCATTGTCACTGGCTAACAGCAATTGAGTTGCCACATTAGGGTTCCATATGACGTTGCTTGCTTTCATCTATAAGAAACCCCAAAAACATTAATAATTGATTATGATAAGCATAATTTTTTTTAATGTTATCATTCACTTTTCATACATTAAAGCCTCTCATATTTGACATTCCAAAAACTGGTTTCACCTGAAAAACACACACACATACATAATTATTTGTGTAACTGATTTTATTTACTCTAAAACAAAAAATTATTGCACACATAATAACCAGTGCACTATACAGTGGTCCCTCGGATAACGAACGGTTCGATTAACGAAATTTCGGTTCACGAATTAGCTCACATAAGGATTTTTAGATTGATTAACGAAATCCTTACGACAAACACGTTTTGTTGTGCGCATCAGCTGATCGGCTAGTCCGCCAATACAGTAATCGGTTCTATGTTTAAATTAAATTCCAGTGGGGTATATATCAAGAAGTTGGTCTCGTGAATATTTTTGCATTTTCTATATTAAAATTATTGGCCACTCTAATTTAGTTAACATATTGATAATAGTATATTCAGTACAGGGAACAGTTTTTGTGCGCCCATCAGCTGATTGAATCGCCCAACAACGCTTTTCAGTTTAACTTTGTTTACAGTGGAGTGAACATTGATTTTGCTGGCCTCTTGAATATTTTTGCATTTTTACATTAAAATTATTGGTCATTCTGAAATTTAGTTAACATATTGATAATACACAGTGCAGAAATTATTATGAAACACAAAGAAGGCATTAGAACCAATGCACTCTGTAAAGAATATGGCATGTCATCATCGACTGTCTCTACAATCAGCTGTTTGATATGCAAACAAAGCTGCCGGGAATACGACATACACACCTCAAAGTTAAAATACAGTATTCTATTGTTTTTTATTTATTATTGTACAGTATACTGTACAGTACAGTACTGCATTTAGTTTATATTTAATGTTTTATTAATTCTATTACTGTACTGGTATACAGTACGTACTTTGTATGTATACTTTTTCTGTGAGTTGGAACCAATTACCCAATATCCCATTGAATAGATTCGGTTAACAAAATTTTTTGTTAAAAAACGACTCTGTGGAACGAATTGTGTTCGTTAACCGAGGGACCACTGTACTGTAGTTACAAAAATTAATATAGATAATAAACTAACCTTATTATATATTCTTTAAACTTCTATAAATGCTTTTTTTAGCTAGATCTGTCTTTCCTGTCATAAAAACTCAAAATCTTAATCACCTATTCTCAAGTATAGTAATATACCGTATTCTATTTAAAGAAATGAGGCGCCCCACATCGTATGGGTTATTAAGGCCAAAATTTGAAACCGAGAAATCTGCATTTAAAGTTTTTCCAATTTCAAACGTGCATAACTTTGTTGTTTTCTGAGATACAGCATTCATTTGTAATGCATTTTGAAGCTAAAGGACTGTACTTGCAGATGGTAGGTAGCACATCATCAAGTAATGTACTGGGTTGTTGCAATGTTGACTTGAATTAACAAAACTCCCACCCGCTTATGGCTTTTTTTACTTAAATCGATATCAAAGCGTAGATCCCGCCCACTGATGGGGCCGTGACTTGGATAGCAGATGCTCACTATCATCAGCCAAGACGGGAGAGGAGGCTGTAAGCTGGCTGCTGTGATTGGCTGTCAGCTCCTCTCACTAACTCAATGACAGGATGAAAGCGTTTTACAAAGAGAAAGCCAAGCCCATAATTTCCTGTCTGCCACAAATCGATGTTCAACCCTATTTTCAAAGGGCTTTCAACCTTATTTACAGTGTAGTAGGGAGATCTTATCAACTACCATTGCATAGAGCTTGGCCGAAAATAGTGCTTTCCACCAAAAAACGGGTTTCGACCGGATGGTCTAAATGCACCTTACAATGCGGGATGCCTCAAATGACATCATCATCCAAAAGTACTCACCCTTGAAACAGTGTCAGAGATGGTCATGATGGAAGAGTGTTTCCTTAGGTCCCACACCACACAATGCCCAGCACAAGTAGATGCAAAGATGTGTTCTACTTGCCTAGTGTGAAATTAGAAACTTTATATACAATGTTGACAAGTAATATCTAATATAATTAATTTTGCTGTTGGGGAATAATAATGGTTACTCATTAAATTCAAAACTCTTCAGTGTCCTCCAGAACCTTGTGTAACACCAGAGCTTCTTCTCTAACCTTTGTTAAAATGATTTTCCAATACTGTACATTCACTCCATAGTTACATGCATCAGTTTCGCAACTTCCCCTGAAACCTTTCCACTGGTAAAGATAACTAATGTGTTCCTTATCCACCTCACTCTCAAAAAACACCTAAATAGCTGTACAGTGTTTAATTTTATCAACTGGCTTTCATAAACAAGTAAACTGTGTATTTCATTGTCCTCCATTTGAAGATAATATTTCAACTGAATAAAAATTGATGTTAATATCCAGTACAAAATTAGAACTATTAAATTTAAAATGAGTGGTTCTTTAATGCAAGTTTGAATTTGAATTTGATTTGCTAATTGGTGTTGCAGTATTGTGTTAAGTGGGAGACTTGGGGTCTTATTCTGGAAGGGGAATTCCACAGCAGCATATATCTTCTGCAGGAGTAGAACGAATGAATGACAACTAATATTTCTGGTCACCCAACATTTAGCAAGGAAAGAATTGGAAATAAATAAATTGTATATCCATGAACATGAATGCCACCACTAAAAAGCAAAACATGAGCTTAAATCTGGAACCTAGTCATAGTCTAACATATACACATACAAGCATAAGCTTAATATTAACAGAGTACAGTTGGGTCTTCATTTACGCGGTCAATTGAACCCGCGGAGTACCATGTAAAACGAGAAACGCGTAAATGAAATAACAGAACATATGGGATTAATTGAAATAGAGACTGGGCCGACCCCCAAACTCCACTTTTTCCAACACAATACGTACCTTGTAGTCAAAATAACATCTTAATTTTATGATGGTATGCACACACAATTAATAATTAAGAGGATTATCAATAATATTAGGTTTTTTAACACTTACATTAGTAGAAAAGATGGCTGGGCACATAGGGATGGGGGGTTGGTTCCGAGGCAGAGGGCAGATTATTGGCCCTCACCTGTATCACTTGTATTAATTGTATCACTATCCACCACAGAGGCTTGCAGGGCCTCTTTGTCAAACCCCTCAAAGCCCATATAAGTCCATATCCTCACTATCACCGACTTGGGCCGGCTGTGGTGGGTGAAGAACTCGGTAATGTTTTGATGACTGGGCGACCTTGTGCGCACCCTGCCCAAGCCACTTCCCGCGTAAATTACCAAATTTGCCACGTAAATCAAGCATTTCAATTCTGGCAAGGCACCGCGTAAATGACAAAACGCGTAAACCAAAACTGCGTAAATCCAGACTCAACTGTATACAATCATATTAAGTGGGTTCCATTTCCAAGGATTCTATGTAAGGTGTAGCATAATTTCACATTAAAAATATGAAATACAGTACAAGACTTCTGGCCTTCATATTATGAGTTGTGGACATGCTATACTGTACAGTACTGTATGTGGAAAAGAAACCCATCATGTGTCAAAAGTGCCACACTGAGTGTTTACAACTTGAAATTCAGACCAGCCACATTAAATGGGTTAAACAATATTTTGTATGTAATTATTTAAGTTATATAGCATAACTTGACTCAATCATTATAGCATACCTATTAAACTCAACACAGGATACATCTGCACCAAGAGATAACTTTTTCCCAGGTATGATGGGAGCACTGAGATTGGTGATATCCCAAACTGTTACTTCAGAATCTGAGGAGCCACAAGCCACACAATTAGCCTGAAAAATAATACATGTACAGTATATATACATATAGCATGGTAATGTATAGTTATAGGGGCATAAAGTTGCATAGTAGTTTATTTACATATGAAGGTGATATTCTTAGGTATCTGTCATTACAAAATTCCATTGTGTTCATGAAACAGACATTCATCACTAGTGCGTACATTATGTAATCTGAAAATTGAATCAGGTAATCCAGGGTTTCAAATAAAATAAGCCTTCAACATTTCAATTGTCAATAATAGATGTTTGCATAATCCATCTAAAAACTTGGGTGGGACAAAGGTGGTGGGAGGGGTTGGGAAATATGTATACAGTACAGTATCAAAACAGCCTAAAGGAGAACACCCATCATGACTAAAAAACCACTTGAAGAATGATGTGAGTGGGGAGTAACTAAAGAGGAGACAGAGTATCCTGACAACCATGGTGCAATGCCATTCATTATTGAACCATGAATCATTATCAATCATAATGTTGTATTTTGAAATTGTTCATACATTATGCATAACAGTAACCTAAGTCACAAGAGTACCACCATGAAAGGAAGACCTGAGGCATCACACAGCCATTGTACACTCTCTTGACTGGCAAAGTGAACTGCAAGTCGTGTTCATAGGCCACACATGTGCAGCATAGATGAAACCTCAAGTGTACAATAAAGATACGTGAACACTCATCATTTACCAATAGAAAGTATAAAGAACGGTCCTTGAAAGAATTAAATATGGCAGACTAACAATGGACAGTTGGACTGTGGCATCCATAACATTTTGTCATTCTGCTTTGAATAATAACTTGCATCTAGTCCTCCATTTTAGGCAATAGATATGACAGGAAAGAAAGTGAGCCAACCTTGTGCAGTAAAGGTGTTTCCATTGGCTAATGCTGCCAGGGTAGATTATAAGCCATAAAATGTCTTAAGAGATAAAAGTTACTCACCTTCAGATAGTTACAACTGAGAGTAAACACCGGACCAGAATGCATTCCCTCGGTTGTACCAACCAGGCTATCTGTTTCCTTGGCCAAGACCTTTGCTGCATTGTATATATAAATGCCACCATTTTCACATCCTCCATATATGAAGCCTGAAGGTTCAGTTCCCAAACCACTCCACTGTAGAGCATGGAACCTGTCAAGTCAATATCATATTGTTTATCACTAAAGCTGCCTAAAAAAAAAAGGCCTGATGGTTACCTAGGCCTAAACAATGTTGTAGGCCTAAACAATGTCGAGCAATGTAATGCTTCTTACAGTATTAGGATGAGTACAGTATGTCATATAGATTAGGTCGACATTACAGTAAAGTACAAGCAAAACAAATATATCAAGGAAAAGGCAAGATAATACTGTATTCACATACTGTACTGTACAAGACTTACCTAGATGGAGATTCAATAGATGCTGCAAGTTTCATATCCAAGTTAGTCTCCCCTACATTAAGATCATAAATGTTGAGAGTTGAACTTGTATTGAAACTAGCATCCAGCTGCTGAGCAGTGGTGCCACATGCCAAATAAGCTGGGTGTATATCTGCTGGTGACCAGGCCACATTGGCAGTCTCATTTGCCTCTTTCACCTTCATGATGTTCCTGAGGAAAACAAGAGAAGTTTATTAATATTTCTTAAGTTGTAGAAACAGTATTCTTAATGTGAACTCCCCAAGTGTGGTTTATAGTGGCAAGGAGAGAAAATGTAAAAGGAGACTGTCTGAAGAGATTAATTTAAAAACATTTGATTTCTAACATTGAAAAAAAGGAAGTACACCTTTTCACATATCCGTTGAGACATTGTTACATAACTATTTGACAAATTTCATAACCGAATGACAGAACACATATCGAATGACAATCTAAAATAACTGATGGTGGTATGTCATTCTCCAATTGTTACATTCTCAAACTATATGTAGACTGTCTGTTTATTGTTCACGTCTGTCAACTTCATAACTTATGTCAATCACTTCCGTTAGCATGAACGAACAGTTATTTTAGATTGTCATTCGATATGTGTTCTGTCATTCGGTTATGAAATTTGTCAAATAGTTATGTAACAATGTCTCAACGGATATGTGAAAAGGTATCTTACTGCCAAAAGTGAATGACGAGGAACCATCTCAGTCATATTTATATCATCTATTCAGCTATGTACTATAGTGTCTAGAAATTCAGGAGAAAATAAGAGGGAAAGTGAAATTCAAAAACTGGCCATCTGGGGTGGACACAAAGTACAGTACAGTAATTGCTTTACCCCTCTGCTCAATTGGGATATGAAAAGTTGTGCACGGTTCCTACTTAGGATTTGAGTAAAAGGCACATCTGAAAAGCAGGAGACTGACTGGGCCAAGTGAAGAGGCATATCCTTGGTGGCCAGTGTTCTGGAAGTCATCTGAACAACAGCTAATTTCTATTTAGTTCCTTCTTTGATGTATTAGGACAGTTTACAACACTTTAAATAAAAAGGCAGCTAGTGTGTATCCATACATACCATGTGACATTTTGGAGCACAAGGTTTTTATCCAAGGAGCCACAATCGGTGGCAGAAAGAATTAACAAGTATTACATGAAGAGTAATCCTGAGATATGTAAATATGAAGAGAATTAGAAACTAGAGTATATATACAAGTAATACAGTGGTCCCTCGGTTAACGAACGGTTCGATTAACGAAATTTCGGTTCACGAATTAGCTCACATAAGGATTTTTAGATTGATTAACGAAATCCTTACGACAAACACGTTTTGTTGTACGCATCAGCTGATCGGCTAGTCCGCCAATACAGTAATCGGTTCTATGTTTAAATTAGTTTCTAGTGGAGTAAATATCAAGAAGGTTGTGCTCTTTAATATTTTTGCATTTTTTATATTAAAATTATTAGACATTTTAAAATTTAGTTAACATATTGATAATATATGCAGTACAGGGAACTAGTTTTTTGTGCACACATCAGCGGCTTGACTCACCCGCCAAAGCGTCTCTATTTAACTGTTTACAATGGAGGAAACATCGTGTTTATTGGTCTCTTGAACACAGAGTATTTTTTACGTTTTTACATTAAAATTGTTGGTCATTTTGAAATTTAGTTAACATATTGATAATATATAGTGCAGTGCAGTGTTGATTTAAATAAAATAATCTTTAATTACAGCTTGTAAACTTAAAATTTTACTGGTGAAATTACTGCATCAAGCATGGGTGAGAAAGATGATTCCCCTCAGTGTTCCTTTCCAAAAAGGAGAGAGGAGATTTTCATGTTAGAGAATCTGTCAGTCCAGAGGTTCCTGACATTATTATGTTAGGTGACTCACCTTCCAAGAAGCATTAAAATGCGGGTCCGACTAATTACCCAAATGTACCCAAATGTAGTCAAATAAAGCCGGAATGAAGTCAAATAATGGTCCTACGGTAGATGAATAAATCGGACTGCCAATCACTTCTCAACTAGTATTTGGTGTCAGAAAGTCACAAAAAATTGGAAAACTTACTTTAATCTGAGTTAATAGATCGCGTGCATGTACCAATTTTTTGTGACTTTCTGACACCAAATACAAGTCGAGAAGTGATTGGCAGTCCGACTTATTCATCTATGACCATTATTTGACTTCATTCCGGCTATATTTGGCTACATTTGGCTACATTTGGGTAATTAGTCGGACCGTTAAAATGCTTCTCTTCACCCTTCTCCTCCACCACTACTCCCTTCTCTTCTCCCTTTTCCTCCACCCCCACTTCTAATTCCCATGATCATCATCAACGAGCAACATTCTACATACACACCTCAAAGTAAGTGTACTGTACTGCATTTTGTTTATACAAATATACAGTACTTTGTATGTACTTTTCTGTGAGTTGGAACCAATTACCCAATATCCCATTGAAATAATAGATTCGGTTAACAAACGACTCTGGGAGACGAATTGTGTTCATTAACCGAGGGACCAATGTATCTCCATTAGCCGGAATCCCTCAAACCAGGAACTCTCCGATAGCCGGAATTGAAATTTCACTGTGTGTTATAGTGGACACTGTCGTATTATGTGCAAATGTGTGAAAAAGTGGTTACTTATAATTTTAACCTAACCTTAGTTGATAAGAAAACCAAGAGGCAGACTCAATGTTAGAAGACCACACCAACCTAATCTTATCCAACTTCCTGGTCGTGGGGCTCCGCCTCCGGCATATTAAACAGAAAGAACTTACTGCGATATGGTGTAATTTTACGTTTTTTGTAAGTACGTGACAGCAGCCGCTAGATAGAGTACACTGAGCGTAGGCCTCAATCAGAGCTCGGTGCACGGGAGTGTTTTGAAATACAGTACATCAATATGATTGGCTGTTGACATCCGAGAAAGAGACGTCACCGCCGTATTACCGCTGAGAAGACAAAGTGGTGCATGCCTAGGCCCTTAATTATCTACCAAATGAAGCATTTGCACAGGAAATGATTATCATAACAGAACTCGCTAATGAAAATATAAGAAAATAAACATCAAAATAAATAACATGTTAGTCATCAATACTGACCTTAACACAATGTTATGAGGTAATGTCCCCAACATACTATCAGTAAAATATTGAACAAATAAATCTCAAAGTGCTCCTATAAATATTTTATTTGCTGACACTCCACTTTAGAGTAATTCTTAATAATAATCTTGAAAAGCATTGCAAGCTGGTGACACACCTTAAAGGGAAGGAATCATCCCAACCTTTATGTTACTAAGGTCACCCTTATTAATCCTGGGTACAGAATGTTATGCAACACTTCTAGCAATATAAAGTACCAGTTTGCCTTCACTATAATGCTTTATTTACTTGCATCTACATCATCATGGAGCACCGACACACCATAGGATTTATCTTCCTTTATTATCTCACTACAACACTTAAGGAGCAGGTCATCACCCGGCTGACAGATGCCAGAGTGCCACTGTCATATTGTCCATCCACCTAACTGGGCCACCACTCCCAGCTACCCACACACTACACATTACTCTGACTTTAATTACCACCAATGACATGGAGACCTTACTATATAATGGATTACAAAGAAGATATATTACCACGGCGTCGACTTAGTTAAAAAAAATAGGTGATCACTGCCTCATCCCCAGCACCCAAGAGTTCCTGATGTCAACTAAATTGTTCCTACGTGGCCAGTAGTTCCTACCCAACACGTCAACCACCCCACCCATTGTCAAGAAGAGTGAACACAAACTTTATAGCCTTGATTTACTGTTATATTTGCCCAAATTTAACCTAAAAGACGCTTTAATGTAGGCTAAAATAAAAATAATACTTATATTTTGTATTTATTGCAAAATAATTCACCATAAGTTAAAAAAAGTAAAATTTTAAGGGCTTCCGATTTACCTAGATATTAATCCTGAATTTTGAAATAGTGTTTTTTTTTATTATGACACTTTAACATAGTGCTAGCATATATTACATGCTACACGGACTACAAGTAGACAAAGATCTTAACGAAGCACCTCAAGTAAACATTTTCTTTCCTAAAAACTCGACAAAATAACAGTACGATAGTACCCTGTAGATACGCAAAAATATTTACACAAAATTATCTTAAATTTAATTCGGTGAAACGTAGATATTTCATTTAATCATCTATTCATCTACTCTGGACAGTTATTTACTGAATTTCAATCACTTATATGCAATCTGTTTTAATGTGCTGGTAGTATAGAGCGGCAGCGCGCGTATCTCTCACTGGTAACTATCAAGAAGCGATCAACATACTGACCCTTTCGACTCTCACTGACCATCACCACGACCTCATCTGCCAATTTGGTAAGAAGCTTCTGCACCATCCTCGACACCGGCTCCTACTACCACCTGAGATCCCTAGCCCGAGAATTGCTGTTCGACACCACAAACGCATCCAGCCCATACGAGCACGAACTGATCCCTATAAGAACAGCCCAGTCCCAACCATTGTAAAAATTATCAATAACTTGTAACAAACCAGTGTATTCATTCCCAGTAAATCCTACTTTTTGCACTGTCACTATGTTGAAATGCCCTGTAGCATAACCTTCTCCCCACCTAGTTATTATATATCATATTTGTATCACTTATGTTACTTTTATATTATTTGTAAATCAAGAGACCCATTCCCCAATTATGCAACTGTTTAAATGTAAACATGTGCCAAACGTGCCACCTCAGTATATTTAAATTACGGGTACTAAATACAAGGAATTAATGACTAAAGAAACACATAACGAAACATTTTATATTATCTTAAAAGAAAACACAATACCCTGGATAGCTTCAAACTCATTATTAACGAGAATACGCTGGATAGATTCAAGCATAGGTTGGATGGATATATGAGCAAAAGGGGTTGGGTATAAACGGGACGGCCCAGTATGGGTCAATAGACCCGCTGCAGTTTGCTCCAGTGTCTTTAATTTGATAATCCGCATGTTGGATGGCGTTAGCCTAAAAATGGATAGTCGACTTTATTTTTTTTATAATCAATCGCAATTTTTCATCTATCTCAAAATAAAATAATTATTTTTTAAGTTTATATTGTTCCGATTTAAATTATTTAAAATTTTAGATGGTAAAAAATGATAATAACAGGATTTGGTGAACTTAAAATATAAGTCGAGTTTACGTCACATCACAACATTACCGGTAGTGTTGTGTGGTGGACGGCAGCCTGAGTTACTCTCCCTAAACATGGTGGGTTTTTCAACTGTAAAACAGATTCTCTGCCTATTATTAATACGAATAAAAAGTACACTTTACCATTAATATTTCTTATTTTATCGCTATAAATTAGCCTCAATGTCGTTTGATTTCCACAACTGGACTGAAAATTTTGTTATTCCATTCATTGGCAGCTTTAGTGTAGTATGGAGGTGTGCAGTATTTTCTCAAGGGAAGATGTACACTCCCTTTTAAAATTCAATAACAGTGAAGGCTGAAAGAGCACTACCCTGGAAATATTAGTGGGGTCACCATTTGTTTACTTCACGTGAGGTACTTAATGTAAAGATTGAGGAGAGTGATACTGGTTGTCAAAAAACAAAGAGAAAAGACCAAAAGAAGGTAATCCTGGAGCAGATGACTAACACCAGAACGCGTTGTTTGATTTCGATCATTTTTTTCCACTAATGTTCTTTAGATGATAGTAAGTACAGTATAGTACATGTAATACAAATGATACGACAATGTATTTTGATATCTGGTACCAATGAAAGCAACTTTGTTGAAGCATCTTGGTATAATTTAGTTTTTTTTGTGGACGTGAGAGTACGCTCAGACTGAGCGGGTCGGTTTTAAACAGAACAAACCACGACGCGCGCCAACAACGACAGATTTTGTAAATTAATATTTACGTTAAATAATTAATTTCTCTGTGTACAAAACGCGTAGAGACATCATTTTAGTGTCATATGATCAGTTTTCACCGTGCTTTACCCTGCAATATCCCCCATCCTTCATACCCTGCCCACTACAGGTGATGCATGATTGTAGTTGGAGAAAACTAAAAAATATAAATAAATACTTATACGTAATGAAAATAAAAAGTTGTACCGTTTTTTACTTACCATAACTCCTTCTGGTGTTAGCCATCTTCTCCAGTATTACCAAAAGAACCAATCCTAATGAATCTCATACATGACTTACAGTCTAATTTAATAGCGAGTAGAAGAAGAATAATGAAACAAGAGCGTCTAACCTATCATTACATAATAAGGCTCGGTACAGTAGTAATTATGAAACGTGAGAATAACAAACACAGGCCAGCACCATCTATACTCCTGTAATAAAATGTGGTAATAGCCACTTAAATACTTGATACATTCATATACTGTTAACTTAACTTCAATGGTATTACAGAACTGGTTAATTATTTACATTTCTTGCACTCCATAACTAGGTACCAAATTTACATAATTTCACAGTACATGTAGATGATAAATGATTTCTTACCACGTGAAAATGACAAGAATGGAAGAAGACTTTGGTGTGTGTAATATAATTTTTATGACTCACTCCTGAACACCCCTTTATGTCTGGGAGATGAGAGCTACAGTTTATTTAGTTTATGTCAAGGAATGTTTGGTGTTTCTTTTCATAGCCGTAATATTTTTTTGTCGATAATAAAAGCCGAGATCTGATTTATTCTAGGTTAGGTTGATTCATTTTATGAACAAATATTCCTGGACCTAACTTAATTTACTGCAGGTATCTTCTATTTTCATCATCTAAACGTCCCTGTTGATCAAATGAACATGGCAGATGGACTGTGGTGTCACATCAGAAAAATCAAGATGAAAAAAATTGTGAAATTAATATGCAAAATTTATATCTGGTTCACTTTTTGTCATTTTCATGAGGTAAGAAAGCTTTTTATCTATTTACTGTGAAATGTCTGCAAGTTGCTGGTTCAAACGTAGAATAGCTAGGAGTATAGAAATACCCTTCATATTTTGTCCAACTTTTGAATAATAATATACTGTACTGTATTAAAGACAATTTGTAAATTCTTACCTCAAGAAAACTGTAAAATCGAAGCAGGAACTTAAATTTTTGGAGGTCTGTTTTCTGTAGTTTTCCTTCATATAAATAATTAATGTGTCATCTACCATGTTGTCATTGAAATCCTTACCAGTGACTGAATGTTACCAGCTACCTTTCCATACAAATGTTTCCATCAATTATATTATTTATCATGCTAGGATGAGGCAACCTATTCTACCCTATCCTAAATAAAATATATTAGCTTTATCTTTGCTGGGTTTGGTAGGTTCATCTTATCTGAGAAAGTTTTGTCAAGAAGATAGAATTTCTCGTATATTTTGAAAATCTGATTTTAAACGGTAAAGAACAATCATATATACAAACATATTTTACATTAACTAATACTACTGTTTGTCTTTTAGTTTCGAAATCAGTATGATAATGATGTCACAGTATGGTCCCCACAAGGACGCCTCCACCAGGTAAGTTGAGAGTTAATTTGTAAGCTTAAGCCAATGTAGATGATAATTTTATTTATTGTATTTATTATTATTTTTTTTTTAGAATACCTGTACTGTCGGTATTCTCAAAGATGTAAATGTTGGTAAAATATATTTTTCTGTACTGTATTAACTTTTTCCTGTACAATACTGTCCACATAATAAAATACTGCATATAATGTATGTATATTTATAACAACAGAATACTGCATTCATTTAATCTGATATTTGTTTAATCTTTCTATAACAGTGAGACATGGGATATATTATTAATGAGTTGCAATGCCAAACTCATCATTTAAAGTTTTAGTTAATTAGTCATGCGTGTAATTTTCATACATGCAGGGTAGTTGAGAACTCGGTACAGGATATTTGTGGGTCTCTTAACCTTAGGGGTTTGTTGCAGTTCATTGCACTTACTGGTTACTTTCTTCACATCTCAGTAAATCACTTAAAAAATGCAAGAAATTGCTGGAGAGTTCATTTGAAGTGAGGAATTGGTTTTGAAAGATTCGGTCGGCTTGAAAAATTTGTTATGACATGCTGTTGCCAGCCAGGCTGCTTGGAACATAGGTAATGATAAATATTTGTTAAGTATACAGTAATAGGTGATAACTGTGTGTTAATTTAAAAACTTTTGGGAAAGGGAAATTTTTTTTAAAAGTAAAACTGAAGGTGTATAAAATAAAAATCATTAAAGGTATTGTAAATTGAGGTATACCAGTACCTGTGATATGGAAGTAAGAACCGTTAAATGCTTTGAGAATTAATTTGTGGTAGTATGAGACATGTACAATACCTGTACACTTGTTTTTTTTTTAGGTGGAGTATGCTATGGAGGCAGTGAAGCAAGGCTCAGCCACAGTTGGTGTGAAAAGCTCATCCCATGCTGTACTGGTGGCTTTAAAAAGAGCCTCATCAGAACTTGCAGCTCACCAGAAAAAAATCATGCCAATTGACAAACATATTGCTGTTTCAATCTCAGGTACCCTGAAGATGCATAGTAAGGTTATTTATAGGTAACTGGATTATTGAAGAAAATCTCATTGGGTTTATGGATTTGGGATTCCTGTGGGTTTTACTGTATATAGCTACAGTACTGTATACAGTACATATAGAGTATTAGTTCATTATTTAAATTGAACCAGAACCTCCAATTTATCACTCTTCCTGCCAGTCTTTTATATATTCAGAGCAAGGTAGCAGATCCATAATGCTCGCCAGTTATTTCACAAATAGACTAAAATCTCTATACAGTACTACTAGAATTGTTTATGGCATGGGATGCTGTGTACATTGAATTGTATTTTTTTCTTCTTTATTATTCTCTTGGCCCAGGGAGGGGGTATATGGCATTTGTATGGGTTGGCCTGACTGTAGTGTCAAACCAGAAGGATGTACAGGGTATCATCCTCAGATGTATTGCACTGTTGTTGATTGTTTTGTATTATGGTCACAGGTTTGACTGCAGATGCTCGTGTCCTGTCGCGATTCATGAGAACAGAGTGTCTCAATGAACACTTTGCCCACAACCAGGCTCTATCCTTAAATAAGCTGATGGAACGTGTTGGTGCTAAAATGCAGATTGCCACCCAGCGCTACGATAAGAGGCCATATGGTGTTGGTCTCTTGTTAGCTGGCTTTGATGTAAGTACAGTCGATACAGTATTACATTACCTTAAAGGAAATTATCTGGTTTTGTAGATAAACTGAGTTGTGATTATTTGAATGCTCATTTACTTTTTTCTTAATGTCACTCTACCTGGCTGAGCATTTACACAATGCAAATTAAGCCATTCCTGAGGAAGTTCTGACTAATCTTCAAAGCAGTTGCTATAATAAAAAGATTGTACTTTAGTTGTTACTTAAACAAAACAACAGGTAAAATGAAAAAGGTCCTTGCTGCCATTAATACAACTTGTGGTACAGCTACTAATTGAAGTTCAGTGATGGGCAGTTGGCAGGTTCAGTACACACTGCGGCATATTGTACCTTGAAAACATTTCATTCTCACGTGACTTGACCAGAATTTAATGGGCTGGGAGTCTAGAACCCTTTAAACTAATAATGTTATAATAAATTAAGTTCTGGATAATTCGAGTTTTTTATTCTCACATTTATCTTATACTTTTTCCTCTTGCTGATAGACTTTGTAAACAGGGTTTTTGTCAGAAGTGTATACTACAGTAATGTACTGTATATTCAAGGGCCTGCACAGTTCTTGCTAATGGTATGCATGTAAGAAATAAGACTACCTAATCACCTTATAAGCTGATATGTAGTGAGGAAGTTCTCAAATTACCATGTGGGAGGGACAAAGTACCTGTATTAAAATGGCATAAGTTTAGGGAGGAGGAAAGAAGATGGAAATGAGGGATCATAAGTGAACTAGTTATATGCTTCAATTTATGTATTTACAGGAGGATGGTCCCCATATCTACCAGACCTGCCCTTCTGCCAACTACTATGACTGTCAAGCCATGGCAATAGGAGCTCGTTCCCAGAGTGCCCGTACTTATTTAGAGCGTCATCTTGAGGAGTTTGGCAGTTCTACTCGGGAGGAGCTTATTCGTCATGCTCTGCGGGCTCTGAGAGATACGCTTCCCAATGATGTCGAACTAACTAATAAGGTATTGTATTGCTTTTATGAAAAGTTTTTAGAATTACTATTAGATTTTAGAGTACCATAGTTAAACGTTTACAAAGTACAGTACAGTAGTACTGTATCTCGATACACTGGACTAATTGACGCAGACCCCAGTCTGGAAAATGTGAAAGAACAAAAAAAGTGAATCTAGGGAGGGGGAACTGGACATAGCACTGCTTATCTGCTTTTAAAATAGTTTATAAATGTAATGGTATTAGTACTAGAAAAGAAAGGGATGGGTTTATTATATAAAACAGGAAAAGTTTTGTGTCAATTTCACGTTGAATACAGTAATTATGTTCATTCGATATCATTAGCAGGATTTACCAGTGTATTCTGGATGTTATTTGGTGGCAGTTGAGTGAATCATTAGACACATGTAAACAGAAATACACTATAGCCATTTAATTGTTCAATACCAAATAATCTTACTGTTGGGTACATTCACCTCTATTTTTTTTTTTAAAGTCTCTCGTATGCTACCTGAGTATTTCTTAAGCATTACCTTGCTCTTACAGAACTGCAGCATAGCAGTAGTGGGTAAGGGCGAAGATCTCAGTATTTATGACGATGATGATGTAAACCCATACCTGGAGGGACTGGACCAAGAGGAAAGGCGGGGAGGTGCTGGAGGAAGCCGTGATGCTCAGCCTCCAGCTGCTGAGGATGATGCAACTGCTGGGGCTGCTGCTTCTGCTGATGCTACTGCTGCTGCACCACCTCCTCCACCAGCAGCAGAGGATCAGGTAGACCCTCTTTCCCCCCATGTTTAAATCCTGGAATGTGGAATATAGCAGTTACTTTACTGGAGTAGTATGTGTCTGAGATTTTTTTTTATGTTTCTGTATATAAATGCTCAGAGTAAAAGGATGAAATTTTGTGTATTCCTGAGAACTAGTGCATTAGTAGAAATTATATCTACGGGTATCCAGTTTTTGCTATTCAAAACAAGTTTAGAAGGTATAATACATTGTACTGTATGTAGCTATTAACAGAAAATTAATTCTCTGAAAAGATAGAGTAAGAGAGCTGAAGGATATAGTTGGTCAAATTATGGAACATGTTTAACCTATTTTACCTTTCTGATAGATTATATGGTAAACCTTCAAGTATTATGACCTCTTGATTTTAAGTCTTAGATTTATAAGTACGTTATTTTTTACATAATGTACGTTATTTTCCCACAGCCAGCACAGCAGGTATAGTTTAATTTGGAATATATGTACTGTACAGTAGTCTTTTTGTTAGAACTTATTGTAGTGGTAAAGACCTAGTTTTGCTTTTGTTGGATATATTTTTGAATTTATGCAGCAGTTTAAAAACTTCTATCTCACCAGATGATGCATTTTGTACAGTATAATAATGTGTAAGACTCAATTCAAGGGATTTCTATATACTATTTAAGGTTTCAGTGTCATGAAGCAAATGCTTAGTTTCTTGTTTAATAACAGTTTTTTCTGTTGTGTCCCTTTCCCACTGGTGGCCTGGGGAAAATTTGTCAAAGTACTGTAATGTTGATAGTGCTTGTACTCTGCTATGTTTGGTTTTCTTATTGGTCACATACTTCCTCCATGTACACTACCTTCCTATACTGATAGTCTCTTCTTGCTAAACCAAATTCCCATATTGTACACCTCATTCACAGTATGTGCCTGTACTCATCATACTCACTTATATCTTGTAAACACATAACTTCCATACTTTTTGCAATGTACTGTAGAACTTATCTTTCCTCTCACATTGCACCTTATGCTCCTCTGTTTTGTTTTTTTCTTGGGACACATGTGCTCTCCTTTGTACACTCACACAAATATTAATAATAAAGTACATACTGTATGTAGACATTATGTTTGGGTTATTTTGTGGCATAGGAACAAAAAATGCTTTCAAATTGAAAAATTATGAAATGAAAATACATTTGCTGTGCCTGGTAGTTCAATACAAAATAAGGACCAGAGCCTCAAAAATTTCACCAAGCAAGCTTAAAAACTTTATTTTCTTATTAAACATAACCAAGACATGTACAGTGTTCTGGTACACCAAGAAAAATAAATAAATAGAACTGTTCCAAAACAATGAAAGCTTCACACACACACACACACACACACACACACACACACACACACACACACACACACACACAAGAAATGGCACAACATATTAAAGCCATGCTGCCTCAGACTAACCTGACAATCCACAGAATCAGCAGTAATACTGGATGACAGTTATTCACGTTAACTAGGAACATGAGGAAGATCTTCAATAAAAGATAAATCTTTCTTTCTTCATGAAAAGCCCCCGAATTTGGAAGGATTATGTTTTCTTAATACTACTGTATTATTTTTAAGATTTTTTTCTCCCAAGGATGAAACTAAATCTATCCCTGATTTAACATTGGAATTATTGTGTCACTACCATCTATGTAGAGTGGAAAAAAAAATTTATTATAAAAAACCTTAAGCTTTGTTCATAATTATATTGTTTTATTACTTACAATAGGCTAATGTTACATCAGTGACTGGCAATATACAGTAGTGTAAAGGGAAAAAATGGTTGCAATTTAGGTAACGGTGGGAAAATATATCAAAATTAAAAAGCACGTAAAATAACCCAAGGCTACTGTATTCATACATTGCACTGATATGTATTGTATATCCACTAGTAAATTTTCTCTTTGTATTTGTTCGTATGACATTATCCATTGTTTCTTTACAGGGGGATTCCATGGAGACTGACTAAGGATCTACTTGGGTCTGTGTGGTTTGTGTTTGAAATTAGGATTTTTGTACCATTTCAGTTGGACACATTTTAATGTGCACCTGTTGAGTTATTTTGCATTACCAAATGAAAAGGAAATAATTCGTACTAAATTTTGTACGTGAATTTTACCACGAAAGAAATCATTTTCTGTAGTATCTTCAGGGGATATTTTTGTTACCCAGCAACAATACTTGAAATTCCATAATAAAGGTATACATGAGAAGTGTTGGCTATGACTATCCAATGGATGATATCTATTTCCTTTTAAAGATTAATTTTATATTTTGCTTAATAATGCCATGTAGTTAGGTTATTACCAAATGCTTTTAAAGGTCAGCACAAATGGTAAATAAAATAATCAGACATTACTCTAGTGAACGATTGAGATGAAAAGTTACGAACGTTAGTGAATGAGCTTGGAAGTGTGTGTGTTCAATAGTAGAAAGTTAAAGGTTAATGTGAATAATGTAAAGTGATGAATACAGTATATGTAAAGAGGAAGGAAATGAGGTGAAATGAATGTTAATTTAAATGAAGACTGAATTGAGAAGTGAAGTGTTTCATATACTGTATACTTGTACTGGGGTGGATGTGTGAGCAAATGGAACAATGAGTGATGAAAGGCATCCCAGGGTTGCAGAGTGATAAAATACAGTAATAAATGCATTGAGAAATGTATACTATATGTATAGAAACAACTGTCAAAGGAGGCAAATATGAGAATAAACAAGATAATTTTAAGTTAGAAACGGTAAACTTTAGAGAAATGTGTAAAGTAAATTTGTTAAGAGATTAATAAATAAAAAAGAAATGTGAACTGTTCGTGTAGTATGAACATATTGAAAGAACGGTAAAATGATTATTATTCAAAGGTGGATGATAGGAGGGAAGATGAGAGAAATGGAAGGATCTGGTGATGAATATATTAGAGGAGCAGGGGATAGATGTCTAGGAAGCAGCAAGGTATGTGAATGACTGGAGAGCAAATAGTCTTCAGGATTAAACAATGTTGAAGGGTAATGCTAGATTGCTTGAAGTTATGTTTTAACCAAGCTGAGTAGATTACAGTATATAGCAACCCCTTTATATTGAGAGAATGCAATTTCATCCTAATTCCCATACTGTATAACAGCATTTAGACTCATTTGGTGCCGAGTTAACAAAACATTATCGTAAAATACTCAAATTTCCGAGGAAAATCCTACACTCGACCCCACATAAGTTACTGTGTCGTATTAAATTCCCGGCGTTTTGTTTACATCATGTGAATAGCTGACCAGCCAGCTTGGGATGGAGCTGTTTATGTAATAACTACTTTTTGTACACTATATCTCTGTATTACTGTATATTTTTATGGTCCGTACAGTATACAGACACTCCCTGGGTTACGGATTTCTGACATGGATACTCGCCCATAAGTCCTTTTTAAAATTAGTGCCAAGAAATTCCTGGACCGAGTGGTTATACAGTATTCCCAACCCTAACCCACCTATGAGCTCTTATTTTATGGTTTCTTTTTAACTCATAATTTTTGGTAGATGTACTGTATGATCGATTTTTTTTTAGTTACATACAAACTAAATCGTACATACAGAAAGTGCAATAAAAGTAAGAAATACCATACACAAGGGTTTAGTACTGTAGACTATCTCCATTACCCCTTCACTATGGGGATGCTACTTTTAATATTTTATTTGGCTAATGCCAAAGAAAATTATTCAGCTAAAAGGCAACCCAATGAACAAGGGGTTAAACACAGTACGTACAGTACTTTCTGTCTAGCAACTGACAGATGCAATGATATGAATGTTTCTAAACTTGACCCAGTTTTGGTACAATATTTTAGCATTTACAAAATACAGTAAACCCTCAATAACTTGGCACGTATGGGGCTCTGGCCTTGCCGAGTTATCCAAATTCCGAATTATCGAGGCACTTCCCTGCTCCTACAAAAATACAACAATAACAAATTATCGACCCATATATGTGTACATGTAATTACTAAATGTAAAAAAGTAACACTTACCAGCACTGCAGGCAAAGAATGAAGCATCAATAGTAGGTGACAAAGGCAGAGGAATGGTAGGTGCAGAGGTATGGTAGGTGACAAAGGCAGAGGTATGGTAGGTGACAAAGGCAGAGGAATGGTAGGTGACAGAGGTATGGTAGGTGATGCAGGTGACCAGATATGCCAAGATTTTGCCAGATAACTTTATATATCTTGGCATTTCCCGAGTAATAATATAATACATTCCGAGACCATATCCATGCTGAGTTATATGAAATTCCAAGTTATCAAGGGTTTACTGTATTGACTATTGCTAGAAGTAAGGGAGTTCATTGCATAGTATCCTTTACTGGCAATACACAGTACAGGTACGGGTATATATATTTTTTCCTGAAAATGGATGGATTACAAATAACACGTCAACTGACAAACTTATTACTGCTCCTGAGATAACTTGGTTGTCAGGGTTCATGTTTTGGACAGAAATATGATGATGTACTGAATAAAGCTGCCAAAAATGAAACAAAATTACCTAAAGTGAACACTTCCCACCTACAGTATTAGAGAGCAATGCTACAAACCAATAGAATGGTGATTTTCAATTTTGTTTTATATATGTACTGGTGAGTCTACATAGTAAATGATTTTATAGTTTGTAGTTACTAAGGACATTTATAAAGAACAGAAAAGAAAGTAAATGCCTCCTCAATCTTGCATTGTAATTTACCTTGTAATTCAATTATCAGTAGGAACATTATAGAATCAAATCTAGTCTCATTAAACATAATGAATCTGTTGACATGAATTTGAGTAATGGCATGTTGTACAAATTAGATAATTTTGTCATTAAAAATATTTGTAACCAGGTAAAGGGTTGGGAAACAACTTAGTGTCTTGAATATGGTGGACACCTGCTGTCCCCAAGGACTTGATCTCACTCTCCTTTACTATATATACTGGCCTTGTTATGAACTACTCCTCAGTCTGTACTCACTCCTGAAGACACTTGGGAACTTTGTGTTTTCTTTTTTCCTAAAGTAAACAGAACTGCTTTTGACACAGTTTCAGGGCCTAGGAATCTAGGCAGGTTCCTCCCCTCATAACCCTAGCATGCCATTCACGCAAATTATTGTTGAGGTGAATGACCAAAATTCTAAGGACCTTAACGTAGGTTCTAGTAAAATTGTTTATGAAGCTAACAAAAAGGTTATATGGTGAATGACAGGGCGTGGAATGAGGTGCTGACATTGACTTAACTACCACTGCTGAAGAGGGTAATGAGATGTCAACATTACATCTGTCCACAAGTGTCCTCATTAGTCATTCAGTCCTTATGCCTCAGATGTGAATATCATTTCAGGTGTATGTACCGTCTACAACCCAAAAGATAAAAGATAAGTTTATTTTGCAATGTTACTTTTAGAATTGTGAATATGTCATGAAATCATTAAATTAATAAAATAATTGTGTGCATGAATCTCAACAAAAAACTATATGTACTGTACAGTACTGTGATTTTATGGCCAAAGGACAAGGTAATGTAAAACTTCCAATGTACATTTTTAACTCCTCTATACAGTACACTACAGTAAACCCTTGATAACTCAGAATTTCATATAACTCAGCATGGATATGGTCTCGGAATGTATTATAGTATAACTGGAAATGCCGAGATATATAAAATTACCTGGGAAAATCTCGGCATATCTGGCCACCTGCATCACCTACCATACCTCTGTGTCACCTGCCATACCTCTGTGTTACCTACCATACCTCTGTGTCACCTACCATACCTCTGTGTCACCTACCATGCCCCTGTGTCACCTACCATGCCCCTGTGTCACCTATCATACCTCTGTGTCACTTAACATGCATCTGTGTCACTTAACATGCATCTTTGTCACCTACTATTGATGCTTCATTCTTCACCTGCAGTGCTGGTAAGTGTTATATTTTTACATTTAGTAATTACATGTACACATATATGGATCGACAATTTTTTATTGTTGTATTTTTGTAGGAGCGGGGAAGTGCCTCGATAATTTGGAATTTGGGATAAATCGGCAAGGCCAGAGCCCCATATGTGCCAAGTTATTGAGGGTTTACTGTATATCCAAAATTATGTACAATTACGCATAGGAGTAAGGTCATATTGCATTACTGTTTGATAATCTCTTCACAAAGGTTTAGTCCACTGCTAAAACTTAAATCTATACTGGATAAAAGCTTAAAGCTTGGAAAATTCCAATTCCCACAGAATCATTCCATATAAACTGTACCATGGCCTTGAAGAAAAGGTCAAGGTTAAAGTAAAGGTGTTATGGTTTAGCTTTAATGAGTGTACACTTTTACTCTGAATTATGTCATCATTAACCTGGTCCTCTACTTTATTATTGGACTAACATCGAACCACCTCCCTGCCTCAACTGAGAGGCTTGGTTGTGAATGGTGGTCAATTTGTATTGGCAGTCATTGGCACGGAGTGAGGTGGTGACACTGCCCCATGTGCTGCTGCTGAACTGAGTAACGAGATGTCAATACCTCACACACACCTGTTTACAAGCCTTATCATTACTGTCATTCACTCCTCACCATTCTGGGGTTTACTTTATACAAATAAGGTGATAAGTTCATCATGAAATATTTACTTTGGAAAGGTGACAACATTATTAAGATATAATTTGTGATTCTGAAACTATTTTCCTTCCCTCATGTTTTAGAATACTGTATACAATTTATCCAAGAGAGAAGACAGTCTCCCTGTTATGCATGGCACTATAAGATTTCAAAATATTCTTACTTCCCCTACTATACAGTATACCCTTGGATGGCTGGGGCCTAAGTGTCATCTATGTGAGAATTTGTTTAAAAGTGCAATGGTTACTGCTAATGCAAATATCCAAACCATGGTGAGTGAACTGTATACAGTGGGTCCCTGACTTACAAACGCCCGCCAATACGAATGGGGTTAAACTTGAAATTTACAGTACAGTACTGTATTTTATTTGCTTGATGACTTATTTTTTACTTTCATTTATTGTATTTTGTCATTCTATTTCTTCTTTTGTCTTAAATTTAGTGATTTTAGCTGTATATAACGACTTAGGCTATGATATAGTGGGATTTTAAATTTTTTCTGTAAGTATGGTATGCACATAGCATGTGTTCTGACTTACATACAAATCCGACTTAAGAACGTCCTCAGGAACGGAACC